GTAGTCTGAGTATGTTTTCGACGGTCATTTACTTCCCACGAATCTAATATGGAACGCTTTGTACAGTCGCAGTTAAAAAACGTTAAAATTTACATTTTATCGTAAAGCTTGCCCACAACCTTTACTCACGCGTTAGTCTTTTTCGCCATGCATAAGAAATTAGCATTTAAAGATCGTTTAAAGTGAGTTTTTTTTTTTAACGTGCCGAATAATAATACATATCTATTAGCGTCACGTTCGCTCAAAACATCCTCTTCCACGAACGAAATTTAATGTCTTATTACTTCCACATTCCATCATTTTCCACTCCAGTTAACTTACCATTCTTAATATATTCTTTCGATAAAAAACTTTAATTTTTGAATTTTTGAGGTACCAATAAACTAGATTTTTGATTAAAATTCATCAATGTTCTTATTTCATTGTATTTTAGATATTCGTATGTGTTATAGCTGCTCGTACGAGAGAAAAGGAATTAAACGAGTCGATAGAATTAACATTACCATCCTCGAATGCTAATTAAGTTTGATGGGCTGGATGCCTGCGAAGGAATTGAATCAGAAACGGTTAAATCCCTATTCGATTGGCAGCGATACGCGTAGCGGAAATAAATGTCATTGTCAATCTGTTCAATTAGTATTTCGTTACATCGTCACGGCAATAACTTGATATCTTTCTTGCGTTACAATCTGAGTATATTGTTACCTGCACATCGGACGGTAAATTCCTGGGGTTAACAGCGACACGCGACGAGTAATAGGTTTTCCCACGTTATTCTTGTGTCGAAATTCAATCGGCCAGAACTGGAGCATGTGAGATTCATTTTTTTTATAGATATCATTGTCTAAAAATAATATTTATTTTGCACTCATTAATGTATTTAACATTCGTATGTAAACGACACTAAGTAATGAAGATTGTTAAAAATTGTTAAGTTAATTGTTGAAAGTTATTTAAAAAATTGTTAAGATTAAAATTAGGCAATGAAGATTGTTATACATTGTTAACATTCAGATGGACAAGACTATTACAAACATGTCCTGTGTTTTACATTTACAGAGATATAATTATTCTTCTTTTTATTTGTTATTTGAATCAGTTCTCGTCTTTGAAGCAATGTATACTCCATAAAATCTTACCGTTTACAACCGTGTAATTTATGGCTTGTACAACAAGAATTATTTTAACAGTTTGTACATTATACACTCCAATAATTCCTGCGGCTTATGGCCGTACAACATATATGGCCAAACTACAGCAAGTATTTATTCGATCGTATTATTTATATATAAATTTAGTTTAACTTTCGAATACATCTATTATTATCGATTTTACATTGTGTACAAAAGATATACCGACGAACATAATTGGCAAAATTTCAGCTGTGTCTCGGACCTGAGATCACCTTTTGTAACATTGAATGTCATTGTGTTGCAAAGGGCACACATTTCTGCTTCCCAATTTCTTATCACGTGTGTATTATGTGGGATGGGCTAAATTATACAACACGTGAAACTGTTTATTTTTAGTCGACCACTTATTCGAAACGCTGGCCGTTTTCCAGACACAACGTTACTCACACATAAATATTCGGACGACGTTCTTGTGTTTTCGATTCGCCGTTACTTGTGCATGTATTAATGAAACATAAAGTAAAAATTTATGCCCGATATACCGTGGTATCATCAAGTATTTTTGAATAAGTTTCAGAATGAAACATGTTAAAAATAAAATTGTTGTTCGTGTTCGTTTACCGATGGGTCATCGTTGACCCGGCCACAGGACCACAAAAGTTACAAAAAATGTCAATAATATACCTCTTAACAATTTATAACATCAAAAGTATCAATAGTGTCTCTTGCATTCCCTAAATATTATCACCGAAGAATATCATATAAATTATGTTTTACAAATAAATTTTAAATAAAATCAAACGAAGAACAAAGTAAAGATTTATAAACACACAATTTCTCGATTTAGAAGTATGAAATGTTACATTTTTTTTCCCCCGTACTGAATGAATTATGTCACTGTTAATAAATAATATCATTCCTGTTCAGTTTCATTGGTTTATTAGCAGAAAAGGGACAGTTTCACTGAAAGAACAATTTCGACGGTGACGGTCCACGGTGAATTCAATAGGTGTACATACCGATGAATGACAAACACAGCGGAAAGGTCAAGGTTACGGCAATTTATACTGAAGAGCACATCGTATACGTTAAAGAGACATCCTCGTTCCGAGTTCGGTGTAAGCATAATACATACACTGTCACGCTTACGTAAAAACGACGTCGATCAAGACCGTGCCACCCTACAGTGTGACATGTTACACTTGATTTCTCGTAATTCTACGTAACGTATCCTGCATCTCGAAATATTTCAGGTAACAGAAATAGAAATGTAAAAAAAGGAGTGAGATTATATTTGCGGTTGGAGACACATCGTAAATTTTAACCGCTGATACGTGTTATCTTAATCTTGCCAAGCACCAGTCTTCTTTTTTTCATTCCCTCATTTCTTCGGTGATTTCAGTGAAATTCTGTTAGATTTTTGTCTATCTGAATTTGCATAACGAGTGATTTGCCATAAAGGAACAGTAAGAGTTTCATTCTGCCATTTGAATAATAGATTTGACTCAACGGTTCTTTGGATTAAACACGTTATATTTTCAATATTGAAATTCTCATGTTTATTCAATGAAAAATGAACAATCTCTCATCTTTTTGGGTTAGGTTGGGTAATAAGATTTGATAGGTACAGACTCCTCTCGATTATCGTCTGGCTTGTTCTACACGATTATTGTCCAGGCCTTTTCCCACCACTGAGGGGGAGGGGTCATGGAATCTGTTAAACGCATACTTTGTTGCGAAAAATGACCGCCCATTACTGTTTCGTCATAAAACAATCGAGGTCTGATGAAAAACGCCAGAATCCATAAAGACTACCTCGTCCATTGTTCTCTTTATTTGCACATCGAGATTTCGCCTCGACCTGATTCCTAATCGTGAAACATGGTACTCGTGCATCGATGTTTGCTCCCAGTTTGGCCGTAGAATTCCCGTTGTTTGCAGACTTCGACACTATTCTAGCTATGCACCTTGTTGCGTTGAAAAAGTCCCGGTGGTAGAAGAATACGTGTAATCACGAGGTCTGAATGCCTCGTTCTCGCACGAGCAGCTCCGAATAACATAATCGTGATCAGCTGATGGAGACTGACATTTTCTCTATACATATAACACTCCATTGACTCTATATAACAAACCCTGATTCGTCCCTCATTTTCCCAACTTAATTTGTCCCTCGTTCTCAAATCGACGCATTGATAACAAATTAATATAACGAAGCGATTAATAGTTAAATTTGACAGAACAACGTCATTTCTTAGGAGAAAAATATCAAAATACTTAGTAATAAATAATAGAACACGAAGTATTGAATATTTGTTAAACTATACTTCGAACGCATTAAAACACTTAAGCAACCAGCAGAGTTCGAATTGAGTAACTAGTCAAGTCTGGTGACGGAGTTCCGTGGGGGAGGTTAGCTAGATGAAAGAAGCTAGCACAACGGTCTTCCTGTATCACGAGGCTCGATGATACGGCCAACGACTAGACTGCGTGATGATGTCAATCGGGAAGTTTTTTTTTCTTCGTTTCTCTCTATGATCCACCGTTTCCCGGTGCCATTTTTCCCCAAGGCCGTCACTGGTCAGACGCTTTGATAATGAACTCCAACGGGGGACCTCGTGACCTCCAAAGCGAAGATGATTTGTTCGAGATCGCGTGATCTTTGATTTCGTCCCGATAACGAAGCCGCACGTACGATCTTGTCGTAAGGAAACGTCACATCGACGTTCCCGGTGTATGGACGTTTGCGTGACCTTTTTTTTTTTCTAAAACTACGAAGCTTTACGTAATAGCATGACGATCTTTGTGTAGCGTAATTCGTGGAAACAATTTTGTATATTACATAAACGAATGGCAAAAGCTCTCGTGGCCCGAGCAATGAAAGCACAATAGAATCTGACGGATAGGTACGTAGATAGGTGTTCCCTTTAGTACCTTAAAGTCGATATATCGGCTTTGTGGGTTTTCTGAAAAATACTTTGAGCCGATACATCGGCTTCCCATTTTTAATATAATTTAAACAAGTATAATGACATTTTATTTTTATAAAATAAGTTTATATATTACTACATACGTTTCACAATAAAATAAAAAGAAACGTGAAAATATCTTCATTTTGAAGCGAAATATGTATGTTAATTTTAATAGATACCTAAAAAATATCAAGCATGTTTTTCAAGGTATTTTTGGACGATACGGAAAGTTTAGAAGGTACTATAAGGGTTAAGAACCTTATATCGACTAGGTTCGGCCAAATGTTGTGTCGTTATCGGTCGACATCGATTTTACCATTCCACGTTGCGATCAGAACGTCTCGCGCGGAACTTGAACTTTCACGTGCGATCTCTATCGTACAAGTATATCATTATGAGCCGTTCGTTCTTTTTACGTAATCTAAACGTTACGTATTTTTCTTCGTTAAAACTGGTACCACTGTTCCTTCGAGTAAATAGTACTATTAATTCTTACACAAAGCATACATGTAAAGTATTATAATTTATTATATAACGGGGCAATCATCATAAATTAAAAAAACGAAAACAATCGATCCTCTGTCGCAGTGAAAGTTCCAATGACCATTTGAAAAGGAAATAAAGACTACTAAGGTTAATATATTGCTGAAGTTTATTCAAATTTACAATTTCTGATACCAATATCTAAAAATTCAAACGCATATAGAAAGTAGCGTGAATTTTTATTTATAACCGAGTGAAATTTCAATCGAATTTCGTGCACGGTTATCTCGCTCGCTAATCCGCTCGACGTAGACTGAATTTCTTCAGATTGATTCCATCGAAAGCGATTACCATTATCACCGAACAGGCTCGAATTTGTCACTTGACCGTTTACGTTCTTTTTCTCTTGTTCCAGAAATTGACTTCCACGGTGTTCCTGAGACCGTTATCCGACTCCTCCACCGATCTGAGGAAGGTACTGGCCGATAAGATCCCGAAGGAGCAGGAACGCGTGAAGAGCTTCCGGAAACAGCATGGAGCCACGAAAGTCGGCGAGGTCACCGTGGACATGGTATGCAGCTCCGAACGTTACGTAAAACACCGACACACACGACTGGTCGGGTGCCCGATGACGAATAAATAATTATCAGTCGATTGGGACGTTCGCGAATGCGATGACACGATCGACAAGGGAGGCATTGATTTAACATCGGCCGCCACGTGGAAGGAAGATTTTTTTCTTTTTTTTTTTTTTCTGTCGTCGCGAGATGTACTGTAACCGGTTATTTTTTGTTACTCCGATAAGGAACACCGCTGATAAAAAACGTCTGGGGGCCGCGAATCGGTGTACATCGCCTGTCTACCATGTGACCGCGATAGGCGTGACATTTGGTTGCTACCTAAAACCTCTATTGCCAAGCAGGGAATACAAAATTCACGGTCTTTTTTGTAAAGATACTTTTTATTCGAGATTTATTTCAGGGTCGTTTCTGACTATAATTTCTTATGTATGTAAAAACCGACAGGAGGATTTACATAGGAATTAATGATTTATTGGATCCCTTGTGGAGTTTGTGATACGCAAGTTTGATTTTGCTTGTGCTCATTCAGATTCAGTTTTTTGAACTTCAACACTGTGTGTTAAAAGGTTAACGGACATTTCTTGATAACATTGTTCTAACGATAATCCGTGTAACGTTCCAGATGTACGGTGGTATGCGTGGAATCAAAGGTCTGGTTTGGGAACCATCGGTGTTGGACCCGGAAGAAGGTATCCGTTTCCGTGGCAAATCGATCCCCGAGTGTCAGAAGCTTCTGCCGAAAGCATCCGGTGGCTCGGAGCCCCTACCCGAAGGCTTGTTCTGGCTTTTGATCACCGGCGACGTTCCCACGGACGCCCAGGCGAAAGCGATCTCGCAAGAATGGGCGTCGAGAAGCGCCCTGCCCGATCATGTTGTCAAAGCTTTGAACAATTTCCCAAAATCGCTTCATCCGATGACCCAATTCTCCGCCGCCATAACGCTTCTGAACAGTGAGAGCGAGTACGTCAAAGCGTACACGAACGGCGTACACAAGACCAAATACTGGGAAACGGTCTACGAAGACTCGATGAATTTGATCGCGAAATTACCCGTAGTCGCGGCCACGATATACAGAAATCTTTACAAGGGAGGCAAAGGCCTGGGATCCGTGGACGCTGGCAAAGATTGGTCGTGGAACTTCGCGAACATGCTCGGCTACGATAACCCTCAATTCATCGAGCTGATGCGCTTGTACTTGACGATTCACTCCGACCACGAGGGTGGAAACGTGTCCGCGCACACGACCCATTTGGTTGGCTCCGCTCTGTCCGATCCGTACCTGTCGTTCGCGGCTGGTATGAACGGTCTGGCTGGACCACTCCATGGTCTCGCGAATCAAGAAGTATTGGTATGGCTGGAGAAACTCCGTTCTCAAGTTGGGGACAGTCCCAGCGACGATAAACTCAAGGACTTCATCTGGAACACCCTGAAGAGCGGCCAAGTTGTGCCCGGGTACGGCCATGCTGTGCTCAGGAAGACCGATCCTAGGTACACTTGTCAGAGAGAGTTCGCCTTGAAACACTTGCCAGACGACAAATTATTCAAGGTAAAATCCATGTCTAGTCAATTCGAAAATATACCATCTTGTTTCTTTTTGTACTGGTTTCAGTGATGTTTTAATGATCGATATTAATGTTTGTACTTTCAGCTGGTTAGTCAAGTATACAAGGTAGTTCCTCCAGTCCTCTTGGAGACTGGCAAGGTGAAGAACCCATGGCCGAATGTAGATGCTCACTCCGGTGTCTTGTTGCAATACTATGGAATGAAGGAAATGAATTACTACACCGTCTTGTTCGGTGTGTCTCGTGCTCTTGGTGTCTTAGCCTCTCTTGTTTGGGACCGTGCCCTCGGCCTTCCCATCGAGAGGCCCAAATCTCTTAGCACCGATCTCCTCATGAAAGCTTGTAAAGCTTAGACAACACCTTTATTTATAAAAGAAAAAAAGAAAGAGAACGGAATCAGAATCATTGAAACTTCTATGTTCGTGTTACACCATCATCATAACTTCCACAAAACGAGGAACTGACTGCTTTGAATCATGGTTACGAATGTTATCGATGCACGAAAACTTGTAAACCTCGAGCTCATTTCGAATTCATTTTGATATGACTTCAACGAAGTCGTTTTAATTGCTGAGTATTACTGAGACAATACAAGGCTAGGTATTAGAAACAATAATTAATCATCTAACGTAATAATGTATTGTTAAAACGTAGACATTCTAAAATGAAATTTCGTGGCGTTTTCATATTGTATAAACCTTCACCGAGAATTATGCATTCTATCGGCGATGCAGTAAATGTGGCGAAGTTTTTGCACTATAAAACCACGTATATAAAGTATAGATTGGTCCAGTATACATAGTATCAACCTTCAAATCAATTACGAGAATACAATACCACGCGTTAATAGTAGACACGGTTCATTGTAAATATATTTGTCGCTTTACGTTTAACTTAAATAGTAACAATTTTAGAAGTAAAAGAAAAACGGTACACAGATCATCATAATGATAATTGAAACGAACCCACTAAAATAATCGGTACAAAACTTAGCTGTGTGCATAGTTAACATATTGCAGACACCGTCTGTCGTTCAACAGACACTGCCAGAAAAATATCGGAATTTTTAGGATGTAATGGAATCACAATAAGTGTCTTCACTTCGATCACTGTAGTAATGATACATTACGTAAGAAATTACTTTTTTGGAGAGGAAAATCGCAAGCAGCTGCTCTTACGAAAATATGAGTATGTAAAATAGAAAATGAAGTGCATAGAGCTAATGAAAAATGTAACCAGTGTTGCTGTATTAGCGCACCACGTATTGGTTTTAAATTCTTTTCAGTACACTAAACGTACATGGCTCAATCGCATCGAGTCACTACAATTTACATAAATTAAAGAAAAAACGATGACCAGTGGTAGATCCACTGTTAAGAGAATGAGTGAGTGTGTGCGATACTTTATTTATAACGAACGTGAAAATAAATAGATCTTTAGAAATCATATTTATTAGTACCTTTTTCCCACAATTCGATACATTTATCTAGAAAATAAGTGCAATTTTTAAATACTTATTTAAAAAAAAAACAAAATACGATATCATAAAACATTTATTTTAAATTTAAAAGATTTCATTACAAAATAATTGAAAAACTTCACGATTCTTTAATATAAAATAAATATTGAGAAATGTACATAATTTTTATTATAATTTTGTGTTTTTACACTTTTATTTCATAGGGTGTTCCTAAAATATACAGAAATCACCAAAATAATACAAGGAAATAGGAAATTGAGTATTGAAAAAATTACAATGTAGAATTGATTATCTATTTCTCGCAAAAGAAAAATTTGATAAATTTATTTTACATTAACTTCAGTCCTTATATCAGTTAACAACCTTGTTCACGATTATTTGATTTATATAAATTGATTAACAATGACTGATAAGAATAACACATATTGCAATAATTTTAAAAATTTGCATTAATTTTTACGTTAATTCAATCGAAATTAAAACATTCGTGAAGCTTAAATCTGCACATGCATATCTGACCCATGTGAATTGTGTATCCCTCATTAAAATAAAACAACTTGTAACTCGTACTGCATACTACACAACTGTTATGTAACAAAAGCTGTCAACGAGAATATATATGTACATAATAATATTGTGTTAAATCTGCAGTACTGTATCGTATATGAGACAATTAATGCTTCGATTCTCAATATGAGAAAACTACTGTTTTCACTTTTACGAAACTTTAAATGTATGATCTCACTCTGGCTTTAGACGGCATTTATCTTTCATACAATGGTCTTAACAATTTCTATAATGATCTCTTGCGTACACTATTAATATTTCAAATTTCAATAGATATTAAATACTAGAGTATTTCTAGCTACACGAAAGTTAGTTGTTCTAAGTTATGAAGTAAATAAAATACATGAGACAGCTGTCAATTGGATATTTATGAATCGAAGAATCAAAAAGATTCATTAATATTTACAATGAGACGATCAGCTTTTCTCTACGAAAAAATATTTTTTTCATGTGTAAAGAACATTCTTCTAATACGTAATCATTATTCTCCCATACAACTCAAAGTCAAATGTTCCCAACAAACAACCATCCCATTGTTGAATCCACGTATCACAGAGCAGTTCGTATTCTGCTTACAATTGTCTAGTTGAACTGGTTGAATAAACCTAGTAATGAAGTCTTACAAGACGTTTGCATTAACGAGCACTGAGACAAGTTTAAACTCTCACACAGAAACTGGAAAAATATGTGGTTTAATTGGTGCTAGATCGGATTTTACTTTTTACAATTGTTTACTACTAATGCGGAGTATAAAAAACTATGTACATAGGTATCATTTTGGAAGTCGCACAGGCCAAACAATTTCTGTCCGCATATCAACCAAATAGAACGACCTATTCTTTCTTTTTTACTATATAAACATAGGTGGACGGGATCAAGATTAAATTCTATGTTTTTCGACACATGCATGCAAATTTTTTCTTTAACACTTTCTACTGAATTAAAAATAATATTTCATATTTCTCAATTTGTAACTTAAACACAGCATTTCATAGGTAGCATAAATTTAGCAGTTCTGCTGTAAAATCTTCATGATAGGTATTTTTTTACATACGCATCAAAAAAATTTTTGCTATAGATATTTCTCTTAACATAATAACATCCTGTATACAAGACTCTTTCGAGTCTATATCTTTTCCATTTCTTTCGTAACATGATCATTTTCTTTCGCATATTTTTTATGAAGAGAATAGTTAAAACATTGTTTTACTCTTATATTATACATATAATAATCAGTTGCCAGTATATTTTATATCACATTAATAGATAAGTCAAAATTTACCCGTCCACCATTTGATACATTAAGTCTCTGCAGCAATAACTGTAATCAACATATGCAGTTAGACTTTAAGTTATGCATGAAGCTTGTGTACCATATGAAAAATGATCAATCATTCTCCATCCATTTGTACAATTGTTAGAGTGGCACAGTAACTTACAATGAACATGTACTTTACAATTTAGATATCTTATTATATTTATGATGAATTCTCATAATGTACGTCATGTCTTCTTTAAACGTCCAACAATCCATTCAAGACCTTGATAGAGTCTGAAATAAGTGATGACAATTAGATTATTTTGTCTTATAAGTTAACAATGTCATATAAATTAATTTTACTCTTACCCTTCTCCAGTAAGTGCACAACAACTTTGTATATGCCATTGATGCTTTTTAATCGATGTTAAATCTAGTTGTCTAGAGATTTCAGCAGCTGTCATGCTACCTTTTAAATCTTGCTTATTAGCATAAACTAACACATTTGCTTTACTTAGTTCTTCATGGTTTAACATAGAGTATAATTCTTCTCTTATTACACCGAGTCGTTCTCTATCTGTGCTATCTATGACCATTATTATAAACTCAGTGTTAGTGTAATATGTAGACCATGCTGCTCTTAGACTTTGCTGTCCACCTAGATCCCACATTATAAAGTGGATATTTTTCCAAACTACTTCTTCGACATTGGATCCAATAGTGGGTGATGTGTGAACAACTTCATTCATTAGGAACTGGTACAATATAGTTGTCTTACCAGCATTATCCAAACCAACCATAACTATCTTATGTTCTAAAAAATAACAATAAAATAATCTTAATCAGTTAATATTCCTTCAAGATATAATTATACAACATAATTTACACTTGGAACTGGATATAAAAGTATTTTTCTTTACATATACTATTCTATAAGATGGAATTAAATAAAACATATGTTAACACATATAAAGTAGGACAAATGTAAATTTTTTTAAATGAACCATATGTCAACTAGGAGAGTTAAATTTGCATTTATTACCATTTACATCATTTTATCAATTAATTACATCAATAGAAGTTAAATGTAAAAACATTTACTTGTAAATTACCATGTTACTTGTTACATAAAGATTTCAATGATTGGAATGTACTTTCACTCCACTACATACTTTCTTTAATGCATGAGCTGCCATTAAAAAGAGACAATAAACACAAATATATTATGTATTAAAAGTTTTATTTATTATGTGTGACAAATTATATTTTAAAAAATGTTTCAAGGTTTATAATCACCTTACATATTTATGAAGGCAAAGAATAATAAATATTTAGTCGTTATTTTTACGTGTTTAACGCGTTAAACGAATCTGAATGATTCTTCGTTACTAGCTGCAAATAAATCGCAGTAATTTTACTCATATAACGTGATGCACAAAGAAGTAGAAAATCATGAATAGTGTCAGTGCACATATTGAATTTACCTTCATTGCCAAAGAGACTCCACAATTTTGCGAAGAGTAGTCCCATTTTGTTGTAGTCACTATACAACTTGGATGATGATAATTCTTCTGTTGTATCACTATACAGTCTTACTCTTGATAAAAGGGACGTTTTCGGTCTCAGAAATAGGACATCTCATTGTCGTAGGGTTATGTTCACCTTACGATAAACTTTTTTTCCAGCAAGTTTCTGAAGGAGTAGCGTCATCGTTGACGTTTTACAATATAAGAGACACAATAAAAAAAACTGTTGCAAATCGTTCAAAAATTCACTACGTAGAATGGTAAAGTGAAAGAAACATACAAGGACCTTCCCTAATCTAATCAAGCAAATCGCGACATGTTGCGTTTCCAATTAAAACATCCATAGACTGACTAGTCCAATCATCGTTCGGTGATAGTTGAAAGTAACGTCAGTCTTGTGTATAGAAGCAATGATTGGAGGCGAACAGCTCCTGGAAAAGCGCGGGTAACACAATATTTTCTTTAGAACTTATTAGTGCCAGACTAAGACGCTATTTTGTTAAATAAATAACTCAAAAAAAAAACATTTTAACACTTAATTTAAAATAAAAACATTTTAACACTTAATTTAAAATAAAAACATTTTAACACTATAATCGCGAACCAATAAAGTAACCCGAGTAAAATAATGTAACAATTTATTTTTACTACATACTTAAAGGATAATTAATAATCTACTAATGTTATTCCACATGAAAACATGTTAAATAATATTTATTATTGTATAGCAACTATAATGTACTGCGATTCATGTCACTTTTTTACATAGTTGTTTAATAACGAAAATTCTTTAAAATAAAATGAATGTTTGTAGAAAAAAATATCTAGGAATTGCTTTTTTAAAAAAGTAATAATCTTTACTCGTTAATTGAACATGTATTCCTGAAACAACGATCAAATTAAATAATTGGGGAATAATGAAAATTAAAAATATCGAAGTAATTATCGAATGATATATACACATTATATTGTTAATGGAAATACTATTCTGTTAAGAAAAAAAGGATGGAAAAGAGATATGTATTTTGTGACTGTATAATATTATGTTTTTTTTAGTCATGAATATTAATATATTGAAGTTCCTTGCTTTGCACGAGGTTGAGTTGGAATGAATTAGCGTATTTTAAATCACCGCTATTAACTGTGACGCAAAGATTATTTTAACTGACTTCCTTTAGTTTGCAGTCAAAAAATATTTTATATCATATAAAGTAAACTTTGATATTAAATTTGTTCGATTATTCTCATAAATATCCAGTTTACTTTAAATTCATTCAATTGACCAACTAAGGAAACTGACATCGATTAAGTGAACGTAGAATCATCAAAATAATGTGTTATTTGAAATATCTATTTAGAACAAGTTTCGCTGATTTTCGATTTTATACTTACAAATTTCTCATAGTGATTGTGTAGAAGTCGAAATAAAAATACTATTTTGAGGTAATCGTTGTATAATATTCCATTTAAGGCGTATCTTTGTAGTGGTGTAGTTATGAAATTCTGTGTAGTAGTAATGTTCATGTAGTGTTGACTCCATGCTGACCTTGGTGTGTATTGTGATTGGTCAACGGAACGTCGGCTGATGCCGAAGACTACTTGAGAATGAGTGTTCACTCTCAATCGGCTCAGTGGAAACGTTCGGACACTTGTTGCTCTTTGAAATTACGCTAAAGGAATTTCATTCCATTTTACATTCCATTCTGTTTGCATTTACTACTCGTTAATATGAGTAAACCGTAAGTAATTTTCTCTTCATTTCTATGACGCTTAAATTCAAGTTTATATTTAAAATTCAAAATTGTATTTAAAAAATCTATATAACACACTTTTTGTTTTATGTAAACCGATTCCAACATTATTACGTATTTACGTTAATACAAATATTATATTATATTAGAATTAAAACAGGAAATTTTTTCTTATGTAATGTTTCATGCTATTGTAAAATGTACTCTTCTAATTTGCAATTCTATAATATACTCTGTTTTACAGAGTCGCAGATATTGCCCTGATAGGTTTGGCTGTCATGGGCCAAAACTTAATTCTTAACATGAATGACCATGGATTTGTTGTATGTGCATATAATCGTACAACAGATAAGGTCAAATCTTTCTTACAAAATGAAGCAAAAGGTACAAAAGTTATTGGTGCTTACTCATTAAAGGAAATGGTAGAGAAGTTAAAATCCCCAAAGAGAGTAATGCTTCTAGTTAAAGGTATGTTACTACTGTATATTATATATAATATGACACCAATATTTTACTTTATAATAGATTATTTATATTAACTTTGTATTGTTTAAAGTTTATGTGTTAATTAACCACATTTAATATTAACAACCTATGATAGTAATCTTATGAAATTTTATTATTTTTTCTTTTAAGAACAATTACAAATCAATATATATATATATATATACATACATACATACATACATATTTTTTTTAAATAGCTGGTGTTGCTGTGGATGCATTTATTGAACAACTGGTTCCTTTATTATCACCTGGTGATATTATAATTGATGGCGGTAATTCTGAATATCAGGATACTGACAGGCGAACTAAAGACTTAGAGAAGAAAGGAATTTTGTTTGTTGGTAGTGGAGTAAGTGGAGGTGAAGAAGGTGCTAGGTATGGTCCATCTTTGATGCCAGGTGGAAACCCAAAAGCTTGGCCACATATTAAAAATATCTTTCAGGTATCTGAAGTGCAGTAGTTTATTAAAAAATGATCTAATACTTTATTCCAACTTAAAATGACCAACTACTTTTTTTTTAGTCAATCTGTGCAAAAGCTAATGGAGAACCCTGCTGCGATTGGGTTGGAGAAACAGGTGCCGGGCACTTTGTAAAAATGGTACACAATGGTATTGAATATGGTGATATGCAACTTATTTGTGAAGCATACCACATTATGCGAAATGGCTTGAAACTGAATCCAGAGGAGATGAGTCAAGTCCTTGATGATTGGAATAAAGGAGAACTGGATTCTTTCCTAATTGAGATCACTCGTGATATTCTTAAATATAAGGATGAGAAAGGCTATTTGCTTGAACGAATCAGAGATACTGCTGGTCAGAAGGGAACTGGAAAATGGACAGCTATTGCTGCTTTAGATTATGGAGTTCCTGTAACTCTGATTGGAGAATCAGTCTTTGCGAGATGTCTTTCTGCTTTGCAAAGTGAAAGAGTAGATGCAAGTACCATATTGAAAGGCCCAGATACAACGTACCAAGGTGACAAGAAACAGTTCCTAGTGCATTTAAAAAATGCTCTTTATGCATCCAAAATTATTTCCTATGCCCAAGGATTTATGTTACTAAGAGAAGCTGCCAAAATTCACAACTGGAATTTGAATTATGGTGGTATAGCACTTATGTGGAGAGGAGGATGTATTATAAGAAGGTATGCCCCTTTATTAAATTTCAAAATTATCCAAATCATATTACTAATTCTGTACTTTCTACAACATTCTTATTTTTATTTCCAGTGTCTTCTTAGGAAATATAAAAACAGCATTTGATAAAAATCCGAAACTCTCAAATCTGTTGCTGGATGATTTCTTTGCCAGTGCAATGAAGGAATGTCAAGCGAGTGCTAGAGTAGTAGTATCCAATGCTGTACAACTTGGCATACCAACACCTGCTTTATCAACTGCACTAGCTTTCTATGATGGCTTTAGAACCGCCCGACTCCCAGCAAATTTGCTGCAAGCACAACGGGATTACTTTGGTGCTCATACTTATGAACTCCTTGGTCAAGAAGGAAAATTTGTACATACGAATTGGACGGGACATGGTGGTAATGTCTCTGCCTCCACATATGATGTGTAAAGATCATTAAATCTACATATTTTTATAATATTTTATGATGAGAGAATGTGTATTTGGTATGCAGTTGAAGTTAATGTTACAGTTGACAGATATTATAATATACGTTATACAGTCTAATGTATAAATGGTTGTGAAACAGTGTTGGGAAAATGTTTATATTGAAAAAAAATTTTTATTTACAAAAAATACATCATATATTTCCAAATGTCTAAATTATTTTCTTTTAATGTACCTGTAGGGAGAAGGTTGATATTTTATTTTCACATAGATTTATTTAATTTTAATGATTAAAACTAATATATACTAAGTTGGATATAATTACTTATACATAAATGCTTAAACCTCAATATAATAAGAAGTTTAACAAAGTTGAATGAGATTTTTATTTTATTTTGAATCTAATAGAATCTTTAATCAGATGCGAATTTTCTATTTGATTCCATTTTGTGTAAATTCGTCTATAAAAATTTGTTTCCATAAATATCCACATTTCGTAAATAATAAGGTAGGTATACAGTTGATATGATAGTATATATTTACAATGTAAATATATAGGTATATTGGACAGGTGAAAACTACAACTATTACAATTTCATTTCCTACATGTCTCTTTCACGTAAGAAAGGTAGCGCAAAAAAGTAGTAGAGCATGACTTGTTAGGTTGCTGAATAATACGAGTGAAATCAATGCGGAAGTAATTTAACCTAACCTATTTTTGGTCTGAATCTTATCACCACGTTAGGTTTAAAATAATGAAATTTCGATATGTATGCTTGTACGTTTAAATATTTCATTCTATAAAATTGAAATTTTAACAGGTATAGTTTTTACTGTGATTCGATAAAAAAAGGACATACAAATTTACATTAGAGCCTGCATCGACTAAAATGGAAATCTGTGAGTATAAGTAAAAATAATTTCGCGCCATGAGTCATCCAAAGTAAAATAAAATTTCAGAAAATGATGGAATATAAAACTTTTATAATTTCAATTTTTAATTGTCTTTTATGAGAAATATGATTAATTGCTGCAATTATATTACAAAATAATGAAAGTTGTCGACATAATAACGAAAAAATTGATCTATTTTAAAAGTGGCTAAAATTATACAGAATTTAAAAACAAGCTCATTTGTTATATGTACAGAAGAATAAAGTTTATAAGAATTGCTTTCAGAATACTGATAATTTGAATAAAATTGTGTATTTCATAAAAATGACATGGAAAAACAATATTTGAAAATTGATAGCATAAAACTCTGGTTAAGCCGTCCCTGAGATGCGTCCATGCGTCGGCTTCACTGGCCGAAGACCTGAGTAGCTGCAGGCTGCAGCGTTCATTTGCAAAATGGCTGACCACAGGGAAAGGGATTCTTTTTATTCGCAAACGGATTTACGGTCGAAAAATGATGATCCACCAAATTCACGTTTGTTCGTCATCTGCCACAAAAGTTTGGAGGAAGATGATCTCAGAAAAGCTTTTGAAAAATTCGGAAAGATCGAAGATATATGGGTGGTCAAGAATCGGAATTCAGGCGAAAATAAAGGTAATTTCTTCTGACTTCAAAATAAATCAATAATCTTTCTACCCTGCTTTTTCATTTAGTTCATACAATTTTTCTACATTTGTAACTTCATCTTCTTTCGTACAAATTTCCTTTTCAATTTCGTACTGGTTGTTTGTATGTTTTTAACACATTATTCGAAATATTTATAATGTAAGGTGCATGTTGTTGTTTGTGTAGGAGTCACATACATTAAATTTTCAAAAACATCAGAGGCAGCTATTGCTCTGGAGGAAATGAACGGTAAAATGTTGGGTTCTGTTGGAAGACCTATCAAAGTAATGATTGCGTCAAAGTAAGTTGTCAAACATTACTTCAAGCTGTCTGATATCTTCTTGTTACTAGTATAAATGTATAAAATATGTCTGGTTTCAATATACATATACAAAATTTTTCTAACATTTGAGAATATGAATAACTTATTCAAACGAGTTCTATTACTTTAAGTAAAGAATATAGTACAATGATTTATTTTTTTATAAAATACTTATTTGCAGAATCGTTAGTATTAACTTAATTTTTTAAATGAATTCACATATTTCTACTTTATGGAGTTTATTATAGTATTAGAAAAATAATTATGTGTGCACATTTAAACTGGACATAAATTTATTCTTTTTGTAAGCATATCAATATAAGATTTATTACAGTCGTGATCAAGGATCTGTAAGAGAAACAAATGAAGAAGAAAGATGGGTTCGTTTGTTTTGTGTCTTACCAAAGTCTATGACGGATAGTGAACTTCAACAAGAATTTTCTAAATTTGGATCTATTGAATATGCAACTGTGGTCAAAGATAGAAATACAAATGAGTCAAAAGGTTTTGGTTATGTGAAATTTAAGAAAGTATCCAGTGCAGCCAAGGCATTTGAAGAGTGTGATAGGAAGTATAAGGCTGTATTTGCTGAACCAAAAAAGCCAAAACCTGAACACATGGATGTGAAGTATAATAATGGACTATCCCCACATTATGACAGTGTTGGCGGAGGTAGTACGTCATCAAATTTTGGAAAGAGTAGTATTAGTTTAGAAATTGCCACAAATTATCCTAATTCTGAAGGTTACACGCATTTGCAAGTAATTGCACATCCAGCATTAAATCAAGATCAATTATGGAAGCTGTTTGATATTGTACCTGGCTTGGACTATTGTCATTTGAAAAATGATGTTAGGTACAGAATGCCAAGGGGCCAGGCTGTTGTAGTATATTCAAATCCTAGTGCTGCAGCATATGCAAGAGAAAAATTTCATGGTTTTGAATATCCTCCTGGTCATAGGATGATAGTTAAACCAGATTTATCGAGTGTGCCTCCAAAAAGTGTTGTAAAACCTGGAAGTTCTACAGGTGGAGGGGCTAATGCCAGGACAGATTTAGCACATTTGGCAGAAACCATTGCTCAAGCTACATCACTAATTCAAGCTGCAGGGTTAACTGCACCGAGTAAGAGATCATATTATTTTTTGCAACTTGGTAATAGTTGGCTTGTTATATAATCATATTTTTACCTACTTAGGTTTAGAACATTCTATATGTGTTAAGTTACCACCTGTGCAACCAATGGCCAGTATAGATGCAGAGGTTGCAAAAAGATGTTTTATTGTATGTGGTCCTCCAGTACCACCTATATATGCTATGAAGGATGCATTCTGCAGATTTGGGAATCTCATAGATGTGTACATGCTCCCAGGGAAAAATTGTGGATATGCAAAGTATGCTAGTGTGGAAAGTGCAAATGAAGCAATTGAGGTATGTTGCACAATATATTATTGGAATGTTCATTCTATATTTCAAATAGTATTCACAATAATGAAGCTTACTCGTTGAAATAAGAGAACACTTTTAAGATATATAGTTGATTGGTGAAATGTTCAATTTTCTTGATAGGTTCTACATGGGCAAGAAATTTGTGGTTCCCGATTGAAAGTGCTAGAAGCAGAAGAACGCAATGTCGGTGATGATCGTAGAAAACGATTACGAATGGACGAAGACGAAAATTAATTTTTTTTTTGTGTATCTCGTAAGTACATCGCTGAGCGCATGGCAAAGAGAAAGAGAAAAAGGAGAGAAAGAGGGAGGCATTTAAATGTTAACACCCTGACGTTGTAACTGACGATTACTTTACTTAAAAGTAAATAGTAATTTTTCTATTTATCTTCACAGACTGACTGGTATACACAAGCTGGACGCACGCAATAAAAGAGACGAATTTTAAGACTCACTTGACCACGTCGGGCCCGCATCCAAGGAAACTACTCCAACTACCTACTTTTAACTATCGCTTACGTTCGCGATTTCAACGTTACTGAACTTTAACGATACTTTACTTTGTCCTTACACATCGTTACACATACACCTGACTTCCTAATTTTATTATTTTAAGAGGCCTGTGCGAAAAGTGATCTTAAATATTCAAGTCAAAAATATATAGTACACATAAACTAGTTTTACATATGAAACTTCTTTTTTTAACACAAGAGAGTTTACATGATGTAATATGCTTAAAGTGTTTTTTTATTGTTACGTTAATATATTGCAGATATTAACTCGAGGTAAGAGAATTTCTGTATATCTGTACTTGTGTTCAGATAAAATTTATTTCACATAAAGTCCTCTATAGGTTGAAAGAAATGGAAAGTTTTTGAAAGAAACGAAAGATAGGATTACTTTTAAAAATTTTGTATCCTTGTTTGTAAAACAGATATAATAATTATGAATAATTGTAAATAATGAAGGCAATTGTTTTAACTATTCGCGCAGGCTTTAAAACACACCTTGTGCTTTAGAGTTAATGAAATGAATTTTTGTTTATAATTTATATTTAACAGTTCTGTACTATCCTTTTATTAGCTATACTGTGTATGGAAGAAAACGTAAAGTAATTTATTTCTTGTACATGTTTCAAGGAATATATTCGCGATGATAACCTCGTAGAACTTGAATCCAAAACAAGGTATATTCTCCAACGCATTTTTGTTTTTTTCTGTGCTTTGTAGTCGTAGTTTTGGTTATTAAAGATATTAACAATATATTCTTATGAAAAGAAATATATATAACACAGAGCATGCTTTTCAATGGAAGTATTTATATATATCACAATTATGCACTGTAATTTAGAAATTACAGTTTAAAAATTTATTTACTACATTGTAGTCTGAGCTATATACAATAATTGTTAATTACCGCTAAATTTTCGGTGGATATAACATTTTGTTGTATCCTGTTGTAGGCATAAATGTTTGTCTATGTAAAAGAAATATTAGGTACAAGTTAAAGGGGAAAGTAAACTTCTAAAATTTTTTATGAGGTATGGGTACATCTTGTTTTGGAAATACTTCGACATCACATATGTTCACGTGTATAGATATATTTGCATAAAATATATCAGGATATTGTTTTTTACAATTACTTTGAGTATGATCAAGAAACATACGTTTTCTTAGGCAATTAATATTACGTCCATGATCACAATTTCGTCAAACACCAATTATTGACGCACAACATGAACCTTTTATGGTGGACACTTTTGTACGTGTATTAGACTGTTTTACTCAATGACCATACGCAATGATGTTTTAGGAGACTGTAACAGACTTGTTTGATGATATTAAATACACATTAAGTATTGAAAACCTTACACTGACTTTCACTTATTTTTTTTAAATTACACTGAACAGAGTGTCCTGCATTGTGCATGTATGACTCACTGACCTGACATGTTGTTTCTTTTCACTTACAGGATACCTGAAGGATTCAAAGATGCGTACCTGATGACTGTGATATAGTAGAGTAAGATATTTCTGATATAATGTACATATATCAGACATTTAAGATATAAATAATAAATTATAATTTCATATTGTTTTTCCGTTTTATTACTAGGCTTTTTATAATGTGCTTGCAAGGACAATTGTTTAAATTCGGTTTCTGTTAGTTGCACTGCAAAAATTCTGTGTCTTTATAATAGAATGCTATATACGAATCTGGGTTCTTCGTAAGACTTAGAACTAGTCGCATCGATAATTTTACGAGTTTGCTATATCCACCAAATATAAAATTTTGTCTTCCCGGTTTCTAGGACTTCGTTCAAATAAAGCCTATTTGACCGCGCAAACGATAATGTGGCTGTTGCGCGGTAGCTGTAGTCATGTAAATGAAACGTACATATTTGTAACCAGGTGATTTCGAGTTTTTCAAAAGATTCACGTAGCGGAATGTGGACGGATTTCATTTGATTCTATAAAACTGCATACAGATCACGCGGTTAAATTCGTGATATTTCAACAGGTCATAAATATTCATAAGCGGTTCATACACAGTCGAACATTTTCCCTTCGATAATGCAAGTAGAATTTTGCGCTGTACTTAGATTTTTCCTGTTGAATCATCAGTGCGAAATAGTTGTTGGGAGGAGACTATTTTAATCGTGTTCATCGTTCGGGGGGTTTAAGAGGGGCACGTTTTGCATCGATATAGGTTAACAGAGAAATAGTGGGGGTCGACTCACGTGTTACCAAACGTGCTGTGTGATGCGGAACAGTCGCTCCGCGCGAAAGATATGCGATGTTCGACGCGGTTTCAGTCCTCATAGATATTGCAGCCTGGGAAGGCATCGTATTGTGTTTACATACTTGTTGTGAACCATCAAGTTTATTAATTTAGTGAGAACAATTGTTTCGTCGTTAGTTCAAGCATTTTTAGAAAGAAAATATATATACGTATACATGATCGAACAGGTGGTGCATCATTTGACATTTTAAATCGGTAACGGTGAATGCGATATATCCTTCAAACTTCTGTCCCTTTTACGTGATTATTTGGGACAGTTTTATCAACCGCGATTCACCTTATCGAGTCTCAGTCACTTTTTCGCACAACGAATTGTAGAAATGACGCATCAACATCGAGTTCATTTAATTTAGCAGCAGTGTTTGTGACCTTACGGATATCGTCTCGAAGGAACGTTATTCCGGATAGAACAATGGAAGAGGTGTCCACCGAAAATGCTAAGGTGTCGGATTCCGGATATTCCAATACTTGCAGCAATAGTCAGTCGCAACGCAGGTACGTTTCGAGTTTATTTTCTTCCGTTGTCACGTACATTTCAAAGTACGTTGAACTCACTGATAGAGCTTATGCTCATACACTAATTTGAAAAACCGCCTCGGACTTTGAACTGCGTTTCATCGATGTAATTACTAATGAGCGTGAGTCGGTGCTTTTTCTTGCATGCGATTATAACTCCTTTATAAATTGTCTGGTGTCTATTTTTGCTTGAAATGATTTAAACAAAAAGATAAGAATTTAGCTAATTTAGTACTAGTAATACAAGGTTATGCCGATGAGTTAAAAAATCGTATCGCTAGCTAACTTTGTAACAAACTTTAAAATAAACAGATTGGAGTACATATGAATTATGAGTTTACGATCAGATGAAATTCCTGGCAGTACTTAGATTACCATCCTCTCAACTTATTAAATTCTGTTTATCACTAATGGTAACTGAATGATATACATACGACCTGAATGACAAAAATCATTACAGTATTGTCTTCTTAAAATTTCATCTGTATTTGCACAATAATTTTAACATTATAATGATTTGTTTTTTTTATTCGATACATTGAGTAGTTAAAATATATTTAAAGCAACATTCAGCAAATGATAACAATAGTTCGTATGTAAATCGTTGATTTTAGTTCGAGGCTTCATTGTCCATAGAAAAACTAATTGTGAACCTTCAGTCGACGCGTCGAAAAATAAAGGGGCTCGTTGAGCCCACCTCCTTCGTATTATTGTTGGTTGAAGCATACTTTAAGAATAAGTACTTTGACAGTAATAAATTCGTCGCGTTATCTTTGACACATGCATAATGAATCGCCTACTTGATTTAGTAATAAAAATGACCTTATTGAACTCCTGATTATATTTACTGGTGTACTCCAAGTCATGTATATCGTAAACATTTCTTCAGATCACACTTAGTGATCGCTTTTCCACTACAGATGAAGTCAAGAAAGCCATCGAAACAAGTATGAAAAAGTTCTCCATGGCGAACGAGATGTAAATTTTCTTACCACAGATTCTATTCATCTGTCTTCACTTGATTAGCTTTTTTTTCTGAACTCGCATTAACTCTTTTTCTATTTTTATAGTCAATTAAATTATTCCCGTATTTTTCTATTCGCTCCCGTGCATTTAACGTTCAGACAAATGGGTGTTCGAATTTAATTTACCGCCTTCGATTAAGCGCCAACGAAATATGCATGCGCCGTGATGGATAGTAAATCATTTCGCGCGATGCAAAACGCGCCGTTTCGATATGCTAGAATTTTTGCGATTTTTCATCGCGACCCGAAACCTTGCGAAAAGTTTAAGAAAGTTTCGTCACAGTTGCGTCTGGAAACGTTAAGAAACTGCTAACCATATTTGATTCTCCCATTTCCTCCGGATTATTATTTGAATATCTCCCTCTTTCTTCTTCACAGAATAAACGTTCTATTTTTTAATACTTCACCCAGCTTGAGAAAATTTGGCCTTTTTGTTATATCTCTAAGGATAAGAAGATGGCAAGTACTATCTACCCCAGAATGTTTGAGGTAATTTTTTTCTTTCACCCTGTAGATTGGCTAAACTTTGTTTTTCGGAGGGTGCTAGAATTTACAGCGAGCTCTCTAGTATATAGGTATATAGTGGCGCAGGATGCTTGGCATTGACACGCTTTGTCAGGTGGTACAGGTGAGAGGTAGACGGAAAGCACGTCGAAACGAGAAAGACGTAAACTCGAACACCTACGGTTAAGGCTAACTAGTTCCTCGTCGAAGTATGCCGGTTGCGATTTCCACGTTTCCATTAAATGCACACCTCTATATGCGTCTATCGGATTGCGAAACAACGAGAAAACAGGTCGCACGAATACAAGATTGCCGATTACTGTTTTATCGAAAGTGCCTGAGATTGAAATGCTTCCCGTAGCTGGTTCACATGACTCTGCTAATTGCAAGGAGCTCGTAAAATGAGGAATTAATTGTTATTTGCGAAATATCGAATTAGCAAAAGCGTACAGTCACTTGTGTTTAGAATACAATGTTTATGAAAATACAAATTCTTATGAATTAATTCATTTATAGTATCGATTACTGTATTACAGATTCTTCTCGATTATTGTCCTGAATTCGGGTCCTGGGACAATAATCTTATAGGCAGACATGCTTCAGACCTTCGTAAATTCGTTTTTCGCCCGAAACCTGAAACAAATCGGAGGAGCAACAAAGTATGTTATCCCCCGCCCTCCCAGTGGTGGGAATAACGTCTGGACAATAATCGTGTAGAACAAGCCAGACGATAATCGAGAGGAGTCTGTACGTTTTTTAATGTACAGTGTTTCAGACAACAGCCTGGCTGTAAATTGACTGCATTCCACATTTGATACGCTGTTTTTCCAAAGAAAAGACTCACGTTGGGAATGGCTAGATTGCCATGTGAACCGTTTTCCTAACACGTGCACGCGGAATTTTTGTTTGTCCTGTTTTCTGCGTTTTGACAAATACCTTTCGATCATCTGCACGTGTGTTGTTACGTATCCCCATTCGGCGCACATGTATTCCGTGAAATTCTTCGAGGGTGCCCCATCCTGCGCAAGTTTCCATGGTAACTAGACCACGTGCCGAATTTTATTGGGGTTTGGGAATTGTCACGCGTCCGTGAATCGTTCACTATCTACGAAATTGTTTTATCGAGCAAGTGAAAAAGACGTTGTTGTAATAAAAAATAGAACGAAATATGCAGCGAGTGTTGGGTCCTCTCCATGGTACCCGTATTCTTCTTTCGAAAAATAAAGTATAGTTAGACAACATAGGAAAGGTTGAAGATGTAACTGGAAGATTTTCGGAGAGAATTTCAAATTAGTTAACAGTTAATTATATGCTAACATAGCACACGTGTTACAGTACTATTTAACCCTAGATTACTGAACTATCCTGTAACTTACATAATCATTCGTAAAAATTACGACCGAAAGGAAAATATTATTTTTATTGACATAGAGACCTACGTTATAAATATTTATGATAGTCGGACCTAAAAATAATGGAAAGTTACGACAGTAGTTATTCAGCAGATTCTGCACACACGTTGGCAACATGTGACAGCTTCACGGCAACGTCCGCCGATTTCTGAGAATCGCGAATTCGAGGTCATAATTTTTACGATGGTAATCTACGGTTACGTATGTATAAAAACTGGTCCGTTATTGGTGGTGTCGTGGATAAAAAAATGATTCTTGATGAAAAAATAAAATTCATGGGGCGGTACTGTACGTACATAGACGTATTTTGAGCATCGTACCCTTAATTAACGCCATACGTGCAATAGGTCATAACGATCCTTCGTAATTACAACGGACATCGTGGGCGATCCAGCTCGATTTTATCAGGACAATTGAGACGTGCCGATAATTATAGACACGCAGAGTTTGATATTCTCACGTGTTGCTTGTCAAACGAAATCGCATACAATGCGAATTCTCGTCGAAGAGCGAAACGTGATGCATATCCCGGGAACACGAAAAAATTCTGAAACGTCTCGCCTAGGGATTCGTTGTATGATTATTTCGGTATACTCGCTTTCACGTTTTAATTTCAACCCGCAATGATGTACATTAAAGCGAAACCGCGGTGTTATTTAACCATTTTCCTTTCACGAATGGCAAAATGTCATCGACTAACTACTCCCCTATTCTAGGTTGTTCCGCGTTAATGGTAAACATCAACGAAGTAAATGTAGTTCTCCGAGCAGAAGCGAATCGAAAAAGAAAGTGAAATACGATTTCGAATCTTAATAGACTATTTTATAGAAAAATGGGAATTAAATAGAATTTCATTGTTTGATTTGTTACAGAGTATTAACGTAAGTTAACAAACTCCTTAACTGGCGTGATAAATTTATTGCATTTATTTTCGTAAAAGGATCTTAATCTTTGGAATACCTCAGAAGTTTTCCGGGTACCGTCCAAAAATACCTTGAAAAATATGCGATTTTTGAGGTATTTATTGAAAATTGAAATATCTATTTCTCTTAAAAATGAAGATATTCTCACATTTTTATTATTTTATAATTTTACAAAAATAAAGTGTCATTACGTGGATCTAAATTATATTAAAAATGGAAAGCCGATATATCGATTCAAGGTATTTTTCGGAGTACCCACAAAGCCGATGTATCTCCTCTAAGGTACCAAAACGATTAACAAAGGTCACTTGCGCAAAGAATCCGTAGTCTGTTAATTACGACTTCTAAACCTACATCTAATAAAACGATTACGACGATTGTACAATCTATTTGATATTTGGTTAACACGAGGTTTCCTTGGCACCATTCGTGCAGAGCCCTGAACGGAATCGATAGCCGGACTACACGGTCCCGTTTCACGGTTCTAGTCACGGGGCCACGAGCGTGAAGCAGACCTTCTTATGCAATAATTTTTCCTAGCAAACGAGGTGCAACAAATGTAGGAGCCCCGTGCCGGTTCCCTGGGAAATAATGAGGGCAGTGAAAGGCCAGAAAGACCCACGTCGTAAGAACGCCCGGGCGTCCACGGTGGTCACGTTTGCCGAACATGTGATCGAACCTCTTTTTCTATTTTTTTTTTATTCCATTGCCTCTACCCCTCGGTTCCACGACTGGTTTCCAAGAGATTTTCTGTCGGCGAATTGCATGACTTTCCTGCGCGTCGGTTTAGTCGGCCAATGGGCCGAGGCCGTTCGTGTGCCGTTCGAGAAATGCGCTTTTGCAATTGCTCCTGGTCGCTGGGCCAGTCAAGCGAAGCAGAACCCGGATGATCTAGTCTCGGCGAGACACCGTACAAATTCGATCGACAATGCAGACGATTTTATATCTGGCGAATAAGTCTCTTTGTATCCAGGAACCCAAGGACAGGAAACCACCGAATTTAGAGACCCACGTTAGAGAAGGGTCCGAGATGTTCTCTGGCCTGAGTCCCAAGACTGCAGAGTCTTTGTGCTTGGGTTCCTAGGTTAGAAGACTTCCTGACTTGGGTCCGAGAGTCCAGAGGATCCTCTGGATTAGATTGGTCTTATTGATAGTATCGGTTCCTGGAATGGATTTAAATAGATATTGTAATTTATGTCCCAGTTACATTATCTGGTTGAATATTTGATTACATTTTACATAATACCATGCAGTTGTCAGTAACAATTTAGAATTTAAAAGCAACGTGTACGTTTGATTTTAGTATCATTACAGTATAGTAATATCGTGCGTCTAATTCACGCATTTGAGAAGCTAATTGATTTAGAAGTTATTAAGTAGTAACAGGCGTTTGAGGCCAGACCTGGCGAATAAGTATCTGAAGTAGTTTGATCAGTTGATGTTCAGACTTGCATATTATAAAATGTACTATGCAATTGGTTTTATTCAAATATTAAGTTAAAGTATATTTTTCACATCATTGTCTCGTTGCAATAAATATTCTTTATGATTCAGAAATATCCAATTACCCTAAATATTAGATATAATTTAAACATTCCAATGTTCCCTTCATCTAAATGGTCTCATTACCTTGAATCACTGTTTGTAAAACAACAATCTAAGAAAATTATTAACCTTATCTTTAATTAACGTGTGTTTCAGCAGTGGGAGCTCGATTTCGAGAAACAGCAACCGCTCCGAGAGTAGCGGTTATTGCGGTAGGCGTCCCTCGACATTTGGATCCAGGTAACACACCGCTCAGATCAATTTTCTACCATCGATCAATTACGAAAGAAAAACAGGAAAAGAAAACAATACATTCACGATAGAAGCAATCGCGATGACGCGCGATACTTGAATGTAGAATGTAGAATGCTCTCCAGTGTTATCCCCTCGGAGAGTGCAAACGTGTTACGAAGGTTGTCAGTGATCAAACATGCTCACGATAGTAAAAATCTCACGCATACGATTCTTCAATAGACATCATCAATTCCATTAATTCCATATAATTGACAATCTAATCACCACCTCGAGTGTAGACCATAAACAGTAAGGAATTCAATGAAAGGTAACTTGATCCTCTTCCTAAAATGTCCAACTACTAGCAACGTCCATTAAAATGTACTTTGAATATACGATGGTCCACAATCATATCTCCCCCAAATTTATACAATTACCCGTTGTTACAACAATATCTCCCCCAATATTATACAACTTATCCAATCTCAAGATTACATAACTATATCATACTTCCTTATTATTTGTCGAACATCAAGTTAACCTTCAAACAATAGATGTCGTTTACTGTTAAACAGAATACATTATTTATCTATTCACGGTCGTCTATTTATATCGCAGAACGTATAAACTACCGGTTCAACGTGAAATCAGTAATCGAAATGGTCAATACACAGTCGCCGAGACGAAACAATACTCGTGCGGAGTGCGGACATTGCATGGAAACTTGAGCCAGTCGTGCGGAACATATTCTCCTATGGAAGAGTATATCAACGTTTATCAGTCTCGTATCGTAAATTAACACTGTGTAGAATGTTATTACAATAACCAGTTGGTCGGAAAAATGCAGATTATTTCCATCTGCATGCAATTACACGTACCGTTTTTAGAAACGTTACGTAACAGGCATATGCAGCTAGTTGCATCCCTGATTACAGTAAATTCTCGATGAGTGTTCGAAGGCTCCTCGGCACTGAACATTAAACATTTCATAAACTAATGACTAGACTGCGAATTTTTATGCGAAATCGCATTTTGTAAAGTAGATGTATAAACAGGCAAAAGTAAAAATGGAAAATTCGTTCTCCTTTTAACGATTTTAGCAGGCTGAAAATATAATTAAACTTTTGTTAAGGTCGGTGGAAGTTGTGTCGTTTATTGTATTTCACATACGTCTATATGCTATAAATGCATAAAATCCACAGTCTACTACTGACCATATGCAAATGAAACAAATATCATTGACTTCCGATTTCCAAGCTATATTGAAGATAGATAGATCCCACTATATTGAATCTTATTAAAAAGTCAGCGTTACACCTGGCGATCTCTTTTTTTCAGTCCCGAGGAGCCATCGGACACTCATCGAGAATTTACTGTGGTCATTCCAAAAATTTTCCTTTTTCTTTCCACGACTGGACCGTGTCCCGTATCGTCAACGACGTAACGAGACGCAGAGACGTGTGTTCTATTGTCGTTGTGCTTTTTATTCCTCGATGTACGCACGTACATACGTACGTACGTGTGATTAACGTGCGGCCGTTCCATAATTACCGCGATTGTAAAGGTGACACAGCGAACGTTCGAGCACACACGTACACATGTTCGATGGACGTGGATTTTTAGCATCGTGTGAACGCGTCCGCCCGTATACGTGCAGGACAAACGATTACATTCAGTTACGAGAAAGCTCCGCGCACAAACGCTTACGCCAGGCTCCGGGCAGCTGTAAACATTGGTGCATGTGCCGTGCCACGTGCCTGGGCAATGTCGCCATCGGCGTCGGCCTACGTGCCATGAGAGATATTCCACCCCCACCCGTGGTTCGTTGCATCATAATCATAATAAATCCGTGAATTACAAATGCATGGTTATTTTTGGTATTTTGCCGGACGGGCGATCGCCGAAAACCGTAAAAAAACATACAGTTGTCCACTTGTAGAACCTTCATTATCCGAATTGAACCCCTGGAACCCAAATTTCATTTTTACCGTTCGAGAAATTTGTTATCTGTTTATCGAGTTTATCTATTTTTATTATTTAAAAGATTTCTTACCTGTTCATCGAATTTAGCAATTTTTATTGATTAAGAATTTTTTTTATCGGTTTATCAAATTTAACAATTTTTGTTGATCGGACATTTTTTATCTGTTCACCAAATTTATCAGTTTTTATTGTTGACAATTTTTTTGCCTGTATCTATGTAGGTACTGTCCACTACTGAACAGTTGAACATACGGAATTCGAATTTTCGACCTTGAAGGTTTTAGTTTTTTCAAAATAGGTTTCTGAGTTTAGGATTATACTGGCCAGTAGAAAAACGTGCTCGTTTGTTTAACAATGGCGATACTGACTTGTGATCGTAGGGTTAATAGAGGAACAGGAATCTTTGGATAAACGATTTTTTAAAATGAAATTTTTCCTCAATTATTAAGCTTTATATCGAACTCTTCTTGTACATGACAGGATCAATCATGGTGTTAACAGTTCTGTTTTCGAACGTCTGATATTGTTCATTCATTAAACAAATTACGCCTGTTAACACTCCCGAATTCCTTAAATATTTCATACTTATTTTCTATATTTAGCATCGTCCGTTTCAGTTCTGGCGTCATCCGACATATCGATTGTTTCCCCGTTAGATTTACATGCATATTGCGTTCAGAAAGAAGGATCGTTTGAATAACAGGTTGCTCAAGCAAGCAACAAGATCAATTCGGATAAGGGAGATTCTCTGTTCTAAAATGTTTAACAGCTTGATAACCCGATTGGTTAGATCTAACCTTTTCAAAGTGTATCGCTAACTGATTGACTAAAAAGTGTATACTATTTACACTATTATTAATATTAACATTTAATCAACATTTTTCAGTTCAATATTCTTTACAGTAAAGTAAGAGCAAAATTAATAATTCGAGTAAAAAATTTAATTGGAAAAAGTCAAGGCATTTAAAAAGAAAAGAAAGCGTTTGCGTGCTACAGTTATTCCGAACGATGATTGTCATTGCTGTTCGATTCGAAACGTTTTCTGAATGACACGCCTCGTTCACTCATGCAGTTATTGGTCGCCGCCTGTGCGTTCCCCACGACTAGAACCAATGGGATTGGGAGTACGCCCCTGCCTCGTAGGAAAAGTTTACCGTCGAGACTTCCTCGTCGTGGAAATTCTCAGATGTGTCGAGGCGACAGGGGTCAAGGTTGCCTGCCATTATAATTCGGCGCAGGCTTTATTAATATTCACTGAAATACAATCACAATTGGGGGAACTTTTGAATGAAGAGTAGCCTTTCATGGCTCCATTCTGCTCCATAATGGAGACAAGAATAGAGGATTATAACAGGTTTTAGTATGGTAGTAATTAAGTTTGAAACAGTGACCAAAGAACACTGTGTTTATACGTAATATAGAATGGCTAAAGAGATATAAATAAATTGAGAATAGAACACACTAATGTGCATTTAATTAACGAACGGTATCTGACAGTGATCCTTCTTACAAAGGGCAATTGGGGCTCTATTGATAAGATATTAGGGAGAATTAGTAATCGTGTTCGTTTTAATATTACATATATAGATTCAAATAAGGGGTGAAGCAGAGATTTATTTGCAACTTGGGTAGAAGTCACATGTAAATTATATCTTTCTAATATACGGTTTTTCCAAAGTTTTGGCAATTTGACGTAAATGTCCATCGTTCGATGCATCTGCAGAAAGTAATCAAATTTAACTGATATTAATTCTTTACTTTAATTAACTTCAACATTCAAATAGGTGATTTTACTGCTCTGTTAGATAGTACTTTGAAACGAATAGAGTACTACTGAGTAATGTTTTAATGAAACAGGAGCGATGTTAATAATTTTCATTCATAAAAGTAACCTCGATTACACTTATCACTAAAATCGGTCATTTCACGTGCAACGACCTAATACTATACGGGAAGTAAACATACGTGTAAGAAAAAATGTTCATTTATCTGAAAGATAAGTGAACAGGATACTTCAGTGATTATTGCTCATTAGCAGCTGAATGACATACCGTAAATTGAATGCAATCGGTAATTGCACGTTTTCTGTTCACAAACGTAGAGTATTTACTCCAACTTTATCTTTAAACTCTCAGAATTTTCCACGATAGAATGAAATTTCTGTTCAAGTCTCGTGTCGACTGAACAGCCGCAAAGAATCTCTTAATCTGCATAAATCTTTGTCAGGAAGAACGTTCAAGTCTCTGACGTAACACGTGTTCGTATGAAATTTATGGTCTCGAGAACCTTTAATCCCGAAGCAGGAAACGATTGTCCCCCGAGAAAGTTTAGAAAACGATCGCTAGAGAAATGCACTTTCACGTGTGTTACGTAACGAGTGCAGTCACGACTGGTCGGTAAGGATACGTGTCTTATACCGCCGGGCACTTTTTGCAAACGATGCTTTTCCTGGAGAAAGCTATCTCACGACTAGCCTCGGGCGAAATCTAGCTTCTACATCCACGGGCGTAGCTAGGTTATCAATCACGGGGGTAGGGGTGAAATTTATCCTCAGGCAAATTTCATATTACTCGAAAAGAATTTTAGATTTTTTAAAAAATAGGTAATATTAATTAATATAATCCCCTAGGGGATGGGGAGGGTAGAAAAAAATTGATTTTAAGGTAAATTTCATAATATTACTCTAAATGGATTTTAGATTTATTTGTAAATATAAAATATTAGTACAATGTAACATTTTTTTTCCTGCGGGGGTTGGGGCAGGTCAAAATTTATCTTAAAATAAATTTCAGAATAATACTTTAGATGGATTTTAGATTTTCAAAAAATACCAAATACTAGTTGATAGAATATTTTTTATTCTCTGGGAAGGGGGGGAGGGGCAAAATCCAATTTTTCCTTTAGTGTAGAGCAAAGGCCACTTTGTTCCCTCAAGGGAGAGCGAATGCCCCTCCCTCCTGGCTACGCCCATTGCTACATCCAACAATACCGTATTTCTGGTCTCGACTCGTCCAGCTATTAGACCCTCCTGCAAAACTTTCATTTCGTCTGAAACGAATATGTATACTTTTATGTAACAGCTGAACCTGAGTCTCACGTTCGCTTGCATGTCCTCGGCCACGTCTCTTGTCCGTCGACTCGGCGAACCGTCGCTGGTGTATTTATAGAACGCGTACACGATTGATATTGCAACCCGTCGGAATTGCACGCTGGATATCAGCGTTTCCGGTATCACGTTATCGCGGCGTACGTGAGAGAACGGATACGCTCTGTTCCGAGGTGTTTGAGGGTGTTCCGATTGGATTACGCGGTTAACACAGCTTGTAACCGAAAATAGACTATCCGATAACTTGGTAAATGTCAGACGACTTTGTATAGACAATTCTACAGGAAACATTATCTTTGGATTGGCGAATGGTTCGATGGTGGACTCATCTTTGTACCATATATTGTAAAAATTATTGGTTGATACTCTATAAAAAATAAGTGAAATTTTGTGCTGCGGAGCATTCTTGTTTGTTATCTCAACTTTTAAGAATCATTGATGGTGATACAGTGTTATCTCTTAATAATTCTCAACCTATCAGTTTATATTAAATTGTTCTAGGAATCAAATAATACTTCGGTACTGATAATGTTTCGAAACATCGGTATAAGTAGAAGTTGTTAATTATGGTCAGACATCGTTACAGATCAGTACTTTACACGTTGACTGCCGACTACGAGATAACTCGTGGTTGAAACATTGTAAAGAGGCTGGATTCTTTAAATATCATTACAAGTTGTTGTGTAAAATTAATGTTTAACGTCTCGTTAACTGTTTAAAGGTCAGGATGACAGTTTTACGATACTGCTGTTTTTCACAATGTACCTATTATTCGAATAAAATTCTGCCCAACCCTGGTTCTCGATGAACTTCTACAGTACAAAATTTCTAATTCAAACGATTCGTCATTCGAAGGTTAAATTAGCAACCGAAGTTACATTACGCATAATTAACGAACCAATTCCATCAATCATCCAGCCAGTAGATGTTATGAGTAGTTCACGTCACCGATCGCGATTGCTTTGTTGGTAAAAGTCCTTTAAGCAACGTCTAGAGGCTGTAATAGGCCACGGTGAGCCAGTATCGAAACAACACATCGTCCTTAATGTATCCCATCAATCCCCTCAGAACAACAAAAACATATATGTATTAATTTTTGTTTTTGGATATCTGTCCGCTAGATAAGATTAGAGATGTCTCTTTGCATATTGTTACATGTAATCTCTATATGAACATAGCAATGAAGCCCTACCGCAGCCAATCAGCAAAAGAAAGGATAAAGAGCACAAGAAGAAGAAGTCGAAGACGATATTGGCTGTTAACGTCGAGGCGGATATCGCCTTGAAAAACGCCGGCACGCAGCCGGAGCCACTGTCCTATAATGTTGTCGCCCCGTCGAAACCTATTCTCGAAAAGAAACCAGGTTGGTTGCGATTCACAGCTCGATCTGGAAAGAAGTGCACGTTAACTGTAGTGTTTTTTGAGATTTTATATACTTATCTTGTTCTCGTCGACACACGTTCGCTCGACGAGACCTTCGATTACGAAAGAATACCACGTGAAAATTGCAGGGATAAAGATCGAATTATTGTCACGGTCTGCCATTACGTTTGCTTGTACTACTGACACACCTGACCGTCCTGGAATAAGGTAGATGTACCAATTACTGCCACCTTAAAATTGTAGCGTAACTTCGTATATTCATTTTACGTGTTGTTTAACCGAAAAACGTCTCAGTTTAAAACATAATATTATTTAATATCTCCTTCGTTTAAATGGATAATTTTTTACGTTAAATATGAAGAATTAATTCATAATTAATTAAAATCTCCGAACAATCCCAGTGTCCCTATAACCGTCACCTCAAAAATTAAACTAATTCTTATATACTTTAACAATTCATTTTGTACAATTGATGTAGGATGAATAGTAAAAATACAGCTCTCTCTTTACTATGATTATTGTCATCACTTTCTACGTACGTAGTCCCGTTTTTAATGCTTAAATTGCAGTTTCAGTTTTTAATATTAATTTTTAAATACCAGAATCCTAATTTAATTATAAAATTTTTTTGTACACAATTCTTTATACGTTATGTTGTTATTCAGGAGAATAAATAAAGTGATTGTGTTAGGGATACTGACAGTAATTGGGACATTTACGCTATCTGTGTCTGTTGCGCAGACACGGTGGGAATTGGTTGGAGTAGGAAAATTCGAATGCTTTCTCGTGTGTTGCTGTGTAATACGCGAAGAAACGAAGAATCCTTTGAAAACCGAGGAAGGTAATCGAGGTCTTATGTAACAATTTGGTTTCGTGCATTCTTTCCTGCAGTCAAGTTTCGTTTACTTCACAACCAAAGGCTTCGAACGATCAGCCCTTGTCCACATCATCTATCATATTCACCTTAGTCCGTCGAATCCGTTGATTAATCCTGAAAGTAACTGTGATTCTATTCCATTTTCGTTCAAACTTTGAATCTTATCGTGGTTGTTGGTTTAATTTGCACCGAAACGGATTCGATAAATCGATCCTCGAGTTCGGAGACTCTGTTGTAAGCTTTTTCGCGTCTAGCTCAAGTTTAATTTTTGAAAAGTTGTATTGCAATGTAAATTACAAAAAGTAGTTGTATAATATTTACTTAAATATACGCTTCTACAGGTTGCGACCGAAAGAATGATACAAGCATGAAGGAGATTATTCTGCAAGCAGAACTAAGTCGAGAATGTGGAATAAATTATTTTCGTATAATTTTTCATTTTCATGGTATATAACCGAATTCGAAAATCTACTGGATACTCGTGTAATTGAATACATAGGACTTATCTAACTCGTCTGTCCATTGCATTCCGTTTCTACTGATTTCCAGCACGACTACACGCGTTTCAGATGAATTTTCAAATTCGATTTTCTCGAAACTTAAGCCTCGGATGACAAAATTTTATTCCACAGTTTCGACTTCTTTTTGCATAAGGAATCATATGCTGTCTGCTTGTATCATCCTTTTGGCCGCATCCTCTGTAACACAAAGAATTAGTCAACATCGAAGAAAATTAACCCCATGTGTTGAAGTGGAACAAATTAAATCCACTTATTGAAGAAACTTTCTCGGTGATCAACGTTGGCGTTCGACCTTGCTCCAACGTCGTGCACGGTAGAATCTCTTAATTGATCACGACCAATATTAATTTCAGCGTACGGATACGATTACGCAAGCTCGTAATTGCCCATCGAAATAACACCGTCCATCGACTGCGCCTATAAAAGATTGGGTTTTTTAAGCGTCGACGGGGACAGCTGCCAAAGCAGATAGCTAGACTGAAATATTCTAAACGTTTATCAAGCCGTCATCTTCTGCTTGTTTTACATAATCACGCTCGGTACTATTCCGTAGACAAAGGACAGGATCGGGAGTACCATCTATCTTTCTCTTTCTTTCTCTGTTTCGTTCTCTCGATCAACGGGTCCGACTGCAGCAATGGCGATCCGCGGATTCAGCCGTGTTTTATATAACGTCGAGAAGCGCTACCGATTTACGTAATTATTTATATAATTTTTAATAAACCGTATCGAACGTACGAACGGATTCTCACGTGTACCAGGCTTTTTTCGTCGATTCGTTACGAGCTAAACCCCCGATTCGCTGCTGTTCACTGATACAGTTCGTTGCACGGCGAGAAAACTGCATTTGCAAGTTTTTTCATTTTCATCGGATTTACAAGATACGACATTTCTCTTTCACCGATTAGAGGCCGCCAGAAGATCGGACACGCGCGCGTAAAAAAATCCTCGGGCGTGTAAAAATGTTTTTCTTATTTTTTTATTAACTCCTTATTCTTATTTACAATCTGTCTTGGTGACAATAAGCGTGTAAAAATGTGACGGTATAATCCTGGCAAAGATGTAGCGTGGTCGTAAATTAAGGGGTCATTCTACTTTGACGGCCGAAAAAGTCTATATTTAGGGATTTTTTTCCTAGAATCACCCTTTTTTCGGTTGCATCACCAGTTACGGGACACCCTGTATATATCACTCTATGAACGGTTAATGAAACGAGATCGAGATTCGAGAAGTGAAAATTGCCTCGGTATCAACCCCTCGATGTGTTACACACTTATCAGAGCTTTGAAATTGAACTTTTTCAGTGGTATATTTCTCTTCTTTTATCGTTTCCTTTCTGTCAGTTCCGTTTAGAATGATCTAGAGCTTCCAGTTCGTTACTCCTCTCGTGGATCGTCGCGTTGGACTAAGGAAACATTCAAATCTCCTTCCATCCTTCGTCGATTCATTATTCATGCAGCAGATTACATGTTACACGTTTCTTGGACGTCCCCCCACTACCTACCTTGTCAGTTGCCAGATGTCTTCGATCGAATATCTTTTCTTCCATCGCCGGATACGTCTGCACAGGATGTTTGTGTTTCCTGAACGTTCCGTTGTGTTCGTATAGGAAACGATTCACCTAACTTTGACGATCAATTAACTTTGCGTTTATACGGGGATATTTTTGAAGTGAACGTTACATGACTTCACAGGTTGCATAAGCTTTAATTACTTGCTTTGTAGTCGGTTAACTGGAGAGATTCGGGTCACAGAACATATAAAGACTGTCGTGAATGTCATGTAGATTGCAGAATAATTCTGTAACATTGAGTGTGTTGGTTTGTCGGTACGTAGTTTCAATTCAAAATGCCATTTTCTGTCTTTGAGCACGATCAAAATAACGTTGATTATGGCGAACAGTGCAGAATATTACCGAATGCCATTACACCTAATGGAAAAAAATGCCATGATCAAAATCGTCGTGAATCTTCTGTAAAATACATGTTTCATTGTGTTACATACAATGAATAAAACTTCAGTGATCATTAGACTCTGGATGTATTTATGCAAGTTGTTAATCCCATAGGCTATTTCATAAAATCCAAGATAAGATCAAAGATAAACCAACTGCATTTATTAAGAAACACATAAAGTGAACCCTAGAACGCATACATCGTTTCAACGTGGAGATTTATTTTTTAAGACACTGCTTTATTATAATAGTTGCATTATAATATTATTTAATATGTGATAATGTTATTTGTTTTTTTTTATTATTAAAACGTATATCTACCAACCTAAAGACATCAAAATAATTACAACTTTTAGAGTCCAGTGGAGTATTCAATTACCCCTGTTTGCGTTCCAGGACTAAGAATAAAATAAACACTTAATTAATGCATATTAACACTAGAACTAACTTTCTTTCTAACTTCGAATCCTCACTTTTAGAGTAACTTTCCTTTCACACGCATTTCCATATAAATGAAGATTTTACAAACAGTTACGTGAATCGTCTCCAATATCCGTTCCCTAAAATACATACCCATCGGGGACGTCTATGGAACGTCTTTCAGAACGTGATCGTGCTTCCTGCGTATGAACACTGTCCATATGTCCTCTGCCCCTTCCGCCATCAGCTAAAAAAATCACGGGCATTTGTGTTCGCGAGAAACGCAATCTAACGAAGAGAATTTTTGTTGGGTGTGTTATACAAGAAGAAGTAACCACTGTAGAATTGGTGGACGCAACGGATCCTGGCGAGCACAACAGCGATACTATCACCGATCCGGAAGCGGGACTTGCTTCTCGCACGAATCCCCTGGATGATTCCATCTCTCAAGCCAACGTTAGTATTTTCAACAACAAAAAAACGAACGCAAACGCGGGCGACAAAAACACTGCACGCACGTGTACGCAGGTCATAATCACGTAAACTAGATAACTGTGGTAGAAGGAGACACGTAGATTACGAGACAGTAATTATGTCACTCGAGACTTGCACTTACAAGGGGAGAACACCAATTATCCGACTTCGATTTTAACGGGGTTTTCTAAGATGATAGTATACAAGTTCCTAATCGTAGTCGGACAGTTGGGTTCCTTTCTTTGTTAGGGAAGTCCAGGATCGGCCATGCTCGGAAACGCAACAGGCTTACCAGTTTGCAATCTTAACCGTAGTATATAATGCTTGACACGATGCGATTTACCAAAATTTCATTCACTGGGTCTCTTTAAACGATGTACCGTTTGGGTATGAGTGATTTAACAAAACGGTAGTATGATTGTTTGCAAGGGTCTGGTGACGTTAATGCATGGAGAAGGGAGGTTTATCGGGCACTGATGGTAGACAACACCTCGATGAGCGATCAGACTAACTGAATCTTCTTAGGAAGTATAATCCCTTTCCTTCTGATATATTTTTTTTAATTTTATACTAATATAACACGGTATTGGTTTAAAGTAGTATGAATTGAGTGAAATGCCACTAATCGAATTGATGCTGGTATTAAAATGCCCACTAATAAGGTGTACAGTAACAAGCAAACTCGACTTCTGTTGGGGGAAAAAGCGGCGTAGCTAGAATTTTTTTCTGATTACCTTTCAATTGATGTTGCAGGATTATTAGTTAAGTAGAATGTAAAAGTTAAATAGCTTAATTCTAATACAATTTTACTTAATACTTGAACGTAATGAGGATAGTATTGTATTTTTTGTACTTAGTTGCATTGCATATTTCATTTCGGCCCATGTATTTATTTTTTATAATATAAGATTTTACCAACTGACGAATGTTTTTTTTTTATATATTTCCACAACTTCGGGATGGGGGGGCAGGCTCACCCTGGCCTCTACCTAGTTACGCCAATGCGTAGGGGTAAGAGCCACCTAACACTTGGTAAATTTATTTCATGTATTGAAATAAATGTTAAATCGAATGTTAATTTGGCATAAATTTCAGTAATTCCCAGACCAAGTGGTAAGAGGCCCTTCTCCTACGCCGCTTTTTCCCCTAGGGGAAGCCGAGTTTGTTCGTGAGGTTATAGAATGGTAAATAAAACGGAACACGTAGTAAAGGATAGCTTTTCCTTTAATGTTCCGACATGTATTTAATTTGTTTGTTTCATTGTCTGGTTTCACATGTTGTTTAATGTTATATTGTTTATTTTTATGTGTCCTGTTCCGTGTCAAGATCAAAGAAGATTCTGGAATAGTAAGATGAAGCTCTTTCCTCCTTGTATAATATTTTCATATTCAACGAACGGAAGTTCCATGAATATGATAGACGCATAATATGTCCCGCTATAAATCGATCTAAAAATTTGCACGTTACCGTTGCGTACATGTTAGTAAATCATGTATAATACAACGAAAACGAGAGCATTGTAGCGACGAGTTCGCTGTACAAGCTACGGTTAGTAGATCCGGAAACGATAAGTCGTCGAGATTTCTTTCTTGGTACCGAACCTTGATGACATAGATTAAGTGTCATCTACGTGGTAATATCGGCTTCCCATGGTTCATTTGGTATTGCGGGTCTGTCGTGATCCACACATCTCTGACACGTTTTGCTTGTATCCTGTAGGAGGGATTTTGCGCGGTGATTTCGATGCATGACGGCCTTGTGTTGTACACAACTCCCTCGATATGTACAGCTCTAGCATATCCGAAGGACGCGTGGATCGGTCGGTCGTTCATCGATTACGTGCATCCCAGGGACAAGACGACTCTGGCCGATCAGATCACCAGTGGTATTATTTCGCCCCAGGAAGATAGTCCGAAAGGTATGACTTAAAGTTTCTCGTGATTGATAAATGGTCCATGACCATAATGACCCGTATTTATTACGTGATGCATGATTAGAAATAAGTGTAAGATAAAAACTAGTAATAATTTATTGTAACGGACGTAATTTGACGAAAGAACATATTTTAATAAAGTCGAATTTAATCATAATTAAGATTAAAATTGAAAAGAAGAAGAAAGAAAGAAAGAAAAATGAATATAAGAATATATATGCATATAGATAAAGTTACGTTTGCAAAAATTTCATACTAGAAATTACAGTAGAAAAATATCCTTTTGTCGATTCTACCAAGAATAAAAAATATCGTAATAAAATTATGATTGAACTATCTCGAACGAAAATTCTCGTATTTTCTCCTGTGTCCAGTATTTTTATAATTTCATTAATTTAACAATACGATTGTTGTATTTTTGCAGGTATTAACGGCAGAAGAGCAAGCTTATTTTGCGGATTGAGAAAATATACAAAGTCCGCCGTTCACCAATCGATCGGTTACCGTAAGGAGGCAAGATCGAATTTGTACCTTCCGTTCCACCTGACGTTGTCGTTCCGAGATTTTCGGGACCGTGCGACTGAGCAACAACACAAAGCAATGTTCCTGGTGGTTACAGCCCAACCCGTTCATTCTGCATATAAAGGTAGTACGGTTGCAGATCTTCGAGGAGTGTCGACTGACGAAAAGATTCGATCGATTCTGTCTGAAATATTCTCGCTATGTGTTCGATCATTTATACAGAGTGTCCCAAAATAGCTTCGATTCCCGGAAATAAGGGGTTCCTGGGATGATTTTAAACAACTTTTTCCTTAGCAAAAAATTTTATCCGAGGCTTTGTTAGCGAGATATTAACGAAAAATCCCGACCAATCAGAGCTCGGCCGGCAGGCTCGCGCTCTGCGAATCGAGCTGTTTGCTTTTTAACACGTGCCATTTAAAACTAAAACAATTTCATATGGAAGGTAGCGTTAACCCGGCAATAGAGAAAGAGAGAGATCGAGAATGACCCCGACCTTCTTATTATCGTTATCCGTAGCGCCAGAAGAAACGATAATATCTTCGATATTCACGACCCGCCACACCGCGACGTGCCACCTATCCCATGTTGATCCCGACGTAGTCCATTACTTTGGATATCTACCTCAGGATATGGTTGGCCGTTCGCTGTTTGACTTCTACCATCCCGAGGATCTGCCCTTCATCAAAGACATCTATGAGACTGTGAGCATGCGCCCCAGAACAACACAAAAACAAAAAAAAAAAAAAAAATAAAACACAAGCTTCACATAGGTTTCGATTGAGTATAACGTTTGATACAAACAAAAAGTACAAAAAAAAATCGAAAGTACAAAATGATAGTAGAAAAAAAACAGAAATATATAAAAAAATCCGCAGAACCAAAGTGTGCAAGCAAGCGAATCCCGAGAACCAAACACGTCGAACGGAGATGTGTGATAAATCATTTTTTTTTTTCGTTCCCTCTTTACTCCATAATATACTTTAACACGTGTATCGTTGAACAGGTGATCAGGCTCGAAGGTGCGTCCTTCAGATCGAAACCCTACAGGTTCGAAGTGCAGAACGGCGGCTACGTAGTCCTCGAAACCGAGTGGTCGTCTTTTATCAATCCCTGGACAAAAAAACTAGAGTTTGTCGTAGGTCAACACAGAGTACTGAAAGGCCCGACGAATCCGGATGTGTTTCGCGACCCTAATTTGAACGAGCACGGCCAGGTGGTCAACATCAGTGAGGAGGTGCTCAAGGAGGCGAAAATCATACAGGGAGAGATACGTACACTTTTGGATGAGGTACGTCTACCAACACGATGATGATCCCTCCCGATCCAGCGGTATAGTTTAGCGGTATTTTTTCTAAATCGTGTACGCCGACGATTTAGATTCCTATCGAAAAGGTAAAACTCGAAGTCACGTTGCCGTATGTACGATCGATTGTCGCTCTTTTATCGCGTTAATTCTGTTATCAGAAGATCTTTCATTGTATTTCACAATAATCTATGGTTTATACATGCATAAAATCCGCAGTCTAGTTATGTATAACAGAATATCACGATACTATAAGATCGATTTTTATAAAGGGTGAACCAAAAAAAAAAGGTTCATAACTTTCAGGATAGATAGTGTTTGCCAAATGATGAAGAAGAGTCGTAATAAACATGGGTCGAAAAATGAATATTTTCAAGTGTCCCGTGTAACCCCGTGTCCGAAATGAAATTCATATTCTCGAACGACTGTGTCCGCTCAATCCCCAAATTTTTCTCTTTTGTTCTATCGTACGTCTGCGCAGAACATCCAAAGAAAGTCAGATATAACCGAGCTCGACGTGTCAAAGAGGTGCAAGGACCTACCGTCCTTCATGGAAAATCTGCTCCAGGAGACGAGGGCGACTGGTCTCGCGAAAGATGTGCTAGCTGCCGACGACAGGAGTTTTTCGGTGACTATTAGCTACGTTTTAGTATCGCCGACACATACCTATTTATGGTAGTAATTACGCTATAACGCGCACTCTGATGGTATGCTAAAACAAAGAGTATACTAACTATTCTATACGTATATATTATATATATATATATTATATATTACCCACGTTACGCTTACGACAACAGAACGTGGAATGTATTAAAGATCTTACTGTTAGATCCTGTAAACACATCGTATTCAAACGATTGTATTTTCGTTTCGATCCGTTTAACATTGTTTTCGAACTCGTTGGCACTTCCGTCTATATGTAGATTGTCCTCCATTTGTGGTCGTTGTTCAGTTAGCTTTAACCCCTTAGCTGCGGAGGATCTACATAAGGATTCACGAAAACACGGAACGTACTCTTATATTTATACTCTATTTTTATGAAAATTGTACCAATAGGGTAGTGAGATTTTCCAAACACGATTTTTTTTAGTGATAATTTTTAGTAATCCGAATTACGTACAATTGAAACTAGTTCGAATGGTGTCGTGCTCGAACTCATTTTTATTGAAAAAGCGACTCTACTGTATATAACTTCGTTACACTCGTCAGAAGAGGTTACTATATCTTACTTTCATAGCCAAACAACCAAGTAAAAATCATCTGATTGATCTATGAATGGTCTTCGTATTTAAGGGGTTAAGTTCATTAGGTTCTAATTTTGCTTTGCGTTATTTTCTTTATCTTAAACGGTATCGTGTACTATTTCAATCTCCATAGAGAAAACAACACGAACGTATCGTATCGAAAGTGCATCGTAATTGTGTACGGCACGGTAGAGGAAAAAAGAAATTAGCACGTCTTCGTTAAGAGCGATCATTCGAAAGTTACTCGCTGTTCGGGATTGGCGACGAACATTTTGAGATACGAGGAAAATTTTTTTTTTATAAAATTAATTTAAAAAAATTTATTTTTAACACGATTCAATCTTCGGATAATTTCTTCTAAGAAGGCGAGATAGTTTTGAATCGTCGCTTCACGCCGTTATTCCAGAGCGATCGATGTTTTGTTTTATTGCTTTACATAATGATCCCAAAACGATTAATTTTTCGTTTCGTTTGATCCGTATCGCAAGAATTTCTTTTTTCCTTACTGGTCCCTTCAGGCAAGCATGACGTAAGTAGAGTGTAACCGACATAGGCGGAGGGCTGGGAAAAGTTCCATGCTAATATATCTCTTCGCGAAGCAACCAGAAACGTTTTACACGTGATCACGAAACGAATTTTCAGGAATAGAATTTCGTCGATGAAACGAATCTGAGATTCTCGTTGCTTCCGAACGATATGTCGTAGAATTTATTAGATGAATTTTTGGAAAGCTGGTCGACACAAAGAAAGGTGCACAGCGATTGATTAAACATTTTACAGCCTGGTGTCACGATCGTAAAACCGGATGGTCGTCACGCAAAAAAAAAAATTAACTCTAAAGCCCACGAATGTTAATCACGAGTTAGGGTATTCACGCACATCTGCTACCGTTAATTCCTTGCGTGGCTAGTCATAAGTAAAGCACAAATCGGACGTGATCAGAAAAATACTGAGGTATCACGATGAGAACAGAGAACAGAAAATAAAACAGAAACAATCTACCAAATTGTTTTGTACATAGACACCGACGGAGGGCAAAGTGAAAATTGTTTAGGTCCGTTGGTGGATAGCGTCAATTTCAAAACCTTGTAGGAACGTTATTGGTAAGTCAATTTACGTTTTTTTTTCTTCATTCAATATATTATTCGTTAAAGTTTACACTCAATTTAAAAAAGATCAAATTTCAGAACTACTTTATTTTTTTAAATCGACCTCGATTGTACCAGTTTGGAACATACAAGTAGCTAAATTAAGTTCCGTATTATTATCGACAAACAGAGGTACCGATGGATCATGGAAAACGCAAGAATATCCCTAAAAAAATTGTATATTCAACTCCTTACTGTGTTCACTGGTCTCGAATTTCTACGTTCAACGGAGTGGTCATCGTGTCCTCTCGAGAACTGATAACGTAATCGAGTCCCAGTCTTTTATTGTCTATGATGCTTTGTTTATCTAACCAACAGCACATTGAGTACGAGACGTCGCCTGTATTTCTTTTTGACGGTTTCACGTATGTTTTGTTGATCGAGAAATTTGTTATCTTCGCTTATTTTCTCGTAGTTCTCAATGAAACATGTACTGTCCATTGTTGTGTTCTCTCGTGATTGATGGATAATAATCTTCTTCATCGCGTCTAACTTGGGGAACATTTTTTCTTCTTTTATGTTCAGTCCCAAGGTTTTCTTTCGTTTCGAACTCTCTTTGAGTGATCTTTTGTATCAGTATGACATCGATTGTGCCTCAAGTCTGTTAATGGATTTACCACGACAAGGGAATTCGATGCATTACATTGTCTAGATATGGATTACGAACCTTTACTTTTAATAGTTGATATAGAATATCTTGTTTTATTAATATAGGTATTTAACCCTCGAAAGGTGGACGGTTCTGATAGTACCGAAGGGTGAGTCCGTTTGGACCCTCATACATTATTCCTTCTAAATGCACTTTTGAACTTTCGTTGTGAATTCTTTTTTTTCCATTTAAATGAAATATAAACAACTAACAGCTTGAATTATTTATCGAAAAGCTCGTAATGGAAACGAGTATAATAAGTTACCAAGAACCGAACACAGGATACGTTATAACGGTTAGAAGTGTATTGATTAATTATTGCAATATGACGTTCGTGACCAGAGAGATCCGGTCTGTCTGTGTGTGCCTCTTCACTTACAAGGTTTTGAAACTAACGAGGTGATACGAGGGAACGAGAACAGGAGGATAGAGGAGTCCGTCGAAACGTGCACGACTGGCGGTCACGTTTTCCCCCGGAGTTACGACGAGCAGAATAAATTCTCGCCTATCGATCGTTCCTCGTCGTCCGAGCGTGAGACTGTGTGTATAGCGATCTTTGAAATTAATATTCCCCGTGATATCGTAATGCATAAATTGTTCAAATAAATTCCTGGCGATCTCCAAAATTATTCTTTTTTAAATCTGGACATTTCAATCATTCAAATCGTCGATTCTCCGTTATATATCGCAAATTCAGAGGGAAACAATGACAAGCATTTCTGAGTGAATAGGGTATTGAGGGTTGGAGGAGGATGTTCGAAACGTGAGGACAACGGCCATGGAAGGCAACCATTCGATCGTAGCAGTTGGAAGCAATTATAACGGGATTGTCGCTGGTCTGGAGAAATTAGTAGACGAGCCGATTGGTTACTTCAGTGTGCTGTAGTTATTGCATTTTTGTTGTCACGTGGATGGACTTAACCACGGGTTCCTTGCTAACCCGCCTTGCACACACACAGGTCCTCGCTTGCTACATTCATTTTCCAATGGCTGTGATCAAAGGCTACGCGGGGGTAATCGTACTAATGGTACCGTAGTCGAAAGAGCCGAAAAAGAAAACTAAAACGGTAACATTAAACCACTCCGTCGCGTGCCTCTAACGCAACGCAACGCAATTATGCAAAACAACTGACAGTGACGAAAATCATGTGACAACTCACTCTAAGGCGCTACAATATACTTGTGAAGGGATCACGCAATCCCGTGTTACAGGAGCACGACAGCGTGATGCTCGGTGAGATATCGCCCCATCACGAGTACGACGACAGTAAATCGTCCACTGAGACACCGCCGAGCTACAATCAGCTGAACTACAACGAGAATATCGAGCGGTTCTTTAAGAGCAAACCGCTGGCCGCCACCATATACGGCAGCGACGAGGAGAACATTAATTCGAGCAACGACGAGGGAGAGAAGACCAGTCCGAATTCGGCAGGTTAGACACTTTTTTCAATAATATTTACTCGAATAATGCGAATACATTTAACTAAAAACGGGTTACTCGAAACCGCCCGGAACTTCGAAAAGAAAAAAAGGGGTTGGTAAAGTTTAAAAAGAATTTTCTTTTATACGATATCTCATTGAATCAGTAGTAAATCAAAGTAAACAAATTTCGGTTTGAATTCAGACTCTGTAAATTAACCATGTCCGTAAATATCTGCAGTCTGTTTATGATTATTCATTGAAAATTCTTTAAGTGTAATGCAAAATGGAAAAACTAATAAAATTTTCTTCGATTGGGGAGTTTTTTTTTTAAAGAAGATTTCTTCTACTGCATGATACGTAATGTATTATGTATTGTTGTTGACAGCAAGGAAATGCATGTCGCCAATAAACGGAAGCGGTGCAAGCGGCAGCGGTAGCGCGGAGAATCTCAGCAGCGGTTCAACAAACAACCAAACCAGTTCAGCGAGCCGAGACAACACCTCCAATACAACCAGCAACACTACCACCACGGAGAGCTTCAAACCTCCCACCCTGACCGAATCTCTATTGAATCGTCACAACGAGGACATGGAGAAGTTAATGATGCAGAAACACCGAGAACTCCGTTCGAGTATTAAGAACAGCGACAAACTGAAGGATTCACGGATAAAAATAACCACCGAGAAGATGAATACAGACCTGAACGTTCATTCCGCCAGTCAGGGTCACGGAGTGAAGAGAACCGGTAGCCACAGTTGGGAGGGAGACAGTTTCAAAGTGAGTATACCACAATGTTTCATTTGTAAAATCCATAGAGAGCTCGTGATACACAGGGTATATAATTGGAGTCATTTTGGAGTTTTATAGTTGGATAGTTTACCGGAACAAGTGTTAAACAAAGGCATAACGTCTGTGTTAGGGACTTCATTAGACTAAAAATAAAAACAGAACTTCATTGCTTCAGCAAAAAAAGAAAAAGCTAAATTCATTTACGGAAGATCAGTTGAGTTGAACGTTCCATAGTTTGAGTCAATTTTATCCGAGTATAGGGTAAGAAAATATTATTAACACTTTGCTGGCGGGAGAATTTTTGTGTTTGCAAATGTACGACTTTAGGTGTTCTAAAAATATTTAGAAATCACTACTTTTATTCGTCGAACGTTATATACAGGAAAAGCAATTTTTCCCTACTTTTTACTATTCTAGTTCTTATTTTAGAAAGACGTGCTATTACGTTAACCGACGTCAAAGTGTTAAGTATGTACGAACACGTGTGATTCCGTTGTGTCAGGTTTCGAAGCATGAAGAGATGTCGAGGACAAGCAACGCGGGTCAGTTTCCTACAAACGTTACCACGACATTCACAAGCATGAGCGTCGATCAATCAACTGTTATTCAAACAGGTGGTAATATAAACCTGTGGCAGCCGCTCTCGGTTACCGTGCCGCCCCCACCGCCTGCTCAACAATGCAATGTGCCAGAAAAGTAAATTTTCTGTACAACAAATTAAATGAAAATATCGAGGTTCAGTTAATTACACTGGTCAACAAAATTTAACTTTTTTTTTGTCTTCGAACATCCAGTAGCTGATTCTTATAAATTCTTCTGTGCTGATTACGAATCTGTAAACAGTTGTTTGCCATCACCCTCAGTTTCCGAGAAATTTGATTTAAACAAAAATTTCAAATTTTCACCTTCGAACATTTCCTGTGCTCAAACATTAATAGTTATTTTGTTCGGGAGACTTTACAGAATAATTTGACGCAACAATCAACTAAATAACTATTAATGTTTGAGCAGAGGAAATGTTCAAAGTTGAAAATTTGCATTTTTTTGAAAAATCAAATTTCTCGGAAACTGAGGGTGATGGCAAAAAAATTTTTACGGATTCGTAATCAGCACAGAAGAATCTATAAGAATCAGTGTAAATGTTCTTTGAAACAAAAATCATGTTGACCAGTGTTATCGAAATACGTAACGATTCGCGGTCCTGTTGATATTTTAGCGCCAGTTCACAAGCAATACCCAGATTACCAGTACTGCCGCCGATGATACCAGTGTACTACGTGCCGGTTCCGCACACTACCGAGCCCGCGGTATTATCGCCCATACAGGAGAAGCTTAGCCAACCTCAATCAATCCAACATCCACCGATCAATCCTTACGTATCCAGTACGTATGTTCTAATTCAAGAATCAATTGAGAATAAAGAATAAAGAGAAAGATAGTGAGAGGAAGAAGCACTAGAAAAATAAGTAAATACACACCCCAACAGAAATTGTCAAACAAAAAACAATTAAACCAAGAATTCTATCGTACACTTTCTTTTGTCATTTTATATGTAATTCTGATCTTAAATCTTTTTACTCCCTAAGAGCATAAAGAAATATGTAATATCACACTCTTGTAGCGTCCAAAGAGAATTATTACATAATTTTCTTTAATCGTTACGTGTCCGCAAGTAGAACACAAGAGAAGTTACTAGAAGACTGTTGGATGACGATGCAGAAGTACAAATGAAATTAAATTGGAAAGTAAAAATCAACGTGATTACATATTTCTCGAATTATTTTCATAGTGTTCGTGCCAGTGTCGTACGTCACCACAGCAATGGCCGGACTGATCTATCCTCCAGTGATCGGTGCTCCACCATCGGGCATGATGTACAGGCCTTTCGTGAGCCCAGAACAGACGCCAGCTCCCCGAGACACTAATCTATCCAACGTCGACAAATGTTTAGATAGAAAACGACCGGCCAGCCAAGCGACGAGCGTTAAAGCAGAGCCTGGCAGCATCATGGCGATGTCCGAATCCTCGAAAAAAGTAAACCGATCACGTCTGATATTAACCCCAGATCACTACATCTAACATAAAAATTATCACTTCAAATTTGCGATTCTCAGAAATGATGACGAAAGATAGCCTCGGACTTAATGTCTACGCAAAGACTGGAGGGAGAGCGAGTTTATGTGCTCGGAAGTACGTGTGAAGGGGAAGTGCCTCGCGTGGCAATATGTTTAGTGGCAATATAGTTAGAGTCTACTGTAAAATATCACGTGTTTCCTTTCAGTCGTCATTTTTACGAATGATTAGTACTAACGGATAATTTAGCGATCTAGGGTTAATGTTTCCTTGAATTATCCCGAACGTTTATGTATATACTGATGGTTTTATAATAATTAGGTACTATCACCCGGGGAACTGTTCTCGTCTTGTGTGAGCAACGACGGAGGTTGCTCGAGCTTAGTGGACGCATCGACGCCGGTGAATCCGAAAGTCCACAAACATAATGATTACAGCGTCGACGAATCGAGTTCGTCGAGCTTTTACAGTAGTTTCTTGTACAAGAGCAGCGAGAGCAGCTGCAACCCGGACCAGAAACCAACGGAGTATTTGCCTGAGGTGTGTAATTGTATTGCTTGGATACATTAGAAATAGCATGTAGCACTATCTACTAACTAGAGTTAGAAAATATTTAGACCAAGAAGCTGTAGGACTAGACTTGTAGTGATGGATTATCGTAGGTAGTGGAGTTTATTAATTTGAAAGGGAACGATTGTTTACAGAACAACGCGAAGCAACAACAGGACAAGCGAAGAAAAGAGCCCCCGTGGCTCGAAGGTGTCCAATTGACCCCAGAATTGATATACGAGTATCAGGTACACCCGAAAACACTGCAAGAAGTACTTGAAGCTGATATGGATGCCTTAAAAACTTTGAATCAGCCCCTGTTGGTGAACGATCAGCTGGGCCAACTCTATCTGGACCTGGAGGTCGAAGGTTTCGAGACCAAGCTCGTCCTCGAAGACGGAATGACATCCAGCGGGAGCGACAGCGGGAGCAGTAACGGAAGCTGGACAGCGGGGACGATGTCTCAGGTAAAACAGTTTCAAGGTCTTATGTTAAGTTCACAGAGCACATAGGTATACAGTAATTTTAGGACAATTGTACATTATCGCTTTTACTTACGAGGAAAAAGAAAGAAGCATACACTACCACAAGTTGTTGTTGTTATCAACATTTTATATTTTTTCTGATTAATTTTGCATTGACGATCGCGAAATCGTTTGAAAGAAAATTATTTATATGTTTGTACTACATACACATATATATTTAATATGAATGCTTGAAAGGAATGGCAAAATAAATTTGTGTGCATTTATTTATTTGAACAGTATACATTGAAACAGCATGATTTATCACTTGGTGTTAGAATTTAAATACAAGTGAAAAATAGAATACAAAACCCAGGATTTTTAATCATGTTTACGACGATGGTGAATGAGATAACCATTATTTAATGTACATAGGATCGTTTTCGTTTCTTCGAGAATGCACACGAATTTATATTATAGAATACGATAGAAGCGATTTTTTTTGTAGAAAGAATCGCGCACATCTTACAGACACATGTTTGTCATGTCAGCCCCTTAGGTTCAGGTTTCTTAAGAGATTATTTTTAACCATGTTAGAATTGAGAGTTCTAAACCGACATACACTACAAGCTTCTTAATCGACTTGGTGAGTACTGTTTACCGTTTAATCCTGAGACTGTCTTACATAACACTGTCATATTTTTTAATACGTTCAATAATTTATTATATGTATATCGCGTGATAAAAGAAAAAAAAAAAGAGGGACAAGTTTTATCAGTTTCGAAAGTCGAGTAGTGGAGAGTCCGATGGAGGTCTTGACTAAACGAACAAGATATCTTGTTTGCAGCAAATGCATGGGAGGAGAATGGTGAAGTACGGTAAATTCGTGATGATACACGAAGAGAACGCCCCGTTGCCACCTGCGCTGCCATCGAAACCGTACCTTGCCAGCCATTATAGGAACGATGTTGTGACGACCAATTCGTGACTCAACGCTGTGTCTAGGTTCGAAGGTTTCGTCTGCAATGCCGTGCTTCGAATTTGTGTCTGGTACTCGAGTTACAATTGGCCGCTGCGTACAACTCCGGTATCGTTTGACCGACTTCGCTGCTACAATCGCGTGTCGGATTTCGAAGCAGGTAAAATCACTGTCCTGTGTCGCGCGTGAACACATTTAAGAACAATATTTCCATTATTTTTCTTTTACGTATAATCTTAGTTATTTGAACAAAGAAAACGCATATTCGTTCATTCTCTTATATGCATACGTCATTGTTATTGTACTGGGGGCCAGTATAAAGTTCGTAGCGTTTCAGACGCGGTGTTTCTATATTTTTATTTCGCCGTCGAATAATGTTTATCTAAATGAAACCTAGATACATTCGATACACTACTTAGATACCAATATGTAACGAAAGATTAAAATAGAGACTGAGTCATATGTTCCGTAAAGAAATATTATTATTTATATTCAGTTCACTGTTGTTGCTTCATCGCTGAAGCATTCCGGCGCTCGAATGGTCGCGAAACACCACGAACTTTCCGACCTACCCAACACAATATCAATATACTGTCATATATTGAGGCACGCAGTGTAAAAAGAAATACGACGATTTGTTTCATGTCGAGACATAAGATTACGTGTGTGTACATTTTAACTGCCTCCAGAACGCGTTATCCTGTCTCCGAACAGTCAATTAGCGCGTTTTTAGGGATAGACATTAGAGCTTAAACGATAAGGTGTCGAAGATCGTATTGGCATAGGATTAGGCCCCCATTTTAAGAGACATTGTACCGTTCCTTTCTCAGTTCTCCCTCGCGTCCGAATTGTTTGTGTTTTTCACGTTGATTATGTCGGTGACAATTTTGGGACAGGCGACTTCCGTGTCCCAAGGATAGATGGAGCTGAACACGGTCGATCATAGACATATACTACATATTTTACTAGTAATATGATAGCGTATCTAAAGTTTTTGTATTTTTAATATTTTTGTAGAAACAAAGGTGACCTTAATTTTAACTAGGAAAATATTAAAAATACAAAAACTTTAGATACGCTATCATATTACTAGTAAAATATACTACAACTGCCTCCTCTTCGGTTTTTTTCTAATATTTATCGTTTACGAAAAAAACGATGGTACAAATTATCGCGAACACTCTGTATAATAGACTGCCTAATGGTAGAGATGAAGTCAAAACTAGAAAGGGAGGACAATAACTGGAGTAACATTCCTCTCCTGATAATGGGGTTGTTGGTGGGGGATTCTCCTACGGCTGTAGTGGAGACATTACATGCGTGCAGTACAGTAAATCCTCGATGAGTGTTCGAAGGCTTCTCGGCACTGACAAAGAAAGATTCTCAGGTGTAACGCTGACTTTTCAATGAGGTTTATCACAGTTATAGAGCTCGAAATTCTGCAGCCAATGATTTTTGTTTCAGCCGTATATGGCCATTAGTTTATGAAATATTTAATGTTAAGTGCCGAGGAGCTTTCTCCCCTCCCTCTGCGATGTGTGAGCGAGAGAGGACTTACTCCAACGCTACTTCTGTCCCTAGGATTCATTTCATTCCTACCATAAGACCGCGCAGTCTATTATACATATATGTCTATGCGGTCGATGCATTCCTCCCGCAGTTACGAGGCGCCCGTCATCGGGCAGATATTGATGTACGGAGAATTGCCTCCAATTGAATCCGCGGTTTCCTTTTGAAACTGACGCATTCTTCCTGCATAACATGATCGATGGATCCTCATTGTCCGGACAAAGCAGGTACTCCGCCGTAAAGTCTGTCACCCGCACAACGTTTTAATATAGATTTAATAGAAATGAATATAGGACAGGAGGGAAGGGGAGGGGAGTGGACAGTTAGTCAACGAGTGTAACTCTGTCAGCCGGGGGATCGGGTCGAAGCGTTTATTCTATTCTTTTTATACACCCATTGTCCGTCATACAATAATCTCCGTTTCGGCTTCCAATACAATTCGTGATAATTAACTTAATAATTACGGTGTAGATCGACTCAATTGTTATCAGGTCCAGCTGAAGGTATTCGTAGCGAAGAATGAGAAATAGATAGACTGCGACATTTTATATATACATTTATGTATACTGTATTCTGTCTGGCACGAAGTATCGTGGAGTAGAAACTTGACAGTTTTTATTTCGTTTCAACCAAATAGGTGCCGTTCATGGGTGGAAACATTAAGTGAACCAGTATGTAATCTGTAGAGTACTATATTTTTTAACGTACTTGATGTTTACCAATGTTGTCTAATAGCTTGCCCCATTTTGTCCAAGCTAAAAGCTGTAAAGATGTTTCGAATTCACATCACATTGGCATTTCATTGAAAGAATAATAGATTACTAACTGGAGCACTTGATAAATGTTTAGTTAATTTCTGTTCCTGTTAATTGTACGACTAAAACCGAAACAATTTACAGAAACTGGAATCTAACATTGTTTTTACCGTGTTAAGGGTCCCGGGTGTGTCAAACAAAATAAAAACTTCACTGCATAGATTTTATGGGAGATCATGCTATTTTGTTTTTTATATATACATGTATATACTCTGCAGTCTAGACACTATTGTACATACATGAGAAAAACAGAATAGAAGTATTAATTACATTTGAAGAAAATATCAACAAATGCAACGTGTCGTCCTATAAGCACTCTGGCTTCATCTTCTAATTCCGTATTTTGTACATAAACAAAGATATTTATTTTTCTACTAATATTTCCCTCGCACAGGAATAGCTTCTCCATCGGCAATGAAAAAATGTGTTGCATTTTGTGACTTAGGGCAACTGCGTGTAAAATATTCTATTTGAAAGGATGTTATTTAAAACAATAAACGATCGAATTTTCCACTGGACCTGATACTTTCATTATCGTCATGTCGTACTTAGAAAAAATAAATTGACTTAATTGGAATATGTTCGATCGTTTTTTAGCGTTTTCATCCGAATCATGGTTATATTTTGAGATGGAATTAATGACGATAAGATCGATCAGCTTTGGAAACACATGTCCTGTCAGTCATAAATCAGCCCCAACAGTCACCAGCATATGAGGACGTGTCTGACGAAATAAATTAAAAACCCGAACAATCTAATTTTACAAACAATTCCCAAAAGACGTTTACGATTTTTTTAATCCTCTGGCAAATTCGAATCCTCAGGTCTGTTGGATAAAACCAAACAAACGGGTGCCTTTACGGTTTATTTTGATCGTCAAACGAAATTCTCCTTTGTAATCGCTATTTTTGTACGTGTTTTCACGACAGTTACCTGTTTTCCCAAACAGTCTTTGTTTTCATCGCGCGACAGAACTGAAAAGGGGATGCGTACTCCCCCGACAGATGACGTCCACGGCACCTTGAACCACTAGCATTTATACGGTCGTGATAATATTTTGTATACCTACCATCTATTTGTACACAGAAAGATATTTTAACGGTCGATCGGCGCGCGTGGATCCGACGAGTGAAGTAAATATTTTGTATACCAGTGAACCGCGCGAGTAATCCTTCAGAATCCAGGTCAGTCGCCGTTGATCCTTGTCGATCGAAACACGGAAACGGAAGACTTACTTTTTCCACACGCGTTTGTAACCGCCGTGACCTAGTCCAGATTGTGTATAAAGTAGTTGGAGCTCCGCGATATTCGGGGTTTCATGTGACGACGAAAGTTGTTCGCTCGAAAATCGTGAAATTCGTCTTTTCGTCCGAGAAAAAACGTCGTTCGTTTCTACGTGAAATCTCCGAACGATTTCTATGCCTCAGAACGAAGAAACGTGGGCATCGGTAATGCGTTATCTCGACCAATTCATTTTTCATCGCAACACATCCGTAGATACATGTAAGTGTTCTTATTCAAAGGGGCGAAGCAATCGAGAAAAGACACGACGTCTTTGGAATTTTATCAAGGAGGAAAGCGAACTGTTTCGGATATTGATTTGAAACCATGGGCCTGTATTTGTAAATTGTTCTGTGTACATGCGTACATTACTTTCGTGCAGAAATACGTGATAGTTTTCGAAATGTAAGTTTGAAAGCATCGTGCGCAGTGTTGAAGGACTTTTCTGTGTGTGGTTGCCATAATAGCGTTACTTCTCACGAGTGAAATAAAAGATAGTTTGCAGATTGTTAATTATTCTTTAAATAGAAACAAATCACAAATGTCAAAAAGGAGTATAGTGGTTGTGTTTTACATTCCACGCCGGTTTTTATCAAACAAGAGAAGGTGTATCGAATTTAATGTATCGATAGTTATGTTATCACAATAATAGTGAATTGCTCAATAGTACACCGAAATAGTGTAAAGACAACAGATGTTTTCCGCAACAGCATAGTTCTTCAAACTATTACGACTGCCTTCATAAAAACACGTGCAGGCAAAGTATTTTCAAGTTAATATCTTGAATAAGTTTCTTTCGGATACAATTCGAAATATGTCGTATATTTACGTAGCCACCTTAATCAAATTTGTACTACATTTCATACAAACGACTAATAATAACGTTATCTAGTAATTAGTATTTTTTAGCAGTACGATATACATACATATAAAGTTTGTAATAATTCTTATTATCGTTGTATTGAATTTATAATTACGATCGTAAGGAATACAGATCGAATTTATTATAGTCCTGAACGTACTCGAGTCTTAGGTACCGACCGCTTAAACTTCGATACATATTTCGTTCGCTGTTTACCTACGACGATCGCGTCACGTGACCAGAAACATTTACTTGTAATTTTTTCGTCAGAAGCGATCGTCGAAGGGACTGTACACGTATTAACTACAGAAATACGCCCACACGTGTATTTATTTGTATTCACGCGGTTCATCCTGCGTATTTTCCTTGAATTTTACACGTGGAACGATGTTTTTATCACGTATTCAAAAAAAAGCGGAATGTGTGCCAATATAATGTGTGTATAGTGTCGATGATTTGTGCTGTAAGCACAAGGACACGGGTTATTTTTTTTTTTACATCGAGTCCTCGTGTGTATGCTTCGATTCTTTACATTTGTCACGTCGTCTTAATCCGGCGTTTCGTGAACGCTTCAAAGTGCCAGAACCTTGAAACGATCGCGTAGATAGAAACGAATGGAATGGATGGGAAAAACCGTAACTTTAGAACCTCTTTGATTGTATATCGTTTGTCATCGAAGCCACACTCTTTTCTCGCGCAGTATTTGAATGAGTCCAATAAGACTGTGATTGGTGATCGAGCACCAACGGAATTTATGTATCGTTCGAATGTATTTATTTTCAATCAGGTCCCGCAGAAAGCTGTGCAGCGTTTTGGTTTTTTTACTAGAACGTAATAAACGAAGTATGTCGAATAGATTCCATTGCATTTAATAATTTTTCCTCGAATTTCATGTGTTTCGTTTCTCGTAAACTGAAATTCTGTTTTTTCTTCGACTGTTATTAATTTCTGGGCTAGTATAAATGCCTAATGCAATTTTAAGAGTACAGTCGTCTTCGACGAAATACATTCCAAAACGAATACATATAGAAAAAGAAATGCATGTGGGATCTAAACGGACCTAGGCGTCATTTTCAAAAGCTGTTACGAAAATTTCTATTGTACAATTGAAAATTGTTATACTACCTAGAAATAAATGCTGATGAACGAACAAGGACAGACCTTTTCCGCGGGGCCTGGTCGACATTTTGAGTGATGGCGTTTCAATCGTATAACGAGCATTTCATCTAAACGACAGTTTCGTGACAAACATAGTTAACCGCCGTGGGATGTTGTCGCGGAAAGGTGTATTTCGACTGTTTTTTTTTTTGTAACAGTGTACTAAGATGCCGTTAGTAGAGTAACTTTTTATCCACCAGAGGAAACTAATCTACCGCGCCGCGACGAATATACTGTTACCAATAGAGAAAGAATTTTATATCACGAGGAAAAGGAAAAAATTTCTAATCGCATCGTGTCTTGCGCTCCATTGGAAACGATAGAGGGCACTCGTGCAGTTTTGCCCACCTACTTTTTACCAAGTACAAAATATATCAGAGGACACCTGTTATTTTTTTCGATTAATTCATTCTTCGAGCCTGGAGGCTTTCAAACACTTGATCATGATTAATCCGTGGCAAATACGTACGTACATTCACTCCAGGCGATCTCACGTTCTGTCGTTCTGATCTCTTTAAATCTCTCCGTTACGATATACTGATGCTCAACTATGCTGGACAAACGCCAGACTGCACGGGTCCCCGCGAACTGGTTCCGGTGTCAATATCAAAAGTGATCTTAAAAAAAAGGAGTGACTCGTTACAACCACCCACGAGAAGAGCTGTAAATTGCGTAATAATAGTGATAGCAATATACGAAGCATTATAGTGATAGTTGATTGTGTTTTGTGCATTCCTCTCGCCGATGCAATTTCATTCGCGATTTTTCTCTGGTACCGCTTAGTTGCCCTATTCTTCCGTTGTTGTTTTTTTTATCGACAAACGGGTTAGAGGAAGAATACGTATCATGTTCATGTGTCGTTTTATTGAGACTTTATTAGAAATGTATTCGATCGTTTATCGAACCACGATAACCAATCTGTTCACACGTTCACCACCAGGCCAGCATTTATAACATTGCCACAGAGTTCAAGCACCTCCGCTGCCGTGACGGTAGTTATTGTAAGCCAAGATTTATCATCCGTCACCTATGCTTTCGTCGATCTCGAATCTCACCCTAATCGAAATCCGTTATCTTTTACCTAATCGGATATGACGTAAATGAAAATTTCGGTCGGGGAATGCTTAGTTCTTCGTTGGTGTATTGAAATTTCCACGATTGACTTTCACAAAAGGGAAAAACATTGCCCGAAAGGTGTTTTCCACCGATTTCGATTCAAGTTCAACAATTATTCCTCGAACAATGAAGAAAAAAATGAGGCATATCACCTATAAGCATAGTTAATTTAAATATCATCGTATATTTTCAAATGCATCATTTATCTAATAAGAAACAACATCCCTAACTGTTCCCCGTGTGTATAGAATGATACAAGCAGTGAGAGAAATACAGAAAGTCGAGCATGTATTATCCTTGTGTTTCAGTGTCGAATGGTTTCTTTGTTTTTATATTTTCTCTTTTTCCCAATGAAAGTACAACATCGTTAAAAGAATAGCTAAACACACATTATTAGATTATAATAATACTATCACACATGTTATCTTTGTACGTCTTCGTTAATATTGAAATATACTATAATCTATGGGTAAATGTAAAAAAAAAAACAAGAAAATCGAAAAGAAGAAACGTGATTGTTCGGTCTCTTATTGTTCCTAATTACAGCGACTCACAGATTTGTTCACGAAACCATGTTACCTTTATTTTCAGTAAAATTACGTGCCAAACTGGGAATTTCGTTTGAAAACTAGGAAAAACTGATCCCTAAGCTACAATGAAAGTATAAAAAATAAAGCTACGTAAACAGAAATTGCATAAAAATTTGTACATTTAATTGTTATTTCAGAAGTATGTGAACGAATATGAGTCACTGTATCAACGATCGCCTTGTAAAGGTGCGTATCCATTTGTTGCGTATCCTCTTATCGAATCATCGTGCGTATCATCGTACCTTATCACTGTACGATACATTTTCACAAACAACGATGCAACGCTTGCCCGTCCATATTGATACGCAATAAGTGTATACGCACCTTAACAGGCTTCGTGCGGCCCGTCCACGTGAACTGTCCCTCCCCCCCCTTTTCCCTCTTCGTGTCGTATCCGCGTGCCCCGTTCCCGCTCGGTTTGTACACGTCATTTACTGTCATTTTGTGGCTTCTTCTCTCACGCGATCGCTGCTAACTTGTTTTATATTCCGGCTCGTCTAATTTAATATTTCGGCTCGTCAACGAAACGCCTGCCACTGTGCACGGTTTGTCGACTCCTGATTCGATCAACACCGAATGATGATCGTCGTCCAAGGTCGTACCAATAAAGCGTCACCCGGTCGTGCTTTCCTCCCTGGTTCCTCGTGCCTCGAGAGAAGTGCCTATATTTCCAATCTGTAAATAAATTTGTGCAATAATAAATGTGACGTGGAACGATCGTATTACTTTGGACAGAGTTACAAAAAATGAAAAGGTCAGCGTGTAAGTTGATGGGAATATTTCATACCGAAACTTAAATCGATGTCTCAGACACTTAAATTCTATGAAAAAAAAAATGTAATCTATGTATTATGGTTAAAATAGAAACGAACCAAATACGCCATGTTTGAAATTGTGTTGAGAAATAATGTTTCTTTAGAAGAGGAGAGATTATATTCCGTAGAAAAAAGTAGTTTGTTTTTATTTTAACCACAATACATAAGGACGTAGTGTACGTGGCCAGACACACTTTATTTCCTTTTTTTTAAGTCATAAATCGTCGAAAATATATGCGGTTTAGTTAATAGAGGCTGTTTGTCTTGTTGTAAATTATACTGCGATATTAATTTTACGCAAAAATTTTCTCATAGTATTTAAACAATCCAGTCTCTGTGTAATGTTTCAACTACAAGTTATCTCGTTCTCCGAATGTTAAAACTGTGTATTTGATGTTATTCGAGTATCGTTTACCTCGACTTGTTGAACTTCCTTGTTGGATGTTTTCACGAATCGCCTTATGCACGGGGCCAGTAGCATTGGATCTAGTTTTTCAACGTTTTCCGACGAGACAAGGCTCACTACGAGGCCGACGCACATCGTGACCAACGCGCCGGTGACCGTGTACCAAAGATAACTGAGGCGGTACAACGCTAAAGGCTCTCTAAACATTTGAACGATTACACCTGATCATAATTATTATTAAAATTCCATCATATGCAAAAAGTATTCATTTTTTCTATACAGGCTCTTTCCGAACTAGTGGTACAACCCGAACAGATGTGATTCTACATAGAAAAATAAAGCGAAAATGTAGAGCAAAATTTTTGTTGTTAATTAATAGGACGTGGTTAACACGTCTGGTCATTGCATTCCGTTTCTACTTACTACCATGTGACGAATACAGGCGTTTCAGATTAATTTTCAAAGTCCATTTTCTCGAAAACCAAGCCGTGAATAACAAAAGTTTATCGCATATATTTTTGTTATTTTTTCATAAGGAATCACATGGTATCCGCTTTTAGATATTTCGGTTAGAGATTCGGTCGGAACCTGTATAGTGACCTTTCTTTGTTCTTCAATGAAAACGCCATTAAAATTTGACCACCTATTTTAAAATGTCGTTGACTTAATAGGGAAAAAAATCTAATAGAAAACACACTTTCTGTTATGAAACACTTACGGAAGAAAGTCATCATCGCCCTCGTTCAAGATGGCATCCGGAGGATAGAATATCATCAGATTCTCTACCTGAGGGAACGAGTAGTAGCAACCTTCCGTAGTAACCGGTTTCTCGTCGAATCTAATTGAATAATTAATATTGTGAAAATAATAATACAATTCTTAGACTACATCGTACATTCAACAAACTAACTTTAATCTTCCACTAGCGATCGCTGCTTCGGCTGAAAGACTGATCCATCCCATGAAGCTCAGACCGGAGAGACCGCCAAGAAGAGCGCCCTGAATTTTTTTTTTAAATAACATCAACGTGTTCGTACTTTATGTTAGTACCATTTTTAAATTCATCAAATATCACCCATCAGTTTGACATTAAATTTCAGAGTACCTTAGCGTTTACCCAGGGCAACAGTATTCCCATGCTGAAGATACCAAGGGAAGGCCCACTGGTAATGGAGCTCAAGCTCGTAGTTAACTGAAAAAGTAAAAAAATATTAAACAAAGTTAATAATAAGATATTCAAAAGTTCCTGCCTGATGTGAACACTTTTTTTTCTTCTTACCTGCAAAACGTGAGACCCTGTTTTTTCAACGACAAACACAAGGCCAACGCAGACTATTCCCAGAACTACCACCGTGACTTTCATCAAAATGTCCGCCGCTCGGGGTGTAAAGGGTGTTTTACAGAAAGGTTTCACGAAATCTTCCAGCACCACCGCCGACATAGAATTCAATCCAGTAGATAGAGAGCTAAAATATCAGAAACGGGGTAAAATTTGATGGTTCTGAGATCAGTGGAAGATCCATTTTTTTTCCTGGTGTACCTTAAAGCTGCACTGAACACGCCAGCGACGAAAAGACCCGGAAGACCTGGCAGATCTCGTAAGACGTTCATGACCAGCAACGGCAATAACTGGTCCTTCGCGCCTGCTAACTGAACGAAAAGTATTTGCCCTTAAGAATAGAACGGTAGATTGTTGAAGTGTAGAAGTTATTCTATTGGTATCGATACCTCAGTGTGATTTTAATTACATTTACCTTCGTGAGAAATTAATTGGAAAGGTATGTGGACAATAGAAATCGAAATTTTGAAACTATAAGTTCCAATGTGTATGAATTTCGAAAGGATGTTACAATGTAGAATATTCACTGTCGAACGTACCCTGCGTGGCAAAACTATAAAACCACCCTCAAATTTTCAATCCTTTTATGGTAGTGTGGTTAAATAAAAAGCACTTTTTTCTAAAAAAAATATAATTTTATTCTTTTCTAGAGAAACATTATTTCTCAACACGATTTCAGTCACATGCCATACTTGGTTCGTTTTTATTTCAAGCAAAATATAAAAGAATTGAAAATTCTAAGGTGGTTTTATAGTTTTGCCACGCAGTGTGTAAATGATGTCCGTTGAATGTGAAATGAATCGGTCGTTTCTAGTTCAGAATGCATCGTGAAATTAGACTATCACGGAAGCCTGATCATTACCTTCGTCGTAAGTGGATCACACTCGTGGTACCAGGCATATATTAACATTCCCGCGTATCCGCATATTCCCATTATGATCAAGACCCCGACTGTGAAACACCAGAGCGCTCTGAAATCCATAATTCCTCGCATCATTATTTCCCCCCTGATTACCTTACTTGCGCAATTTACAATGTGTACCAATGAGTATTCGATAAATCATGGTGGCAACGGAAAAGCAAATGATTTCAGGAAAAATCTAATTTGATCTGAATTTTCAGGAACATGTACTAAGCATCGATATTACCATATACGATAATATTATAATAATATTTGTAACGACGAATATTCTTAAAGGAGGATCTTGTTTTTTTTTGGAAAGCAATATTAAACAGAACCGAAAAAAATTATGAACACTCATTTGTGCTCGTAAAAGCGGGCACCATTTGATTCCTTATAAAAAGAAGAAGACAAAAATTTAAAATAAAATTTTGTCATCCTCAGCTTAGATTTCGAGAAAATCGAATTTGAAGGTTAATCTGATACACGTGTATTCGTCGCATGGTAGTAAGTAGAAACGGAATCTACTGATCAGACACACACGCCATGTGCTATTCAATTGCACGTGATAAAATTGTTTTACGTAAAGAATTAAACTGAACAAGTAACTAATGACTATATTAAATTAAACGGAACAATTAACTAGTAACTGTATTCTATTATATTTTCTTATTTTTGATTATACAACAAATCTATTTATATTACTCCCTCTTTGAAGATTTTTTTCTGAATACCCCTTCTTGTTTTTTCTCCTCCTCCAATCTTTTGTACAATATCTCCACTACACTCGGTCAAACAACTACTCCTGATTGTGATCACGACTTAATTCATACGTATTCTTTGCCTTGAGATATTCAAAGTCCTTTCAGATATTCAAAGTCGATTTTCTCGAAAACTAAGTCGTAATTTGGCATAAATTTCAGAAACTTCCGAATTCAAATGATAGAAGGCCTTTTCCCTACGCCACTTTTTTCCCTAGCTGAAGCCGAATTTGTTCGTAAGAGTACTATCTAACGATCTATGAAATTGTACGAATAATTTCGTCTCTCACAATGGATGCAATTAATATACCTTCTAGCTGATCGCAGGGTGGGCAACGCGAGGTATCGTTGTATCATACTTTGATTGATGGCGGATATGTGCAACCAGTGGAAGAAACCGCCAATCACGAGGGACCAGATCGTGTGTCTGGTAAGTGGATTCCAATCTGTCCTATTAGACAGTTCGTGTCAAGTCAATGACATATAATGGCTTTTTAATCGTGTCACGATAGCGACGTATTACTCACGTGGGCAACTCGAGCCTGCCGGATTCCAGATTCCTTCTCAACACCACCGACAATCCGCCTACGTTTGCTGTCCCTTTGATAATGATCAGCAGCATGGAACCGAACATCACGAACGTCTGAATAAAATCGGTCCACACTACTGCCCGAATGCCACCCTATTCAGAAAAATTTCGAGATCACCTTATCGCGTTCGATGATAAATCGATCGAAAATAAATGTCTTTGGTCGTATTCTATTAAGTGTACAAATTAATTCGTGGCTTTCTTTTCGTAGATTTGTTGTATACATATATAGAAAACACCATAATACAGTCTAGCCTTGAAAATATTTCCCATCAGATTCTACACATTTACCTATTTCTTGGGCAGTTTGTGAATACCCTCTCGAAAGATGACAGCTGGTAAATCTTTATACCCTCACGAGACCATTCGGATTCCCACAGACTTTTCACAATGACAAAATTCGTGAAACCTTGATTTTCAACGAAACGATTTGAAAAAATGTTACCAATTTTTCTCTTACACGAGAGCCTAAAAAACCTTCATCTTTGATTTTATGTGCCTCGAAACTCGACAAACATACACCGCCAGAATAGAGAATTAAAAAATACGGAAATGTTCATTTCTTACCACGCAAGTGTAGAAAATGCACACGATACACACGAACGGTGTCACTATGTGTACATTCGCCCCCGTAACTGCAAGTACAATACAATGATTTACTTTTTGCCATTAGACGTTTAACTATTGTGTAGGCAACCGTATATCCAGGTACCCATTTCTAAATTTCTTTTCACAATTTTTGATGTTCTTGTCTAAAACAGCACTTGGTGTAATATATGTATTATAGGTAGGGAAAACTAAGAGTTCCGGAAAAGTATAGAAATAAAATTATCTATGTTTATCTAATCTATCAGAATAAGAGTATTCTAACCGTGAATATTTTGATTGTCTACACAAGGGTTAATTGTACGAGGTGTTCGCTACCTTGATTAAAAGCCAGTGCCGGCACATAAATGACAATAGGCAGCCAGGTCATCTAAAAGAAACGTGTCTCCGTTACAAAACAAAAAAAAAGCTCGAAATCTAGGGTAATCGAATATAGGGGCTGTTTTACGAAATCGATCGTATGCAAACTTACGATGCCAATGGAAAAAAGCAGCGATCCCAGTAATCGAATCTTTTTATCGAAACGTTTCTCGAGATACTCGTAGGTACTTGTCAGTCTGAGATCGTGGAATACCGGCAAATATATTTCAGACATGACGAAAGCGACGATTATGATCCCAAAACCGACGCAAAGATAGCTGGTGCCGTGTACGTAAACTTCGGTCGGTGTACCCAGCAATGATATACCTATATCATCGTAATAATAATTCTTAACTTTGTACAATAGAGGAATCCGTCAAAATTAAACATGCTAATCGCCATTGTCGTAGGACACAAGTAAAACACAATTTACGCTTTCATCTAACTATCTGCACAAAAGCACACCCTGTCTTTTTAAAAAGAAAATACTTATAAAACTGTTCATTTGCAATAACATATTTTAATTATAATGTAACACTGAATTATAAATCCAGATTTTGAAAGTTACTCCATTTTATAATAATGTGGTACGAATTTCTAGTGGTGCACCATGGTAATTATATTACAATTTAAAATCCTACCTGATATGAAGCTCGCTATGAGACTAAAGCTGACAGGGAACATCTTCATATTTCGACCACCGACCAGGTATTCGTCCACTCCCGTGGATTTTTTAACGAAACCGAAGTAAATCCCGATCACACCGCAAATCAACAGCATGAACGCGAAAACCGCGTAATCGTAGATGCCGAAGCTCCGTAACATATCGCCGACTTCCTGGACGGTGGGCAGAACCTGGGACCAGTTCGGCAAACGGTCCTCCATCGCGGTTTCCGCGGTCATTTTATTGCAAAATGGAATTTTCGTGATCGTTCCAACGCCTACGGGCGCTTCGCGTTAGAAAGGTAGTCCTCTTGACAACTAAGTGAATTCATTGAAAAAAAAAACAGAGAAAAAACATAAAAAAAAAAAGGACAGTGAAAGGATACAATTACACAAAAATATTGCTGTTCCTCCGTTCAGATTTCAATAGAACACGTATCTAACGCCTGTCTTGGTGAAATTTCGTAAATTCCCTTGTACGAATTTCGGTGTAAAATCACGGGAATGCTTTTTAATGTTTCCTTCTCGAATACAATAAACAACAGTGGTACTTACTGCAGTTATTGTAGCTGACTTTTTGTCCATTAAAGCTTCTCTGTCAGAAATGCTGAAGCATCGATGGACTTCCGTTACTTTCACTCAGGTACATTCGCGAATGAGGAATGTAGATTAATAGAAGAACCATGAAAAATATATATTATTATATAAATATATAAATAACGCGTTTCTTGACACTGTGCACACTTGAAAAGTAGATTGTTTCTATTTATATTAGGAATGAGTAAGAGTTGACTGAGAGTTGGTAGGGTAGATGCAATGTATACTGACCGTAGAAGGTCGTAGGGGTATCACGGAAGACCGACCACAACTACCGTGGACAGTTCATCTGAAAAGAGCCGAAAGCTCGAAGCGACCCGATGTGATTGCACACATCATGATTGTGCCATTGTGCCAATTTTCTCATTAAACCGACAATGGACATTAAGTACGATGTTAAAACGACCGGGTATATACCGGAGTGAATCGTAAGTGGATAATACGACCTAAATATAGTTGTGATCGTATGGATGTGGTCGGGTCACATGTACGATTGTTAAGTTCCCCTACGATTTTTGGGAATTAAAGATTTATTAATAGTCCTCCCGATTCATCGTAACCATTCGGATTTTCGGTAACTTGATACGATATTATTATATTAGTAATGGATATTTCTGGAGTAGGTTTAAAATAATTACGTTTCCTTTTCTCTTTTGAATTTAATTAAGAATCTCGACCTGTTCGATACAATGTTTTCAGAAGTATAGAATAAAGCGTGCGTAAATACGTCGTTCTTGTTTAACAGCTAAAACGTTCACCCCTCGTAAAAACGTGGCAATTCATTGCCCAATATGACCCTTCTGTCGACTCCTTTTTCTGTGATAACGCCCATTCGAATGACACCGCCGCTGCTGCCGTCACGTGCCATCGCCAATGACAGTGCTGCGAAGACGAGGAAGCGCCATAAGTACCAAACCATTAGATGATCATATTGTATGAGAACCCAAGCTTAATAAGTACATACTATTTTCAACCAGTTTAATACACTCATCCTTTGACATGTTTGACTTATACTGTGAATCCATGTAACCATACACGTACGTCGAACCGGACCCCCCAATGGAAATTGGTTGCCGTACGCACATACCGCCTAGGGGAACGCTATAAACTTGACCTCCCTTGCGGCTGTCCCATCCTGCTACTAAGATTCCAGCCATTAACGAATCTCGGTAGTTGTAACATATTTCACGGAATACATTTGCTGCTGTTTCTACTAGTGGTTCCGAGCCTAATTCCATTCTATAAAAACATCATTGTGTTTTTTATAACTTAATAGTTCAATAAGGATTGTTATGACCACGGTGCTATAGCTCTGCACAAAGCACTTACTTGTGGAATGCTAAGTGATACGCAACTATATCAGCAACAGCTTGAGTGTCTGCTGCAGAACCAGAACGACAGCAATAAATATAGTCTGTTATTTTTGTAAGCTTGTCAGCATAACGATCAGCAACGTAAGCCCTGAAAGATTATTGATTATTAGCAGAATTATCATTGAATCAATATACATATAAATTAACCTTTGCGACACCAAGGGAAGGGATACTTTATGCCCATCGTATTATTGAATTGCATGAAATCCCATTTTGAAGCACATTCTGTATTCTTAAGAAAATTACTTATAAAACTGTTCATTTCCAATAACATCTTTTAATTATAATGGAATACTTGATTTGAAACCCTTTATTCCCAGATATTTTTGAAAACAAAATTCTTCTAAAATAATTAATATTATTAAGTAATAATACTATAAGCTTTTATATATTGAAAGCTGTAATATAACTAATATTACAGGTTTTTATTAGGTGGGCATAAACATATCTTCCTCTTGATGGTGCAAATAACAAAAAAAAACCCTGGTACTGTGAAGGTTGTATCAGTTTAAACAGAATTTATTTATTACCCTGTTGTTGATCTAGAATCTGCTCCAATCACAACTCCTCCGTTAAATTCACAAGCCATGATAGAGGTCTAATAAACATAATATTTGTTAAAAAAAAGATGTAATTTAGTTACATCGACGACTTTCCATAGATAGAATGACAGTGTGTAAAAGTATAAAAATTCCTTCAGAAATTATAAAATTATTGTCATGCATGAAACAATCGTTGAAATTTGTAAAATTAAACACGCATCGCAAGAAACATTAATTGTATTCTCAATTTTTCGTTAAATGAAAACATCTTCAAGTTTGCACTGTCATTCTAACCTAACAATATTATCTCACGATTAACTATAAAACTTACGCCAGTACTTTGCTCCGAATGAAGCCAATCTGGAACCAAATTACCAGTAACAGGCCCCATTGTAGGTTGAGCTAAATTATCCACTACATAAGCCATTACTTCAAATTCTAATAAAAACTGTTCTGGAGCCGACCACTAGACAATTGTTTAACGTTGAAAACTAATTCGCGACATCTACATTTGCGGCTACATTCTCTTATTCATTCATATTCAATGGTGAGTTCCAAATTTTTAAAGTAGATAAACAGTTTCGAATTTTAAGAAATTTATAGTCCAATAAAAAGTGAGAATTAATTAGAGCTTAATCTATGTCCTTGTGCTTTACGTTCTGAGCTTGGTAAACAAAAAGCTCGAAAAATAACCATTGAAAACTTAATCAAATTTCGTGAAGAATTTATATGTGACACCATCTAATGGTGATCGTTTGAAGAAGGATCATAGAAGTTGCAAAACTACTTCAACTAGTCTCCGTGAGATGGAACAACCAGTCAGTTTCAATTAGGGATCCGTTTTGAAAATTTATACCTCATCTGTGGTTACATTTACATGCAGTTACATGTCCACACAATGAAAATTCATTGTGTATCGTATTGATAATTACACCATGAGGTGTTTCTTGTTTTGTTCTTATTTTGACTAATGACTTGCAGATTGTCAAAGTAAGGTAAACAGAATATTTTACTGCCATCATGTAGTGTTAATTCCAGGACATCCAGTATATACGAAATGGTTATATAAAGTGCAAAATATATGATAATATGCACAATTCTATTCAAATTTCATTTTTGATACTTTATTCTATAAAAATATCCATAATGTGTATCCATATATATGTAATATGCATACAATACATATGTATATGATTGATTAGGTTATGGCGCGAATAAAATGAATGTGCGCTAAAGGAATGAATTGACCATAGAATATACAATCATTTTTTCGTCATAAAATGAAATTGTAACAAAGTTCGTAAATGAAATCATTGTCAATTGTAACACATTTAATAACAGCTTTAAAACATTAAGCTATTTTATTTTAACAGAACTTAGAGTACGGTTTACAAAATACAACGTCATTTACAAAAAGTACTGAAAATTAAGTTGATCGGCGTAATTCGATTTTGCCGTACAACATGTGAAGGATAAGTGAAGTATTATTGCCTCAGAATTTCAATCCTTTGAATATCAAGTCGTTTCAAACTATGTTGAGTTTCTTCTACAATGTATTTTGTGTATACATTTACATACGGGGAACATATTGCGATTTCTTAAATAATACATTCGGCGCAGGAAGCAGTCTATGTTTGGTATAATGTCTTATACGGACAAAAGATTTAATAAAAAAGGACAATGTTTTATGAGTTTTTTGGAAAACTTGAAATAGAGAGCACACTCGATCATTGATTTAACTTTCTTAGGTACCCACAAATTTCCCGAAGAGTGCGGCACGTTGAGTGCAACGTTCTCATGTAACACTTGACTCGTGTTACACTTGATTTATGAGTAGTGCATTTATAGTGCTTCGAGGCTCCGGATAACAATGAGAATGTCATATCCCACGGAAAAAATCCGTAATAACAATCGGACAAAAAGTGTTAATTGTGATCGTGGGTAGCAGCCGGTGAAAGAAATGGCATTTTCTGTTTGGAAGTCATGGGGTAGAAACCTTCGTACGAGCCATCGTACGTTAAATATCGACTGACAGTTTCTTTATTTCGGAACTATGCTTGTTTTCTATTCGTGTGTTCTTTTTATAGGTCGTCAAAACAGTGAAGACAGCTGCGTGCAACTCGATCTGTCAAGAGGTTAGTAACCTAACCTGTAACTTGCAACTTTCTAAATAGCCATAGTACTTTGATAACGTGACTATCTGGCATCGCTCGGCGATTATGTATGCGTGTTTATCTTCAATTTACATCTTGCGATTCGATAGCAATTCTAGACGAAATTTATATGAAATAATGATTATAAAATGAACAGTTTCAAAAACACCAATTCGTATTTGGTAACTAATATACTTCAGTTGATGCATTTTCTTTAGTTGACTGTTTAATTGAATACAGAGAAGAATTTATAAAGTAAAGTGGATACATGTGAAAATAACAAATTGAGTAAATATTTACTTAAAGAAATAATGTTTATTTGGTAATTTCAAATTTGTTTTTGAAATAATGCACAAAATGATGGTTAAGTAATAAGTGGAGTTATTTAAAGAGATCTATTTAACTGGATGTTTTGTACTTTTTTGAACTGAATGTTTATATTGACAAACATTATTCAATAATTCAGAAATTTTTTACTACATATTGGCATGATAGAAGTTTACCTTACCTATGCATAGCACTTATCGCACAAACATTAGATTGGCTAGTAATTGAAATTTGGAAGCTTTAATTATAGTAGTAAATAAAAGTAATCTTTCGTAAATACTCTTTTTTTATTACCAGATAATCAATTTGATACTGAACTGCTTTTTGCATTTCATTGCTTATTTCTATAAAAATCAAATTTTCTATCTTGGTTTTTTCTTATTTGAGGTGAACTTGTTTTATAGGTCTGGAGGAAAATGTCAAAGAAGTTTTGACCAATCTTTGTCAACGTCACAATGTTCCAAGCATAAAGAAATTGGCATATCTTAATGCCATTGTTAAGTTAATCAGTGAAAATGATTCACCAGATTATGGATATTCCATTGATGATGTCTTTTGCTGGTAAGACTTCAAGAATATTTATTTTGTATAATACAAGATTATTATTACTTATTATTATATTCTCTGTTAATCTTATAGTCTGCGTGTGGGTCTTGTCCAAGAAGCAACACAAGTTCGTGCTGCTGCACTGCGAGCAGTACGATACATGCTCAAAAAAGAGCAAGATGTTATTGCAATTAATAAATTGCAATATCCATACTTTGTGGCACGTAGTATGGATGTTAATGTACGAAATGAAATGGAAGGGTTGCAAGCTCTTAGACTGGTTAGACGAATTCTAGTATTAGCTCCAAAATATTTTAGTCCTATTTTAGCAAGATCTTTAATAAGCTTGATAAATGGAGGAATAGAAGAAAAGGACGGAGCATATAGAGCATTCTTAGCAACTTTGTGTGAGTTAGGAGTTTTAAATTCAAATTTATTAATCAGTTGTGGAGGGATTGGTGCCCTTGGAAGAGCTGCCATGACTGGACAAAGCCCTCCTATAATTGAATCTATTGTAGGAGTCCTATTAAAATTATTGAATACTCCTGAAACTAGGAGTAGTGTTTCTCTTTTATGTTTTGCAGCTCCCTACTGTGAGCTTCATTCATTGAGTATAGATGGAACAAAAGAAGAGCGAGAAAGGTTCGCAGCAAGTAAACTAGCACTGTTAAGCATATTGAGATCTTATTCTGGTGTTCTACATTTCTGTCGACCTGACGATAATTCAGGATTGAAAGCTATAGCAGATATATTGTATGTTGAACAACTTGAAGTACGAGGTGCTGTATTAGAATTACTTTACGAATTGTTGGATCTACCCTTACCTACATGGACGGATGAACCCGATGTTGCTCTTGCTGCAGTAGATCCGAGTCGGACACGCGATTCATGGAAATTGTCCGAAGGTTTTGTTGCAGTGGAGGGAAAATATATTCTGCCATCTCTATCGTCACGCTGTCCAAATATTACAGAGATACATCTAGCATTATTGGTGTATGCTTTACTGGAATGTGGCTTACATCATGCCCTTGCAGAAACTATTATTTCTACAGACACTTTTATTTCTGTACGTGCTGCCGTTCTCTTGGGCGCATTACTCCATCTTGCACATTCTTTACTACCGTCTGAAGTGTGTGATCTTACACCACCGTTACCGAATTTATTGGAACACGCGAGTACGGGAAAGCATCAAGCCTTAGCAGCTGTAACAATTTTGGAACGAATGCACACTATGATGCGACGTAGACCAGCACCTGCTAGTTTATTTCTTGATAAAATTCTACAAGCCGGTACTTGGTTGAGACCAACCTTACCAAGGCGTCAACGAACTTCTAGTAGACACTGGCTACGTCGAGAATCAGCAACCACTCCTCTTTTGAAGGATGCTCAAGTACTCAGTTCGAAAGACGCGCTTGCATGGAATTGGCCTGTGGTACGATCCATATTACGTTCACGAGATGATACCATGCGAATTCTTCATGATTCTGATCATAGATTGTTCATGAAAAGGCTCGTACGCTACTTTAAACCGTGTTCAAATGGATATAGTAGGATAGAGTTAGCAACAAATGCCAATTTGGCACGAGAAGCTACGTTAGCTGGTTGTGATTTATTGAACTGTTTATTGGAGCTCCATGAACCGGAAGGTTCGAAATTATTGAATGAATTGATCGGAGATATAGCTGAGCAAATTGCTTGCTTGCGGACAGCACAATCTGCTCACGAGTGTCTATTTTCACCGCGGCACATGTCCACCACTTGTTGTCAGAAATATTTTCTATTTCTTGGACAATTGAGCCATTCAGCGAAAGGGACTGTAATTCTGAATGGATTTAATTTATTAGAGAAATTGCAAGACTTAGCTTTAGCTACTAATCATGACTGTTATGTTAAACTTATAGTTTCAAGTTTAGATTATTCTAGGGATGGACCTAATAGGAAAGTAATGACTAAGATTATTACAGAAGCAGCATCAGAGAGTACACGTCTATATGCTACACAGTTCCTACGATTGATACTCAGAGCCAGAATGTCTGATGCCTATCGTTGGGCAATTACACTACTAACAGCAAGGTTGTCCGATTCCAGTAAAACTATAGCATTAAATGCATTAGAGTCATTACACGAAGCTTGTGAAGAGCCAGAATATTTAGTAGCTCTGTTGCAACAAGGAGGTCAATCTCGAGATTGGAGTAAATGGCTTGAAGAGTTAGGTGACAAAGGCTACCTGTTGAAAATTCGACTTTACTCTCTTCATCAAGGTTTCACGACCCTCTCGTCTCCCACCGAAGAATTAGAAAAATGGATCAGTCCTGGTGGTTTTGCAGAGAGATACGTCGGCTTAATAGAAGGAGAAATACATGATTCTTTAACGCGTCGTCAAAGAGATGAAACCGGAAGTTATCACAGAAGAACAACAAATGTTCCTATGACACCTCATGATATTTTCATTCTACCACACTTAGTTGGTCAACTGGCGCAACATGATTTAGGCATGCAGTTAATTGTACGCCGAAATGTAATACAACGTTTCGCTCGAGTCGTTCAACGGTTTAGAATGGAAGTGGGTGATACAGACTCAGAGTCAAATTCAAGATGCACCAAAACTAATTGTTCTGTGATCGACGATGTTTGTGTCATGTCCGAAGAGTCTAGTACAGATGAAGCAGTCGAGTCAAATAGATTGGAAACAATAATGGATTCTGAAGTTGCAGAAGCAACGGATGAATCTACTCCCCAAAAGATTGACTGTTTAGCTGATGTTCGTCGAAAAACAAGCTTAGATGATTCAAGGCGTACCGCGACAGAAAGAAATTGGAGATTGGAGACTAAATCTCGAGATGAGCAGGCCACCAGCTTGAATAAAAAGATTTTAAGAGTGAAGTCCGCGTTGTGGGTGCTTGGTCACGCAGGAACATCAACCGCGGGTGTAGAACAGTTGAATCATTTAGGAACCATAGAATTAATAACATCCATGGCACAGACATGTCTGTATTATGCGGTACGAGCGACAGCTATGTACGCTCTCAGTCTTATTGGCACTACTCGCGCGGGCGCTGATGCTCTGTTGTCTTTTGACTGGCCGTGTGTTAGACACAGGCGCGGAGACCATTGGCCAGTCTTGCCTCCTACGAGCAGGTATCCAGCGCCGAGTCCAATTCCCATACAACGACACCATAGAAGTCTTAGTGATGGTAAACCAGAGTTACCTGAACCAGTGGCTCGAAGGACCAGAAACCGATCTGAAAGTGCAGCTACAGACCTTGAAGCCAGACGTTATGCTCTACCGTAAGATCCCTTTAAAGGAAATCTGATTCTGAGCATGATTCAGTAATTGAGAATAGCACGCGTTATCCTTTTATATTACATGAGTATACTTGCAGAGAAAGAGGAGAAACACCAAGTCCTGTTGCCAGTATTCAACGATTAAGTCAACAAGACGCTGAGGGATATGCAAAGCTTCGTAGCTTGCAACGCCATCGAAGACCCAGTTATTCTCACAGTAGCTTAGAGGTAGACATATCTTAATTCTGTCAAAATTGATCTTTTATGTAATGGAATATTAGATTCAATATGTACGGTATATTTTATTCCAGATGTACAGTTTAGATGGCCGTCTTTCGTTGCAAAGTTTATCCGAATTTGATTCATCTCGCAGCTGGATTGCGGAACACGTACACACCCCAACACCCCCACCGCCTGAAGATAGTAACGATAATTTATTTTACATGGGTGTTGCTCTTCCAAAGAGACTTATAACTATATTTCCGGAACCGCCGCAATCATCGATTCTGTCTAGATCCGACGATATACCAAAATCAGACATAGAAACGACTGAAGTAGACGAAGAGTCCTGTTCAGAGTACGATGTAGATGCGGAACATTGTCGTATATGTTTAGTGTGTTACCACGGGAAGTGTAGCAAAAAAGATACGGATTCGGAATATGATGTTAAATTGCGAAGGTAAAATTATTTCACTGCACTAATTATCATCGATGAGGTATACTACAGATCTAACATTCAATACATTTTTATATCGTACAATGGGGGAGCTCTAGAAAATAAAATTACAACGCCGTTGATAATAAGAATTTACTACTGGAAAATTTGATTAGCATATATACCATTCTAAGATTGATTTACATAAAGCAACGCTTAATTTGGACAGGATAATACTTGGACATACACAGCGGTTAGCAAATCCTTTATGGTACCGACATAGTCGGCAAACTCTACTTAGACTACGACAAATGCATTCGGAAATATTTCAGGTATACCTTAATGATTTTAGAGAGAAAAAATGTACGATATATTTGAAATTATGTTATTATCATATAATCGTGTTTTACGTTATAGGATACTTGTTTATTTTCGGACGTAGCAGCCTGTTTAGGTAGCGGTACATATAGAATGCCAGCACGACGATTTCTACAGGAATTATTTCTAGATTCTACATTTGATGCAGTAAGTTTATAAATGTTTTATTGAAAGACATGGTTATAATTGTAGTACATAATGAAGAATCGGTTCTAACAATAATTGTACAATGCAGCTTTATGTAGAACCAGTTAATATTCTAAAGTTAAACGACGGTAACGAGGAAATACCGTTGCAATCGCCCAGTTCCACGACACCTGAACCCAAGCCCCTTGTGCCTTCAGAAAATCAAATTAATGGAAGACTTACGTTTCCTGAGATTCAAGTAACGCAACTGGATGTCGTTGCTGAAGAGGCCGGTGGTGATTCTTGTAAAACAGAGCATTGCAATAAAATGCAAGAGGTTTTGCGGAAACCGGAACGACGAAGCGACGAAACAATAATAGCTGAAATTTTAAAGCCGGAAGAGAGAATACGTCTGTCAAAGAGTTCCGATAGATTATTAAAGGTAACAGGTACAAACAATGCCATTAGCCTTGATTAGCAGTCACCAACTCTCAAGCAATTGTAAATATTTTGTATTAAAGTAATAACGAAGTATGAAATAAATTACACTGCCAAAAGTGAATCATAAATGAATGAAACAATATATTTATGTAATTAAGTTAATGCCAATAGGTAAGGAAAAAAGAATCCCTTCAACCAGAAGTGGATAATAAGTTTTAACAAAAGAGAAAAAAAAGTCTTTGTTGAATAAACATAATTTTAGTTGCGAAATAAAATATTTAATTTAATAAATGAAAAATAAGCATAAAACCTTTGTACGCTTAAAAGGAGCATAAACCGTTAATGTTATTTCATCATACAAACATCCTGCTACACATTGCTTAGAAAAACTGACAGTAGAAATTCCATATGAGTAACAAGAATCATTTTATCTCTAATTGAATATTTCACTACATCTAACAATTTGTTAAAATAAATTGTACTGCATTATTCTATGCACTACTGCGATTGGAGACCCAAAGAAAGCTAGATGGAACCCAATCCCATCTATGTAACCATAGTTACATCGATGGAATCATTGGTTTCATCTACCTCCCTTTTTACAACGATTTACAATGAACTTAAATCTAACTTAAATTTAGATGCTTTAATGTTGATTTTCCACGGTGGATGTCTTTTTTCTTGAGTTTAACTTCATTCGTCTACCTGAAAATAAAATGAAGATCCCACGGCGAACGATCGTACTCTTCTTTCTTGAACTTATACTAGTCTTATGATTGACTTAACTAACTAAACTAAATGCAAGGTGAAGCGACAAATGAAACCAAGATTTCATCAGCCCCATTTTTGTTTTATTCGTTTTTATATCTTGCCTTAAATTTGTATATTTGTAACAGATAAATTCAGAATAGATGTAGTTTCATAAATAGTTTATCAAATCTACCTTTTAGCCGGCGGCGATGATGTTTGTGGTGTAATAAAAATCTGTGTTTCGATTACGTTTTTGATACGTATTACTCACTTATATGTAATAATATAGAATAAAAATATACTGTTAGTCCGATATTTGAAAATATACATGCGTTCGTTGTCACTATTAAACTGTTGTAATAACACTGGAATAATAAAATAATTTACTCAAATGTACATAATAATACATATACATATTCATAAAAACAATATTAAACGCAATAACTTTTTTGTACGCAAAAAAAAACCAATAGGTTCGCCGGGACTGGAACCCAAAACTCCTTTCTAATACGTCTACTTTACAGCAGAAAATCCCTGACTTTTTACACTATCGGTATTTCAGAACATGAGACACGAAGTCCCATAAGATGATAGGTCTATCTTATACCTAGTCGGTGATAATACTCTCAAAATTAAAAAAAAAAGCGCGGGAAACTGCAAAATCAGCATATTAGGGCCACCTGTCAACTACTTTCCGAACTAGATTAAGAAGTTTTGAATTTAGTTCCAATTCCCGCCACCACGGACTTTTTCCCCTAATCTAAAATGATTTGGTAGGATAAAATATCCAATGCTTCCGTTCAAAGGATGAATATTTTTTCACTTATGCATGAGATAACTTGTATATTTTTTATTAATTATATTTTTAAGTAAATTATATATTTTCTTACGATTATTTTTCCAATAGACCACAGTTACATTCTATATACGTGTTATTCATTCATCCCAGCACTATCTCTACTCCTACTCCTAACTTCATTTTATCAAAAAAACAATAAGTGCAGAAAATTTTTGGAAAAGCTTTTGATCTCGTCTGTGAGATAATGTCGCGCGAAATTGAGTCGCAGACATCATCTATGCTCCGTGTTAATTCGAGTTACTTCCACTTGGCGCTATTTCCGATCTTTCAGCTTCTTTTCTGTCTACGAGTCGGCTGTACTATTGCTTTTAAATGAGCAATTGCCTTTTTTGAAGTGTTCCTCGCGTGGTTTACGTGTCGTAGATACTGATTTGGTGATTATGGGTGGTGAAGAACGATTAGGAGTGACCACTGGTCAACCAAGCCTTTATAAACAAGATCTCTCAAAGCTAGTGAGTAATATTCATGCCGATATGCCTACATAATTTGACAAGGTTTCGTCACACTTCGCATAACCTTAATTCTCGTTGCTGGCATATCGTACTGCTTTTCGTCCGCCATGAATTGAATGAAAATTCTTCCGAGTATGCGTGAAAGAAAGCGATATCATATTCTTACAGTGTCCTCTGTTTGAAGGTTTTCTTTGATTATTGCACCTTTTGTTTCATGATAATTTGTCAATGACATCTGGTTTTGGTGCCCAGCGGTTTCGTTACATTAACAATTCTTCGTATATTTCTATTTATTGTTGAGTTATTCTGTAGCACTTGTCATGTTAATTTATAGATATCTGTCACTTGTGCAACATTGTTTTGTTTTCCGTAAAGATGGGACTTAAGTGTAGCAAGTACATTTTTTGTTATTACAATGCTCTTTTGTGAAAAATTAATGTGTGTTGTATCTTTAATATATGCATAAATATTCTTTGTGTTTTAATGAAATACAAAGTATTAAAACTTCTTGATAAATTTTCATTATAATTATAATATTTATAACTGAGATCAGAGATATAAAATTCGTATTATTTTACTTTTTATCTTATGTTTAGTAACTTATATTAAATCCAAAATAATACCAAAATTGAATAAAAAATAATTATTAGTATTTTTTTTGGTTTTCATCTATCCAATATCTCTATAAATTTTGTTAATAGTAAGTTTATAAATAATGAAATAAGAAAGTATGTTAACAATGAACATAAAGAAAACACTGTAGTTATTTCTGTTTTATACCAATTTAAATTTATAAAACTGTTTTATTATTCAGGATGTAAGTAAATTAACTGCATTATCACCAGAAGTCATCAGTAGACAAGCTACAATTAATATTGGTAATTACAATACATTTTACTTTAAGAATCATTTGATGCGTAATATATAACCATGTATATACACACAGCATACAATCACAGATTATAATTAAATCCTTGTACAGGTACCATTGGCCATGTAGCACATGGAAAATCCACAATTGTAAAAGCTATATCAGGAGTACAAACTGTTCGTTTTAAAAATGAATTAGAAAGGAACATTACCATTAAACTGGGTAAGTAATGTCAAACATTTTTATTATCCAGAAACAACATTATCTTCTGTCTGAGGTTTGCATGTATTTAAGGAATCAAACTATTATAATATTTTGCATGCAATGCCAACAAAAAATTTCATTCCATAACATGTGTCTTATGTACTATGTCATTTGATGTTTCCTATAACTTGACAGTGTATGAATGATGCCAAATGATATTCTATATTGATGATTCATTTTTTATATCCATTGTAGACAATTGATTAATCATTAAATTACCATTTAACATAAATAAACTTAAAATACAACTATGATCAACTAAATGAAAAATATTGCAATAATCTGATTGAACAAATGTATAAGACACACATTTAATTTTTTGCTTATGGAACTTTAGAAAATGTGTTAAGTGACTGTATCAACACATAGTCCTTTTCCTTTACTTTTTATTCTTACAAGTACATATTAAATGAAAACAGAAATAATTATATCTACATATAATAACACTAAAAAAAATGCATAAGCAGTTATATCGAGCACTATGTATTGTGTATCCACCAGTCTATCATGTTTCTACAAAATTAGAACAATAATTAATCAAATGGGATTTAAATTATAAAACAGGTGGTATATTTCTCTATTATAGAATATAAGTATACACGTTGTCCTAGAAAAAGATGATTTCGCTAACCTTTTACTTGACGTTTTTCACATTGTTGCGTGCACCGTGCACTAGATGCCTATTTAATTTACCTGGGGTGGTAAATTAAACATGGGACTGTGCACGCCGTTGTGAAACAATGCGCAACACTATGAATTTTTTTCTGCGTCATTTTTCACAGTAGAATATACGGGTAGGAAAGCAGCACAAAAAGAATTCATTATACATACTTGTAAAGTGCGTTGCTCAGAAGAAGGCGTCCGCAGGGTATACGAGTTCGATTGGTTATTGGTCACTCGCGTTGTTTCTATTGGCCAGCGCGATGAAATCGACCAATCAGAGCACATACTAACCGAGAGAGCAAGTGCCCCCCTTGCACCTGTGCCGTCTCGGAGGACTTTTTCTGAGCAACGTACTTCACATGTCTACTGGTGACTGTACAGTTGAATCTAGCGCCCACTGCAATCACGATCACTTGAGCATCATGTAGCGCAAATGATATTTGTTGTGAGAGAGTTAGCCGTGGAAGTTAAGTGATGTAAAAAGTATCCTATCAGCATAATATTTTAAACGCATCTTGAATCAGATAACTTGGATCAGAAGTTTTGTTCGCTATTTTTTTGAGCACAGTCCTATCAATTCGCTGTAAATGTGGTCAACTCATCTGTTTATCTAATAACATTGCTATTCATCACAATAATGCAAGTTGTTATAATTTTTATATTATTAAATATGTATTTTCGTCGATAAAACATTTCTTTTGTGTTATTTAACCTTATTATAACGCTTTTAGAGGAGAAATTTTTTAGAGCAACTTGTACAATTTCACTAGAAAAGTCTAGTAATTTCGATGCAGGTGCGGCAGGGTTGACAACCGTGGTATGTTCGTTAGTTATTGCACTGTCATGTAGATGACCTTCGTTTCGTTAAAATTGACGCCATCTTACAAAATATTCGTATTTCCGGATCGCGCGTACCAACGACCTTTTACATTTTTTCTAGCTGCTGTAGAATCATGGTTACTCGATACACTATGTAACCATTTCAAACCAGTATTTTATTTCTTTAATTTAAGGTAAGAATAACAATATGATTTCGTTGATCTTCCAAAAATTCCTAGTTCATAATTTCGTGTGTTTAGGACGTTGTTGCGAAACAACAAGTATTCTAAACATAATTATATTGACACTAATTTTTATCTGCATATGGCATATCGAAACGCGTCTATTAATGCTACACAGAAATTGTTTTTCAAATCAAGTCAAATTTATTTCGAGTGTATATTGATGACGTGTGAACGTAATAATATTGTTTGCAAATTCATTATTTAATAAAAGCGTAATTTTTTATTTGAAGTGTTCAGTGTATGAGTGTTTTTTGTTAACAATAAATAATTCAATCAATACATACATTGCACATAATTCAAGTTGAAGATGTACAAATTTGTATGGACTATTGATTAAAGCATGCCTTAATAAATGTTTTTATAACTAAAGTTTTTGAAGAAGTATACTAAAACAACAAAGGTTTCTTAAATAACTAATTATGAATGTAAGTATGATTTTATTTAATTATAAGACATACACAGAGGTAAGTATAATTACACATGGTACAAAATTCATAAATTTAATATAATTTTTTCTTAATTTATATATACTACGAATTTATCATCGCAGAAATTCTTTTTTGTGACACAGTTACTGTGTATAATGTGTAAAGTACTTGTATTGTATGTGTATTTGAAAACAATAAAACACATACTTCTTTCATCTTATGACTATATTTTATTCATTGAAATCCTTGCATAATAGAAAAACAATCTGTAATGTAAATAGGACATTTCTGTCACCTGAAAAACGTGTACATTGTATGGATTGTTTGGCATTTAATACAGTGGTAGTATTTGAAACATTTATCTAGAAGAGAGTAATTAGTAAATAATGGTAATAATAGGACATAAAAAAGTTATTAAGGTGTGCTTTAGTCAGTTGGCATGTATGTAGCTCCACAAATGTTAATGTATAGAGTGAGTCATTCAAATTAATCCTTGTGAATAGTTTTAAAATTGTTGATAATCTTGAAAAATGTTTTAGGTAAAAGTTGGTTTTGTGGAGGGAAACAATTTCATGGAAGTAGTTTGTTGTAGGTCTGTTGAAATAAGGAACATATGAACATCGAATTTATATTGTTAAATGGAATTTTATATTATTTAATGCATTACTCGCAATATTAAAATAAAAATATATCCTGAACTAATTTTTATAGGCAATAATAGCTTCATACTTTTTTTTATAGGGAATGATGAATTCAACAATTAGTGCATTAAAAAATATATGATTCCGTTTACAAAAACAGATTTGACCTTCATATGTCTCCATAACTCTATGCATCCACCTACAAAAAACTACTTATCAAATTATTTAGCCCTGAAAACCATTCAACTTTTATTGGAAACATTTTTCAGTATCATCAATGGCTTTGAAGATATTCTGCGAAGAAAGTATTAAATCGCTCACTCTGTATGATAAAATGAAAACAACTGTCTTATGAGTTGACAAGGAATCAGTCTTTTGTACGTGCACTTTCTTTGCACAAAAGTCCCACGAATGGCATAAATTATGTCTTGTAACAGCACCAACTTCACAATTCATTTAATAAACAAATGAGAAGAGCGAAGAGGATTTAAGCAATTTTTGGAATGCAAGGTCGTACGCTAATACTAAAAAAGATGGGAAGCACAATTATACAAGTTAAATGAAACAGAAAAATATGACTGGAGAGAATGACATCCTTTAAATGTTTGGCATTACAGACGCTCGTGCAGAGGAGGATACCAGTGAGGATCAGGAAGATACTATTGGCAACACAAATGAAATGTTCTCTACACGTGAAAAAAGACCAGCCTCTCCAGGGAATATTGAGCCATCTGCTAAACAAGTGAAGTACGAACAACAGTTCAATTCGTCTGCAACAGACAATAGTGCAGATTGTAAAGCTGACAAATGCTCAAGTAGCAGTAATGAGAATAGTGAAGAAGCCAAATGTTTATACAGCAATAATGCACTGTTTACTCAGGACATTGAAGAACAGATTGTGAATGAAAATTATGTCAAAAGGAGCTCACGATGTTCCGAAAGTGAAGACCAAACTGGGGTAGATAATACAAGACTGAATAAATTAAGTAATAATAATAATGTTAGTGCCAATGATAATGATAGTGATACTAAAAACATACAAATAAAGTACAACTTAGAAAATATTAAATTAAAGGAATTGAAAGTCATATTAAAAGACATGAAGTATGACAAGAATAATGGAATAAAAGTATCACATCCAAGAAACGATTTATGGGAGGTAGAAGAAATTCTTGGGAAGAAGGAATTAGACGACCAGTCGCTTTATTTAATTAAATGGAAAAATTGGGATAGCGATTACAATACCTGGGAGCCAGTCTCGAATTTAGTTAATTGCCCGGAAATGTTAGAGGATTTTGAGGCAAACAGATTGAAATTGCTTAATCGCTTCCAGAGGGTGGTAAACTTCCATCCGAACAAACAGGATATCGAACAATTTATAAAAAAACTTATATATAAAGGCAAAACGTTACAGTCCATTACGGTTCAACATGATGTATTTTATCGTGCTATAAAAAATTTCATGAAATCGAAGCGCAATAGAAGTTCAAAAACCGAATTCATAAAAGACGGCATTTTTTGTATGTTGATTGGCGATTTAAGAAAAAAGCAGTTGGCATCATTATCGCTTTGGGAAAATGAGATGAATTCTGTCTCTAATGGCAGACCGTTAATAAAGGTGGAGAATGTAATAGACTTGGAAGAAGCGCCTCCAGACTTCTATTATATAGACGATTATCTACCAGGACTCGGAGTGATAATACCTAATGATCCCCCTATTGGATGTGAATGTCACACGTGTAATTCCAAAACAACATGCTGTTTCGGTCAGTACGGCGGATATTGTCCCTACACCTCCACATACAAAATACGAGTTCCACCCGGTACACCGATATACGAATGCAACAAACGATGCAAATGTGATATGAACTGCATAAATCGAGTAGTACAACGTGGCACGAAGATGAAATTTTGCATTTTTAGAACTGCCAATGGAAGAGGCTGGGGTGTAAAGACCTTACAATCAATTAGAAAAGGGTCTTTCGTTACGCAATACGTAGGTGAAGTGATCACAAGCGAAGAGGCTGAAAAACGTGGCAAAGAATATGATGCTGCTGGTAGAACGTATCTGTTTGACCTTGATTATAATGAGACCGAAGATCAGTGTCCTTATACGGTCGATGCTGCTGTATACGGCAACGTCTCCCACTTTATTAACCATTCTTGCGATCCGAACTTAGCGGTATATGCCGTTTGGATCGATTGTCTTGATCCAAACCTTCCCAAGCTCGCCTTGTTCGCGACAAGGGACATTAAGATGAATGAAGAAATCACATTCGATTACACCTGCCAGACGTCCAGGAATGGTGAAACTTCTATAAGACAGGATGCATCTGTGAAGAATGATCTAAATACAAGTATTACCAAGGAATTTCAAGAGGAATTTCAGATACGACCAGAAACACCTGAATCTGATACATCGAATAGCAAAATCTTGTGCAAATGTGGTGCTCGAAGTTGCAGACAATACTTGTTTTGATCTTATGCAAAATTTATGGACACTACAAATAATATTAGATAGAATCGTACGGATTATTGACTTTAGTTTCAATTGTTCTTACCAACTCGTTAGGATCTTGAATAGAGTTGCAGGATTAACAAAATTTTTACTTATTAGTAAATCATGACGTTTTCTTTAAATTATGTTGGAATATTAAATTATATGTATTTTTGTTGCGTAACGAAACAGCGAAGTCACGCATAAGCCCACTTGTCATCGCGATAACTGTATCGCAAACTGGACGTTTATCGTGTATTCATTCACTTAATACAAAGTAACATACTTTTTGTTAAATGCGCATAACTTGAGCGTGACTCTGTACCAGGGCTGGTCAGTTCATTGTCTGCACAAACATTTTTTGGCATATAAATAACATTAGTGAATAGCCGACTACGGACACGAAAATATCACCTATTCGAGAAATGGTTTCACGATGGCAAAGATCATACTACAGTAAATCCTCGATGAGTGTTCAAAGGCTCCTTGGCACTGACAAGGAGTGGTCCCCATGTGTAACGCTATCATTTTAATGAAATTTAGCATAGTGGTAAAGCTTGGAATTCTGAAGTCAATGGTATTTGTTTTAGCTGCATAGGGCCATCAGTTTATGTAATATTTAATGTTCACTGCCGAGGAGCCTTCGAACACTTGTCTAGGATTTACTGCATCCTTACTCGTTACTTACCTAGCACAGGCCCAATCCATACCTGGCTTCCTTCGTTGCCCTATGCTTGGCCGATAGGCAACGATAGACGCCCCTGCTCGACATTGTCCAGTTGCCTAATTCTGTTCTATACATTATAATAATGTTCAGATAAAGAAGATCAGTGTTTTATATACAAGAAGAGATACGTAATCATCCGTTACTGAGAGAGAGAAAACTTATTTCTGTTAAATGAATTGAGTGTTGCTGTTAAACTATCACAACACAAGCAATTACAGTTGCGGCTGCAGTGATGCACATAATTGATTCAATGTTTCATCTGAATATGTACATTTTTATTTTTAAATAACAATAGTGAATTATAAATAAAACTTTTTTTTTTGTTCAGACGCATTTCTTTTTTACTTTCATCACTGTTTCAATAACGCATTTACTCATAGTTGAAATTTCTATGTTCTTATTCGATATTTACACAACTGTGATTTTTCTTGAAACATTTGATTCATTGTGTGAGTTGCTGTACATACTTGTATTATACTATTATCAGTAGTTATAGGTGGTATTATGAATTGCAAGTTTCTAAAGTTTTCTGTTATGTATTTGTTCGTCAGCATCGATAATTATTTCCTTTTTTCTCTTTGTAGAGAATTTATTTCTCTTACGTTTTACTTGCTCGTTGTAAAATATGTACAGTGAACATGCTTTAATTTGCGAGATGATTTTATACTATTATATTCCATCTCATTTGTATTAATGTTTCTGTGAAACTATAATACTATTTTGCAAGTAGCAGCATTTAAATTTTTTTTTTAGTTTAGTTACGAAATTGTATTAGATTGATGACATGCGGGTAGGTGTTGCTGCACACTTCAAATATGGTCCAATGCAGATTGTTTAAAACATAACAATCAGTCTGGGTAAAACATTTAACAATTTACGCTCACAGTGTGAGTACTTACATTATGGGATAGCATTAAGTGCATGTATAAACATTAAAAATTTATTTCGATAAAATCGAAATCAATCAGTGACTTCTGCTAACAAATTGAAATGAGACTAGTTATTATACAATTTGACTACTTGTACAATGTATATTTTGACCGAAAATTTTTAAAGTATTTAAAGTTACAAAAATATGTATAAGAAATGTTTGATGTTTACTTTGTACACATACAATTCATTCACAAATAAATGTAAATTATTATTAAATTGGTAAATTAGTCATTGATATTGTTTTACTTCTATGTGATTATTTCCTGAACAAAATTATTCTTTCGTTGAGCTTTAGTGGTCATATTATAATAAAGTGTCTAAATTTATATTTTCATATATTCGTATTCACTTTTCTTGCTTTAAAGGGACTAAGTCCAGGCCTCTTCATGAAACAGGAAGAAAACAATTTTCAGTTGAAACTAACACAATGAATTCCTTTTTAATTGATTCATTTCAGGCTACGCTAATGCAAAGATTTACAAGTGCAACAATGAAAAGTGTCCCAGACCAGGATGCTACATATCTGGCGGATCGAGCAAAGATGATACGTTTCCTTGCTTGCGTCCAGTTTGCACTGGACGGTTTGAGCTTGTACGCCATGTGTCCTTTGTTGATTGTCCAGGACACGACATTCTTATGGCAACTATGCTGAACGGTGCAGCTGTCATGGACGCAGCTTTACTTTTAATCGGTATGTAATTTTCATAAAATTTTAATCTATTGCGATAATCGTATTTCATTCGGTGTTGACCCTTTCATTACGGCTGAGTGTTCCCCCCAGTACGCTGATGCCGTTGATAGATTTAAAAACATGAATATATTATACATCAATAATGATGAATATCTAAACATCAGATACATCCCACACTAGGAACGAAATGGTTAATAACCGTTTAAACAACATAAATAATAATCAATGAAAAAAAAACGAAATAAACATGTTCATTTGCAGCTGGCAACGAGTCGTGTCCACAGCCCCAAACATCTGAGCATTTGGCCGCTATCGAAATTATGAAACTGAAACACATTGTAATTTTGCAAAACAAGATAGACTTGGTGAAAGAAGCCCAAGCAAAGGAGCAATACGAACAGATCTTGAAATTTGTGCAAGGTATTTAGAACGTCACAAAAATGTTCAAATGCTCGTTCCATTTCAGTTGAAGGAGTGCAATAAACAATTTGTATCGTTGTTCAGGTACGGTAGCCGAAGGTGCGCCAGTAATTCCAATATCCGCGCAATTAAAATACAATATCGAAGTCTTGTGCGAGTACATCACGAAGAAGATTCCAGTACCTTTGCGAGATTTCTCCTCAGAGCCGAGATTAATTGTAATTCGGTCATTCGATGTGAATAAGCCCGGTTGTGAAGTGGACGATCTGAAGGGAGGTGTAGCCGGAGGAAGTATTTTAAGAGGAGTATTAAAAGTATGAATGGTTACCTCGCCATTAATTTTGTACCCGTTTCCATTTCATATGTACCCTCGCGAGTAGCAAACTCTGCTCCCGCTAGGGGAAAAAGTGGCGTAAGACTAAGGCCATCCCCACCACTTGGTAAATGTAATTCAGGTACTGAAATAAATGTTAAAATAAATGTTAATTTGGCATAAATTTCAAAAACTTTCGAAATCAAGTGGTAGGAAGCCTTTTTTGAAGAACTAACCCCCTACCAGGAGCCGAGTTTTTGCATGTCAGTGTACATATAACTAGACTGGTTCATTCTTTCGTAGGTGGACATGGAAATTGAAGTACGGCCAGGATTAGTGTCAAAGGACAGCGATGGAAAATTCACCTGTCGACCCATATTTTCACGGATAGTGTCGTTATTCGCTGAACAAAATGAACTTCAATTCGCTGTTCCAGGCGGTCTGATTGGTAAGCTATCTTCTCATGTATTATGACACTTGCGTTTCGAATATGAACTTTACCTAAGGGCGTATTCAGTGAAGGAAATGATACGCATAGTAGCGTTTGTACAATAAATTTCAAGGTGTCGGAACGAAAATTGAACCTACATTGTGTCGAGCGGATCGTTTAGTGGGCCAGATTTTGGGAGTTGTTGGGGCGCTACCAAAAATATTTATTGAACTCGAAGTATCGTATTATCTGCTTAAACGATTATTAGGAGTCAGAACAGAAGGCGACAAGAAAGCTGCAAGGGTAAGATCATTACACGTTGCACGTAATTTGTATTTCATGTTTTATCAGAATTGTGACATAATCCGGGTCAAACACCATAGGTACCTAAATTATCAAGAAACGAGGTGCTGTTGGTAAATATTGGGTCCCTAAGTACCGGAGGTCGCGTGATAGCCACTCGTGCTGATTTGGCAAAAATCAGTTTGACCAATCCCGTGTGTACAGAAATCGAAGAAAAAATTGCATTGTCCCGTCGTATCGAGAAGCATTGGCGATTGATCGGTTGGGGTCAGATTTATGGCGGGCAAACAATAGAACCGGTTATAGATCAAAAATAATTCCACGAATATTGTGAAAAATCTCGAAATACAATAAGAAAAAAAATAAAAGAATTTCTATAACGTGAAATGATGCTTGAAACGTTTATAATAAAGTTCGAAATACACAATATTTGTGTAATATCTGATGCATTATTCCTAAAATTCCTATCCTGTATCAAACAATTAATTTAGTAATTCTGCCGATATCGTTTATTGCATAATTCTTAAATATTAGGTAGTTTAACTTTTTTTTGTTATATAAACATATTCATGTCAACATAAAACAGGCGACCATAATGTGTCGAAAATTCATAAATTGAATTGATACATAATCAGTTGATACGAAATTGTAGTTCAGTGAAACAGTCTCACAAATATAATACATTTAAATAATTAGATGGAATGGACCTAATAAATGCACTTAAATATTTTATTTTAGTTATGTTAAATTATTGGGTATAGATACAAATCCCGGTTGAATGTATGAAATTGTCATTGAGACACAGGCTATGATTATCTGTGAATGGTTCGCATCTTGTACCAAACGATGCAATTCAATTGGTTGTAAAAATGGATCATCTTGCCTGAAATAAAACGGAAAACATTGAAATTCACATAATCGGAATGTAGTTTGTTAATATACAAAATTTCAATTACTTTATTACAACTATTCGGTAGAGCGGAGGACCAGGATTTGCTTTTCTATAATTTTGTATATTAGAATAAACATTGTAGGATATTCTGTGTCTATTCTTCTTCCTTCTTACAGTCTTCTCGGGTGCAGTCTTAATTATTTTAAGCTTACTAAAAACTTCCTCGAGAGTATTTACACTCTTTGATCCAATCAGTGGGCTTCTCAATCGTCCAACTACTTGTATTTCATCGCATTCTTCATCTTTGCGCGTATCTTCGTCGTCGATAGTAATCGTTTTTTCGTCACGCCATTTAGCTTTTAATTCTGACCAGGAAGATGCTCCTGACAGTACTTTAAATGCTGACTGACTGAATTCATTATTACGATTCGGGACGTTCGAATGTTTGTAATGATTGAATGACGAATGACGTGGCCAGTACCTTTGGCGAGGCTCCGGTTGGGATACGGTTCTAGCAACGCTGCAATGATACGACATATTTTCTATAATTTTATGGTCATACAATTTTCGTAGGGGCATAAAGTTCTGTTGAAAATTATCATACAACTGATTTCGGGTAAGAAAACTTCTGGTCATGTTGTTGCTCGTATTTGGTATTGAGAAATTATTCATCTGCACCGACATGAATCTGTTCTGAAAAGCTGCACCATGATTTCCAAGAGCTACAAATACATTTTGAAATATGGTGTTCCTTTGGTGCCAAAATGAATTCTGGCTGTACGGAAACGGCATTCTATTACCGTACATATAATTAGAATTAAAGTTTGCATACTGTCTGCCTTCCATAGAGTAATAATTCTGCTGCATAAAGACATTCTGTATATTTGTTCCTAAATTGTGATTCAGTGTAGCAACATGCGTACTCCTGATATTATGACTCATTGACGCGTTATTGTAACCAATGGTATTCCTATTTGTATTATTATTTAAATTTTCTCCGTTTCCATCAGATTCTGTTGTTCTGTTATCTATTTCCTGTGAATTTTTTAATTTTCCATTTTCGTAATGATATACATTTTTATAGGGCTTTATGCTATGCGGTATGTAACCTCTTGAAATTTTCACTGTAACAATGGGTTTAGATGCAGTATTTGGAATTAAGTTTAAGAGATCCATACGCGACTTTGGCTTCGGTACTTCTTCAATTTCATCGTCGGAGAGTTCTATGACCTAATCGAAGAATTTACACGTTAAGTTAGCATTGATTTATCAATATTAAAAATTTGTTGATCGTACGTATTACATATTTTACCTCTTGCTTTGATCTTTTATTTTGTAATTCTTCTCTGACTGGCGAAGATGCTTTGTGTTTTCTTGAGATGTGCTCAAAACGTGTAGTACTAGAATCAAGCACTGAGACATCAGGAGTCGGTAACAAAGCTTTATCAATTCTTTTAGGTAACAACTTGACATTCCGTTGTATACGCGCTGACCGCCAATCAGCAGCTGAAGTATTTCCTTTTGTACAATTATTTTTAGAATCTGTAACAATTTTAATATTACCTAGTAAAGTTTCCTCTGATATTATTTCCACCTTGGAATTTCGCTTCTTTTTATCATGATTTGTATTTTCTGTTTGCACATCAGTGTCTAACAATGCACAATCTTCCATTTCATTTTTCACAATTTCAATATTTTCTACTCTAGAAACAAGATCATTTACAACTTTATGTACATCATCTGGTATATCTTGAAGTTCAGTTACCTCCTGATGAATTTCTATGGAATTATTAGTATCTATATGAATATTCTGCTGATCGCTGACAGAGTTTCTATTCTCTATATTTGTACAAGTACTAGACTGTTTCCAAAGACCATTTTCAGGTTCAACGATAACCTTACGCTTGGTATTGCTGCTTTCATCATTCTTTATGTTTTTGTCCAAGTCATAAATAAAACGCTGTATACGATAACCGTAACGTACTAAATGACTGTAAACTCTGTATTCTTCTATTGTGCACTCAACATTATCGATTAAAAGTTCATAAGCTTGCTGAATGGACAATGGTACATCATTCCAAGTAAGTTCCAAACAGTTCTAAAACAGAATAGTGTCTTACTTTTTTCCATACCATGTTAAATAACGATCCAATTTTTGCTATACTAATAACATACAGTTTCTAGAAGAAACAGTGCTTCTTCTGGCAATAAATATAGGACACAATTTTTTTCCAGGCCAAAATTACCCCAATCTACACCAGTGAACTTTTTTACTCTAGCTCTTTTCTGCAGAGGTAACCATTCAGCACTTGCCAATTGAGAAATACGATCTACTCTTTCTACAGCTATTAAATTTTTATGGGACTTAATGCCCTTTTCAATTTGCATATTTTGTAACCAAGAATTGTCAGGCTCAAATTGCTTCATTCCAATCTTTGGAAGAGTTTCAGCAGATCTTTCGTATTCATTCCAAGCTTTGTACTTAAGACCTTTATTTTGCAATAGTTCTTCTGCCCTGCAAAACATTAAATCTTGAAATATTTTTGAGCTACCCAATATTTTGAATACCTCCAATATCCATTAGAATATAATAAATCATTATATACATGACAAACTCACGTTAATGCATTTGTTGGTAATTTTTTCTTTTCTTCTGTCATTTTCTTGCTATTGTTTTATTACAGCTTTACACAATTTTATTAATCAGTCATCTACTTTATGAATAGAATGCGGCATAGTCCCATTCCCTGTGTCATCAAGAATGTATTAAACCCTTTCCAGAAATTTGCAAATTTTTATAATTAATTATTACCTTAAATAATTAATTTCTAAACATTTACTGTGTTGTTTACATGAGTATGCTCATCTAACATTGTTATGATAACTATATCCACATTTTCTAATTAAATTGTATGAGGTATGTCTTACAATTTCAAGTACATCGGCAGGAAATAATAAATAGAATGTAATTTAACAATTGTACGAAACATTCAAATCATTTGCCTCCTGCATATATTAATATATCAATGAACTATACAGTCTGATACAGTCACATGTATGATGTATATGCGTACATTCTTAACTTAAAATATATTTGACATAAAACTATTGTTTCATTGCAGGGCATGCTGCATGGTTACAATTATACACGTATATATTAACACACAGTATGTTTTATACATACAAAAAGTTGTATGTATAATAGTTAATTTTAGAATCACATCACGATAAATCTTTTTCTGGGGTTTAACACCATTTAACACCATTTAACACTCACTAGTACCAGCTAGTACTCTTTACGTTACATGTGTGGTACAACGTTATGAGCCGCTCAAAAAATTAAATAGCAACCTGTATTATGTGTTTATGTATTCACACTGAGAAAGATAATCTATTCATATCATAGCATGAATCGAATTTTTACAAATTTTATGTTATCATTGAAATTTAGTAAAATGTTCTGCTATTATTGTTCAAAAATATCTCCATGTAACGGTCGCTGCACTTAACTCACACGTAAGACGTTTTATGAAACCAGCATTAAGTTTAGTTGGCCAGTCCATTAGAGAAAGGTATCTTCTCTATAGACCAAAGATTCATGCTAGAATCCTTTTAGCGCTTTCTGTTTTTTTTTGTTTTCGTGCAAAGTGAATATGTCAAAGACCGTGGCGGTGTGCAGTTAGTGTTGAGTTGATGGCAATTACAATTGCGAATTACTGCCACGGGTATTGATAAATCGTTATGAATTATTAATAACCAGGTGGTCATAGTTGGATTCACGACATGGCATCTCGCAGGTGAGGCACGTTTTTGTACTTGCATAAAAAATATGTAATTATCATAATTCACGGACGTTCCGATGAACAGGCCTACTTATTTATCAGTGTAGCCGCGGATTAGTTAAAGCTCACTCAGAGGTAACGTATGCGCACTTAAATCGTTTAACAACGCTGAATTTTTAATGTTCAAAAATGGATCGAACAATTCCAATTTATGTAGATGTCTTCCATAGATATTTCCGGGCATGGAATTTACACTCCTCGTTTAATTAACTCTGCAAACTTCACAAGATGGAATGTAAATGTTAATTTATTTCTGTGGAACTTCTAATTGTATTACACAGTGAATTATCATTTTGTACTTTCGAAAACACAGTACATTATTATCATAATCGTCATTGTTTTAGTTTCATTATTTCTGTTTTCATGAGCAAATTGAATATATTGTAGCCAATAATTTAAGTAAGAGTATTCTTCACTATCTTGAAATACTTATATTTTCTATCTTGTCCATAGCATTTTAAATTGCATTTCCAATGCCTTACCTTTTTAGATAAGAAAAAATGACTTGAGTTATTTGTATGCTGTTACTTGAATCAACAATATCTATAGAACAGTGTTTATATTATATAATTAATTCTTTACTACAGCTTTCTAAAATGATAATGGTAATAACATAACATTTGTTACAGATGGTTTCATCCCAATATTTCGGGTTTAGAAGCAGAACGTTTATTAATGGAACGAGGTTATGATAGTTCATTTCTAGCACGTCCAAGCTCATCCAACCCTGGTGATTTTACATTATCTGTGAGGTAAATGCATAATATATCGTGTAAATTATCTTCTTGAATAACTGTAAACATTCTTGTAAAAGTATTAAATCACAAGAAGAGGCTATTAACTGTTTCATGTTAATTTTAATGAACAGTGGTAAAATGTTTCTCAAAAGTAATAACACTGCATATCTTTTTTTGGTATTCTCAGACGGAATGGTGAAGTGACTCATATTAAAATACAAAATACAGGAGATTTCTATGATCTTTATGGTGGTGAAAAGTTTGCGACGCTGTCTGAACTTGTGCAATTTTATATGGAAAACGGAGGGCAATTGCGTGAAAAAAACGGCGAAATTATTGAACTAAAATATCCTCTGAACTGTGCGGATCCAACAACCGAAAGGTATTCATTTATCCGAAACAACATGTGCAGCTATCGTTTCAGGATAATCATAATAATAAGTTCTGTCATGCATCGGAACATTTTTTTCTTGTGACTGTTACTTCAAATTGCACGCATATAGCATGGTATGTGTTAATAGTAAAATATGGGTAAAGGTGGTTCCATGGCCATTTATCAGCTAAAGAGGCAGAACGTTTAATGCTGGAGCGAGGTAAAAATGGATCGTTTCTGGTTCGTGAATCCCAAAGTAAACCTGGCGACTTTGTATTATCCGTGCGCACAGACGATCGTGTTACACATGTTATAATACGATCTCAGGTTAATTACATTTTCTATTTTATGTCACTTATATCACCTTTAATATACATCTTTCAATATAATTGTAAATTGCAATTCGAACATACAATATTTCGGTATTGAAAAGTAACAAATGTTATAGGACAATAAATATGATGTTGGAGGAGGTGATAAGTTTGATAGTCTAAGTGATCTGATAGAACATTACAAACGTAATCCAATGGTCGAAACAAGTGGAAGTGTTGTCCATTTGAGGTAGGAACTATACAAACATGTTAAATCGCGTACATGTATATAACAAGATGCACATTTGTCTATATGCGTATTTGTTCTATATATTTATATGTATGTTTTTCTATATATATATATGTATATATATTTGTCTCCTGTTTATCAAGGCAACCTTTTAACGCTACTCGTATAAATGCTAGTGGCATTGAAAGCAGAGTGAGGCAATTGCATAAAGAAAATGGCTGTTCGAACGGGTGGTTATGTTGGAACGGAGCTATCGTTAGCAACGAAGCTGGAGCAGGGCGTGGTAAAGGAAAAGCTGGTTTCTGGGAAGAATTTGAGTCACTGCAACAATTAGAATGTCGTCACTTGTTTTCCCGGAAAGAAGGTTTACGCCCGGAGAATCGCGCGAAGAACCGATACAAAAATATCTTACCATGTAAGATATTCTCTAATGTTTCTGTTATCCTTTAATCATCGATATGCATAAACGTTAAAAATAATGATTTTGTAGTTGATCATACGAGAGTGCGCTTAAAAGACGTCGATCCAAATATTCCTGGAGCCGACTACATTAATGCTAATTATATTAAGGTAAATCTGTCCGCATTATTTAACCGTTCGAGTGTCACGTATATCTGTAGGAATGCAGTCGAGAATTGTCAAACAGTAAATTAGTTCCAAGGCCACTTTTCGACCCGGAAAGTGTGCAACACGGATCGTGCTGTCTGACACTCAAACGGTTAATATTTATCTGACACGTACACACGTGTCAGAAACCTGTTCATGCGCAAATATTTTTAGAACGAAGAAACAGACGGACAGCCTAGCGTAATTAGCACTACTGGAGATGCTGGTGCATTTAATAAATGTTACATCGCGACTCAAGGTTGCCTGCCGAATACGATACCAGACTTCTGGCAGATGGTATATCAAGAAAATACAAGAGTAATAGTGATGACCACCAAAGAAATGGAAAGGGGAAAAGTATGTTGCTCGAATAAGTGAACATCGGAATTGTATTATAATGCTATATACATGTACTTTTTAGAATAAATGTGCTCGTTATTGGCCGGAAGAAGGTGAATTTACAAAGTATGGCGCTGAATGGGAAGTACGTGCCTTGTCTCGCACTTCAACGGCAGACTATACATTGCGGGAATTTCTGTTACATGGGAACAAACCATGTTTCGCAGAGTCTAGAAGGATTTACCATTACCATTTTCAAGTAATTAATTGTCACTTTTAATGCGGTAAAGGACAATATTGTTGGCTTCGCTAACGAAAAAATATTGTTAAGACTAATGTTTCAAATTTGGATGCTACTTATTTTAGTAAAACTAATCCTGTTAGCTGCTTCTTCCGCAAAGTTCGACAATGTGTATTGAGTAATACGAGTAGTGATAATAACTCTCTTGGTTTAGAGGCGTTTACAATGTTGCTCTTCATTGTAATAGGTTGTTCAGTTCTGTAAAGTTAAGTGAACTGTGTTAATTATGTTAATTTTATAGGCATGGCCAGATCACGGCGTTCCATCAGATCCTGGATGCGTATTAAACTTTCTTCACGACGTTAACGCGAGACAAGAATCAATTGCTGCGTCTCTTACTTCAAATGGTCAAAACGTACCTAGTATAGGACCAATTCTTGTACACTGTAGTGCAGGAATTGGTAGAACTGGAACATTTATTGTTATCGATATGATCCTCGATCAAATCAAACGGCATGGTAATTTAAACTTCACTCACGCTACACTACTTTTTTCCGCGCTTTTTTATGGTTTTTTTCTTGGTGTCAATCACAAACTTGGAAAATCGTTCTCGTTTATGGAGACTGCAGCTAAATGTGCTTTCTGTGTACGATATAATTTTATGAAGAATTGTAGACATTTTTTGTAATCCGTGATATGCATTCCATTTCCAGGCTTGGATTGTGAAATCGATATTCAAAGAACAATTCAAAGAGTACGTTCACAAAGATCAGGAATGGTTCAAACAGAAGCACAGTATAAGTTTGTTTATCTCGCTGTATTACATTATATTGAAACTGTATCACAACGGATGCAGGCAGAGCAGGTAATTACACGAGAATTATTTTGTGTATATTACATAGTTATCAGAAATCTTTACTCATCTATTTATCCTTTAATTTGCCGTTATTGTTACAGAAGTCTCTTCACTTAGGCAGAGAGTATACTAATATTCGTTATAAAAGTGAAACAAACGCTACTACAAATATGGGCGATATATCTGTCCCTACGTGTACTACAACAACCCTTTCAGCTTCAGCACATTTCACATTACCTACTCCTGTCAGTAGTTTGAGGCCAAAGTAATTACCATTAATGTCGGCCAATCAATGAGATCTTTGAAAAGCAGAAAAGAGGCTTTGTTACTCTCACCACACGTGGTTTTAAAAGCTTGGATATTATTTCTTATCTATATATGCAGTGCACAGTTTTAATTATAAAGCTGTGAACATTGCTCGCTGCATGTTCATAAAGACGTAAAAACAAAATAGTATACATAAAATGAAAGATTATAATTCCAACATTTTATAGTTAAATACTTAGAGTAATTAGAAACGTTTTAAAATTGAAAATTGTATTATAGAAAAATGAAGGATATTTTTATGGCAATTTAATTGCAGTTCTATTCCAGAACATTTGAACACAAAGTCTCAATAACAATTATTATTTCAAATATACTACAAATGTAACTGCTTTTATGCCGGTAGTTTGCTATCTGTATTACATCAAATAGTAAGTAGATAAAAAACTTATCTGAATACAGATGATCGTTCTTCATGCTTATTTATAGAGAACAATAGTAGAAAAGCTTCTTTGACAGGTTAAATGTTTTCCCAAATATGCAACGAATTTCCGGAAGGTTTCTTAGGTTTCGGGTGTAATATTATATATTGTGCCTCAAAATATGTGTCGATATTTGTTTCCCTTTTATTGTGATCATATAACTGTACAAATTTTTCTAGTAATATTTAGGTCTGACTTTTGTGTAGAGCTTTTCTTCGAATGTTTACCCAGGATTGTAAAACATTTATCAATCGTAAATTTTAACATGCTAAAGGCAGAACACGCAAAGATGAAATACGTATAATTTCACACGTTGTTAGATATATACAAACGACATTTGTATTGCAATTAATATTTGTTATTTTTTAAAATAATTGTACTTAATTATAACGTTACTATTATTATTGAAGTTCATTGCATCAAGTGTAAACAAAAATATTATACTAAATGTCAGTATCAAAATTATCACATTTGAACTGATACTCGGATTTAAACAGATATAATGTCTTAATCTTTTTCAATCATTCTCATGTAAAGTATTTTATAATTTCACGTGTTGTGAATATTTTTATTAGATTCATCCATAAAGTTAAGTAAGCCTATGTAGGAATTACAATTCTTGCTATTATAAACTTATATGATATTTGCGTTTTGTACGTGACTTTTCAATTTTCTACAAATCCATATTAAACGAATAGCATTAACATTTTTTTTTTATATATTTTTTGATATTGTTAATTTTATAAGACTTCACCCACGCATTTAACAAATTCATACACAATCAAGAACTTTATTCATAAAGTATGCATCTGAGTGGGTCCTGCCTTGTAAATTAAGTCGTGAGGTCTATACTTTTTAAAATATTTTATAACTTTATTACGAAACCAAAACAAAAATTGCTTTATTAATTGTAAAATATATTTCTAAAATTATTAAACTAATTTTGAAATTCATACTGATTTTTTACATGATCTTACAAAATGAATTTAAAAGTTTTTAAGTACTATTTACAAAAGTTTCACTAATAAGAGTGAAGTTCTTGTTTATTTGTGTAATATATCAGAATCTCAAGTCTTTTCTTTACATGTTTATAAATATTGACGCGGTAAATACTTTTTGACATTGACGTTAAGCGTAAGTTAATAATACTGAATTTATTATCAGCTGTCTTTTGATTCAACATAACTTGCATTTGGGTGGAATGCTACATTTTATTAGTTGTTATTGTTGCATTTTGTTATAATTGAAAACACAATGTGATAACAACTGTGACATGAAAAGTTTTATTATGAAATTCTACATTTGTATTGCCATGTGTCATGTTTCAAATACTATAATGTATCAAATGTAAGAGATTTATATGATCAAATGTAGATAGTTTATGAATTCTTATCATTAATAATACACACATAAGTATATATAGAGAATACAATAAAAATTTATAATAATTTATTGTTTGTCTCGAATAATATTTGACTTCTATATAAAAGACAAAATGCATTTATGCACAAATCTGTCTTAATAAATATGTTTTGTTACAGTTTAGAAATTAAATTAACATTTTTAACTATAATGACAAATACTTCACTATAAAAATGATGTAATAATAAAGTAATGTGGAGAAATAGATAACAATGCGATTTTAATTATATTTGAAGAAGACTATTACGTTCGGGTGGTACAACAAAAAAATAAGTGGAAAATATGGAATAAAAAATTTTCATTTGAGACTTCGTTTCCGAGAAAATCAATTGTAAATCTGATGGTTACGCGTGCAATTGAATAGGTTTTGACCGTCTTGACCAGCGCGTCTGTTCATTGCATTCCATTTCTACTTACTACCATACGTATTACGTATATATACATGCGTTTCACATTAATTTTCATATAAATGGAAAATCTAAGATAAAATTAAACATTTTGACCAAAAATAATTCATTTATTTAAAATGATTTCGCTAGAATTGTAATAAATTTGTTGCGTACAGTTGGCAACTTCAGTTTATATCATGTCAAAAAATAGGTGGTTGGTGGTTTCATCGCGATTACCAGCGACTACCAAAAGTCACCTAAAGTCGATATTAACGAAATAGATTGATTTGTAAATGAAACGATAGAAAAAAGTAGTTTAAGTAGATAATTCCCACAATAATTTAATCAGTTTAAACAGTTTTTTTACACGATATGGCATACATGTGGTCCGAGCTATTGACGTTCGTGTGTTATGTAGTCGCGTTATTATAATAGAAATTAATAATTTTATGGAAAGATACAGAAATCTTTGAAAAACAGTATTAAAAATGAAGACAGCATTGATGGTGGCTGAAAAGCCTTCTTTGGCAGCATCGCTCGCCAATATTTTAAGTAACGGTCGATGCACATCCAGAAAAGGTAGGTTAATGTTTTCGATAAAAGAAACAAGTCTTTGAAACGAAATAAAAAAAGTGAAAGTTTAGTTCAAAATAATAACTACTGGTTAAAGTCCTTTTTTACATCTGGAAACTCAAATTTCAGGTTTGAATGGATCGAATACTGTTCATGAATGGATAGGCCAGTTCAAGTCTGAAACAGTGAATTTTAAAATGACTTCTGTTTATGGTCACGTTATGAATTTAGATTTCTTTGGGAAGTACAATCAATGGGACAAAGTGGATCCTGTAAGGGAAACATAATTATAACTTTGATCATTTTTAATCAATTCCTTGCACATTCATTTAGAATAGATTCTTTCTTGTTGTGTTTAAGGCAGAGTTATTTTCATGCCCAACAGAAAAGAAAGAAGCATCTCCTAAACTAAAAATTCCTTACTTTCTTGCTAAAGAAGGAGCTCATTGCGATTATTTAATATTATGGTTGGATTGTGACAAGGAAGGAGAGAATATCTGCTTCGAAGTTATCAATGCAGTGCAACAGGGCACAACTAGGAGGCTGAGTCCAAATGTATGTCTTTCTGTAACACTAATTAATTATTGTTCTGTAATATTGATCTGTATATTTTAGGACATTTGGAGAGCTCGATTTTCTGCTATTACAGAGAAAGACATTAAAAATGCATTAGCAAACTTAGTGAAGCCCAATGAAAATGAAGCTAAAAGTGTTGATGCCAGACAAGAATTAGATTTGCGAATTGGTTGTGCTTTCACCAGGTTTCAAACAAAATTTTTTCAGGTAGAACCATTGTGAACTATTAGTTTATTATATTTTCTCTTATTAGAGACTATTTTGATGTATCTATTTTCTCATCATTAGGGGAAATATGGAGATTTAGATGTATCCCTCATTTCCTATGGTCCATGTCAAACACCAACACTAGGATTTTGTGTACAAAGGCACGATGAAATTCAAACATTTAAACCTGATCCATATTGGGTTCTACAGGTGTGTATTTTTCCTAAATTGGTTCAATAATTCACTATAAATATGATAAACCCAAATGTATTCAAGGTTACAGCAAAGTGTCTTGATGGTCAAGATAGTATTTTAAGCTGGAGTCGTGTGCGATCCTTTGACAAAGAAGTAGCAAATATGTTTCTGAGCCATGTAAAGGAGTATGACGAGGCAATGTAATTATCAAATAGCGTAAAAACATTCATTATAATTGCTGAAATAATCATTGAATCAAATATTTCAGTGTCATAAGCGTGGAGAGCAAAGAAAAGACAAAATCACGACCAATAGCTCTGAACACAGTGGAATTGATGAGGGTAGCAAGTTCAGGCTTGGGAATGGGACCACATCACGCTATGCAGTGCGCGGAACGTCTCTACATACAGGGCTATATAAGTTACCCTCGGACTGAAACAACTATGTACCCGGAAAATTTCAATTTACTGTAAGTTGTACGAAACCGCATTAGACCCAATTACTTTATCTTTTACATATCACAGTGGATACAGAAATATGCATATTTAGCGCAGTGTTGAAGCAACAACAGAGTAGTTCCGATTGGGGCGATCAAGTGCGTAAAATATTAGCGAATGGCATTAACAGGCCAATGAAAGGACGTAATGTTGGTGACCATCCTCCTATCACTCCAATGAAGCAAGCTACGAGGAGCGATCTCGATGGAGATTCGTGGAAGCTTTATGATTACATTACCCGACACTTCATTGCTACTGTAAATATTTTGTAGTTTTAACGTATTAATGGTATTCTTTAAACGAGGAAAATTAAATATCTTGAACGTTACAGTTAGATCAGGATTGTAAATATCTGAGTACAACAATGAAATTCGAAATAGGAATGGAGGTTTTCTCTATGAATGGTCATAGTTTGATAGACCCTGGGTACACTAGTACTCTTACTTGGCAAGCGCTCGGTAGCAGTGATACGCTACCTAAATTTGTACCCGGTGACAGAGTCAATATACAAGAGGTGGTTAATTTTCTTTTTCACGCTATTATACTTTGACGTTTTATACACAGTACTTAAGACATACAGGTTGCTGTACATTTGGAATTAATTACCTGTATCCTTTACATTAGGCGAAACTGCTTGAATGCTACACGCAACCGCCCGATTATTTGACGGAAGCAGAACTAATCTCGCTTATGGAGAAACACGGAATTGGAACTGATGCTTCGATTCCACTACATATAAATAATATATGTATGAGAAATTATACTAGCATTGCAACTGGCAGGAAATTAGTTCCTACCTCATTAGGTATTGTGTTGGTCCACGGATATCAAAAGGTATAAATTTCTGTTACACAGAAAAATAATCATCAGTTGCAAATTAATTTCTTTGTATATCAGATAGACCCTGAGTTGGTTTTACCTACAATGAGGTCTGCAGTGGAGGAACAGTTGAATCTAATCGCTCAGGGACGAGCGGATTACCATGCAGTATTGCAGCATACGGTAGAAATTTTCAAACAAAAATTCCAATATTTTGTGCATAATATTGAAGCGATGGATCAGTTATTCGAAGTTTCGTTTTCACCACTTTCTGCGTCCGGAAAAGCCCACTCCAGGTAGGGAAGTAAATGCGTGTTCATTATGAGAGTTGCCAAAGACATGGCTCTAACGATAGAAAGAATTTTTCTGTTCAAAAACAATATTTATAAGAATATTGTTCGTATTTTAGATGTGGAAAATGTAGACGTTACATGAAGTACATACAAACAAAACCGTCGAGGATGCATTGCGCGCACTGTAACGAAACGTATAACCTTCCACAAAATGGAAACATTAGAATCTATAAGGAACTGAAGTGTCCATTGGACGATTTCGAATTGTTGTCCTGGTCTACTGGAGCACGGGGGAAAAGCTATACCTTTTGTCCATACTGTTATAACAATCCACCATTTAGGTAATTATTTTCTAGTATTGTATCAGAATTGGCTTGACAAATTAATTTCATCCAGTTTATTATACCGTATTAAAATTTTAGGGACATGAAGAAAGGAATTAGTGGCTGTAACTCATGTACTCATCCAACTTGTCCACATGGTATGAATTCTACTGGTTTATCGAGTTGCCTTGAATGCAATTCGGGTATACTAGTGCTCGATCCTTCAGCCGCACCTAAATGGAAACTAGGCTGTAATCGTTGCGACGTTATTATTCATTTATTCGATAATGCCCACAAAGTGGTGGTCGATACTGATGTGTGCGACTGTGGCGCGCAATTAGTCACTGTGGAATACAAACAGGCAAGGAAATCAGTGTTAACTGTCGCTTTAGAAAGTCGCTTAACAAATGAAACGTATTCTTCTATCTGAATGGGACTAGAACACATTTTTAATGTTAAATATCTATTTACGTTTTCTTATTACAGGAAAAAACTAAGCTTCCCAATGAAGCGACGGAGATGACCGGCTGTGTTTTTTGTACACCAGCTTTCTCCGCTCTTGTAGAGAAGCATAGAGCTGTCGCATCAAAGCCAGTTACAACCCGTAATCATGGACATGCGAAGAGTCGTAGTCGGGGGAAACCTCGTCCTCCTAAAGGCAAGATGGCTCAGTTGGCAGCGTATTTTGTATAATAATTTTGTAAACCAAGCCTGTGAATGTAATCGTTTTCTTATACACTGAAACATTCGGCAGTCGGCGTAAGCCTAGAAATAAACTCGAATTACATTCACTACCTCAATGACTCGTAAAATACCGATAGCTTTAGGTTATTTATAACAGTCAGTCATATGTTCTTAATCTCGTGACTCTTGTAAGCGTAACAAACAGAGTAAACTGTGTCTTATTTTATACATTCGTTTCACTACATTAGGAAATGTAATATGAAGATTGTAAAGATCACAGCATATGATTGCCAAAAAACGATATTAAATAGAATTTGCAATTATACAAATCTTTTAGCTGCTTTAATTATCCTTTGATGAAAATGACCCTTTTTATGGTTGGAGTCCCATAGAATTACGAATTCTTAGAAAAAAAAACGTTATGGTACGTATACTCTAAAACCAATGGTTTTCCCGGATAATTAACTTTTAAATAAGATACCATAGCAATATGTAGTAAAATGAATCAAGAGGATATAAACGATCATCAGCAAGTCTAGAAATATAACCGCCAAAAGTAAGTGAATCCTATGTAATTCCGAAAGAAGAGATGGACAGAGTATATATTTTTTTTTTCTGAACAAAAATCTTGTTATTCTTGCAAATCGTTGGGTATCGTTTGTACCAGTAGAAATGACAAATCGTTTTGTTCGTAATGCGCTGGTTTTTATTAGAAAAACGTTATTAAATAGTTCGCGCCGGACACACACGCAAAACACGCCCGAATGAAGAAACGGTTGCTGTGAACGAACAATGGAAAACGACGCGTCGAAGAGTAAACGCATTTAACGACAGAATTAAGTTCTGTAAAATGGTAATACTATAAAGCGTCTTTCTCTCTCTCTCTCTTTTTCTTTTTTCTTTCTTTCTCTCTGTCACGTGTAAATGCAAAACCGCGCGTATATAAACATTTGCACACTACAGAGTGGTTCAGTAATTTTCGTCACCTGGGAACACCAACGGACAGCAGATTATTTTGACGGTGGTCTAATGTGATATGAAAGCGCAATTTCGGGATAGTTTCGCAGTGAAGGCTATTTCAAAGTTATTCAAATATTTTTTAACATTCAATTAAACGAAATTAACCATAATAAAATTTTAACGAATAAACGAACATGTAATCGTTTTTCAACGAAATTTTTCTTCAATTGACACAAATTTGGTTAATTCTAGGTGACAATAAGTACCGAGCCACTCTGTATAACGATCTTATAATAGTTTTTAGGCTAGAACGATCTAACTGCAACCTAATAATCAACTAACTAGCTGGAACAATGATCACTGCGGCATTAAAGTGGTCCATAAAGCCTCGAAAAATATTTACGTTTCCCCAATTCTTGAACTCCAATGAATTTCACAGTTAGAGAGATCTCTTTTCAACGTAACTGAAATCGTGTTGGAGAATTCATCGACCACAGTAATGACAAGACTTGCGAACGTTCATTGTAAACACACATTCTTATGGACTACGACATATTATAAAACGGAAAATTGTTTGCTTCACGGAGTTTTGGTAAGTTCAACATAAAATGCAGCCTTTGTGAAAATTTATTGACACGTTCAGTACCGTGTGGATCACTACCAAGTTGGGAAGAAAACTTTAACCCTCATCCGTCCCTCAGTTTCCCAACTTAATTTGTCCCTCGGTGTCAAGTTGACATAGTGGTAAAAATTAATATAATGAAGAGACAAATAGTTAAATTTGCAAATTCTTTAAAATAAAAGTTATGAAGCCCTAAGGACATTCATTCACTCATGACAGAATAACATTATTTCTGAGGAGTAAAATTTGTCAAATTGACACAAGGGACGGACGGATGAGTGTTAAACAACTACGTATATAAACTTCTCAGATCGTTGTCAAAATAAAGTATCGAATATGAAAGATGAAATTTTTAAGAATTCAATGTGTGACTCGTAAGGATGTTTCATAAGGAAACAATTGTAACTCGGAGGACACAATCAGCACGGAACATGTTTATAGGCTACTGTTATATGTATTGTGTGTTGTACTTTTGAATCAGTAACGAATGCACAAGATCCGCTGTCTAGTAGTGACTAACAAATCGTCGTTTATACAATAAATTAATTGGCGATCAACTAACCGTTTACTACTACAATATAGTATTGCGGAGCTCCTCGCGTGCCCAGGTTTCTCGATTGAGAAATTGCTCTGTGTTCACGGGACGAATTGTATACAAACCGTCAGTCTTATAATAACGCAAATGCTACCTATTAACGACTGAAACAACTGATTCTCCCTCGAATACTGATCTCACGATAAAACAGATTTTTTTTTCTCTCCGAGAGGACGAACTGGAAAGTTTCGCATTTTCGAGAGACGCGCTTCGAGTTCCCGTTGTTGATCCAAGTTCACAAACAAAAAAAAAAGGAAACTGACAATTAAAATGAAAACAAACACTGTGTGTCCATCGAGTTTATCAATAAATACTTTATCGCTCTATTCTTAATCGAAAACTATATAAGAACGTCTATAGTTCCCTGTCATAGATTTAAACTTATCATCTTCGAGATTTGTTTATGGTAAAATCCCTAAAGAAATTGACCAGTCTAGGATTCTTTCCTTTTATTTTTTCACAAGAAACACCGTCTTCGGACAGGATTTTCTGGATTTTTTATTCGTATCAAATTGAATCCTGTTGTTTATCGTCGAGTGAAATTGTTATTTAACGAGATGAACGCGTCGACTGCCGTTGGAAATTTTTGTGGACGTTGCTCTGGCAGTTAGTGTATGCGAAGAATCCTTCAACATCATTAGGACAATTATTGGGTAACGAGTTGAATCTATCATTTACCGAGATGCCTATTTAAATTTCGCGGTTTTTCGTCCCAATAGATATTGCGTTATTCCCACCCACGTATAAGAGTTTAAAAATCTATTCACCAGATCTTAATGATCTCCTGACTAATGTCCTTAATGCCTTACACAATAACGGTTAATTTGTGGAACATGTACCCTGCCACAAGAGTGGTCGCGATTCGATTTCAATACGTTACACATAGCTAGGTATTAAAAAAGACGAGACATCTCGATTTCTTAACAATCGTTACACGTTTGTAAACGTTCTTGTTTATGAATTTAATTACAGTGTTGTATTTTCGGCAGTCAACGCGTTTAAGTCTGCCACTTCTCTTTGGCAGTGTTTAACGAATGTGACTACAGGATGCATCGACTGCGCCTGTCTAGTGCAACAAAGTCGACTACGTACGTACACGGAGAACGGACGGTCAATGAAGGAGATCAATCTTATATTTCCGATATCATCGGATCATTTACAGCAGTGCTGCCCCTTCGTGAAGTTTGAGATCTCGAGAACTGATTTTGCTTCCCTCAATTTTACTACTTAGACTTTGTTATTTCACACAATCTATTTCTGTTAGTTCTTTCACACGAGCTCCGTTAAATTCTTCACTTTTCCTCCAATGTTTTCCCTACTTTGCATGCTTTATTCCCGCTTGCATTACCTCTCCTACCCTGTTTCTACGATAGATTTTTCATTCTGCTGTCAATAGATTCTTCTGTCTGTCATCAGTCCTTTTCCTCTCTGACTGCGTTACTGCCCCTCTGCTACCATCAGTCCTACTATTTTTTCTCTATAATTATCTCCAGTTTCCCCCTAAGAGATCTCTCCAGATCCTATGCTTGCTACGTTATCCGTTCTGTTTCCAAAAATTTTCGACTTTATTCACAACGGTTCTCACATTCAATCCACATTAGGTCCGCCGCTTTGTCCGAGTGGCGACACAAGTCATTCAAAAAGAAACGCCACTCGGGAACAGCACTGACTTGTAAGACGCTCTACCGAATCTCAAATCGAACCGAAGTGACTAATCCCCCCCCCCTCCCCCTGTATTAAACTCAATCAACGATACATCTACTCAGGACGCTTAATACTGAAACCACCCCTCGATACTCCCATCCCTTTCTTCCTCGCCCCCCTCAGTCTCTGGCTGTTCGTGCACCAAAAACAAAGAAGTGCCCCCGTTAATTTTGCGGCGGCGTAGCGTCGTCGTCCTGTTGGTCACTGGTTTCAGCCGCGGACGGTATCGTCGCGAGTAACCTGACCGCTAATCGACTCGGAGATCCCGGCGGTTCCGGCTCTTGGATCGCCAGCTGACGGGTGAGCCTTGGCTTCGACCTGGCTGGCCTAGGTGTGTTCCGCGCAGTGATTTCCAATGATGCGCTAGATCTCGAGATCCTCCAGGTGCTGGTACTGGCCGTAGTAGCAGAACCAGAGGAGTCGTTTCTAGACGAGCTGAGGTTCGAGTCCTGCGACGGTTTCCTTGTGATCAGCCAGGACGAGGCGCGTCTCTTGGGGTCGAGCAGCCTCAACGGTATACCGCAATGGTGTGTCTGCCGCCACGAGTCCGATCTGGACGACGAGAAGTTCTCGCTGGACGACACCGAGGAGGCTCTCTTGTGTTGTTTCTGTTGTATCTCAGCGATCTGATACGCGTACTGATCGCTCCTCGCGTGACGCGGTCTGGTGTCTTTCGCGCACGGCCAGAGTATCCTGGTTCCCCATCGTCTGTACCCGGAACACTGTCCGCCGGTCTCCAACAGCCTCGAATTGCAAGCGCACGGCGTCTGATTGTCCCTGGACGATCGGTCCACCAGACTGTTAGTGTTCACCGGTGTTTGTCTGTTGCTGAAGTTCGAGCTGTGCCGGCACCTGCCGATCCCCCTAGTCACTCTGGACTCCTCGATTGCCTTGCAGATCAGCACGCAGTCTTTCTTGAACTGTTTGGTAAGGATCGCGTACAGAAACGGATTGCAACAGGAGTTCAACGGTAGAACGAACACGGCGAACACCTTCGCCTGTTCCAGGGAGACCAGCTGCAACCCGAACGTCGCTGTTAGAGAGAAGAACGCTATCGGGGACCAGCAGAGAAAGTCCGTGAACACTAACAACGCCATACGCTTGGCTATACGGGAGTCGTTCGAATTCCATGCTTGGGAGCCGCGGATCGCACAGTACATCTTCAGATAGCAGCCCATCAGGATCAGAAACGCGACCCCGTTGATTAGCATCAGGAATATCACGTAGGCCAGCGCGGCGTTCCCGGTTGTCTCGAACGGGAGACATATGGCGAACTTTCGGTAGTCAGAGATTCCGATCAACGGCAACGTGGCCATTGAAAGAGCGAAACACCAGCCCACCGTCATAATGTAGCCGGCGTGTTTCAGGGACAAACGTTTGTTCAGATGCATCGCGTGGGTTATCGCGTAGTTTCGCTCGAGAGTGATCACCGCCAGGGTGTACACGCTCAGCTCGGAGCTAAGCACGCCGAGAAAGCCAGCCAGCTGACAGCCAGCGGATGTCTGCCAGGGAATCGCATACTTGCGGAACTCGCCTAGGGTTGAGGCGTCCACCACAGCTAGGAGACCTGAAAGTATAGAAGGTTTTCTTATGCACGGCTGGGTGTTGTTCGATGTTCAGTGGTTTTAGTTTTTTTATTTGCTATCTGGTCTTTTAGTGTCTCTTGTTTTTCATTTATAATGTATTCGGTCTCTGAGCATTTGGTATCTTTAGTTCTTGCTGTACGTGATTGTTTATGTCTAGTCTATTTGATTGGTGTTTAATGTGTTTAACATTCGATCCGTTAGGTATTAACCGCCTGGTATCTTTACTTTTCAGTACTTCTTCTTTAATCTCTAACGTTTTTTTTTTTAAGCTTCCCTTTTAGGTATGTTTGTAGGGTCTTCCATGTGGACATCTTTGGTGCCTTCGGTCTTCTTGATCCTTAGAGACTACTAACTTGAATATATATATATATGTTTAGGGTACTTAGTCTGTAGTGTGTATGTGTTTCATTTAACGTTCTTGTATACGCTTTTCTAACTATCTTTTCCCCCTACCTAGATAGATGCCCATGAAGAAGTCAGCGGCGGCAAGATTGCAAACCAGAAAACGGGGAACGTCCATCTTGCTTCTGGAAAATATCAGTACGAAAACGACCGTGCCGTTTCCGAGCATGGCGAGTAGAAATACTACCCATACACCGCAACGCAGCGTCCACCAGTCGAATAGATCTTGACAGGGCAAAAATGGACCTGGAAACACCCAGCAACAACGTACAACGGTATAGTTGTCGATCGTATCTTTTGTACGCTGAGAAGAATGTATGAGACATACCAGGTTGGGGTAAACACTGGACGTGAGCAGGAAGCGTCTGTGCTGGCAGCGTGACGCGGTTGTTCTGCTCGTCAAAATAATCCTCAACATATGAGGGCAGGTTACCGGGGTACGTAAAATCTGAACCAAATTTAGCCCAAAGTTCATTTATTTTCGAGCCGAATTTGTCGGTCATGTTATCTAAACAAACGTCATCACTTCAGTGCTGCAAAGTTTCGTCTCTCTCATGATGACTGAAATGTTTTTTCTTTTTTTTTTTTTCAGATGATATGCATACCGCGTGAGATTGTGTGCTTTAGCATGAACTACGGCGTTTCTGTCTGCGTGTATAGAATTAAATTCTTGGAAGCAAACGATTAACCCTTTGCGGACGATAAACCCGTACGCATTCGGCCAGCGTGAATTACGAGTATCGTGTTCGCTAAAAACAACCGATGTATTCGTTTACAGACAATCTCTGCCTTATGTTGTTAATAGAAGGAAAGCCCATAAAAAAACCCGGGTCTACAACTTATCCTCAAAACGTTTCGTTCGCAAAGGGTCAAGAAGCATGTTCTGCTTGTGTGAGATTAAATGATTCACAAATGAAAAAGTCCCCCGCTGAGAAATGAAGTCAATTCGAAAGAGTGTCCTTAGAAATATTGTTAACGATCGCGACTTTCATGTGTATACAGTGTAACTCTGGGCTGGCGTCATGCTTTGCAGCATTTAAGTGTCGAGTTGCGAATAAAAATTCTACTGCACATGCAATAAATCAGCTTATGACAAAACAACAATAGTATTCATTCTAACTGATGCGTTTAGGATTCCAACGGAACTGAAACAATTCGGGGTGTGAAATGTTTCGTGTAACGATGATATCGGTGGCGACGATTCAAGATAGCGGAAGAGGTACCAAGAATGGCCACTTACTCAGCTGCGGCCAGATATCGGCGAAGCTCGAGTTCCAGAGGCTCATGTCGAACTCGTTATCGGTGGGGAACAGAATCGACTCTTGGACGGACGATTTGGTCACCGAATCCTCCACTTCGATCGACAGGAACGAGCAACAATGGTAAGCGTACGAGAGCACCATGGTTTGCACTCTTGGGAACTGTTCTGGCGATGGGAATTCCCTGAGCGCTGGGTTGTTAAACGTTTTCAGGTGCAGCAGTCCTGACAGTCCTAATGTTGGCAGTGCGGGGAACACATTGTTTCCTAGGTTTCTGCAACATTTTTTGTCCACCAAATGTCACAGGTACTGTACTGTGATCTAATCATGTGTAATATCGATGATACTGTTGTGTACAACTAAAGTCGAGACAGAGTTGATATGCGAGTGGTGAGGAACTAACCCACTCCCATCTCAGTAACTACCCCAATTTCCATTCCATGGCGGGCACTTCGATGCTCTGATATTGTATTCGTTAAGCAACGGAAATAGTTTGCTATGTGTAGCTGTGTCATTTTTATTGCATCGATCATATCTTTCGTTCAATCGAGAAAACGTCACTTCTATCAATCAGTGAAGGTGTGAACCAGAGCTGTTGAATATTCGAATAGCAGTAGAATTCGGAATTGATATTCGAATTAGTTGAATATTCGAAGTATTCGAAATATGTATTCGGATTATTCTCATATTCGAAGTGAAATTTTGGATTGCACGGAATAGGAATCTGAACATAATACATTATTTCACACTTTTATCGTGAAATTCTGTTCACATTGGCCTTTACAATTATTTGTTTTTCAAATTCTTATCGAATACAATCCAATATTCGATCACTTTTATTATTCGAATAGTTCGGATATCCGAATACTTGCAGCTCTAGCGTGAACCAATTCCCACCGCTAGACACCTCTAACTATAGAGGTGACAAATTCGCGTAACAACTCTGACTGTGTCCCGACTTTTGTAATTGGAACACGCTCGAGGGGACTCACAAGTCTTCCAGGTGTTTGGTCTCCTTGAACGCGTCGGGGTGTATGTACTCGATGTAATTGCTCTCCAGGTCTCTGAAACATCGAACCATCTTTTTCAAGACGATAGCGTTGAGCCATCATCGCGGGAATAGTGACGAGCGACGGGACTTACAACACCTGCAGTCTCGTCAGTCCGACCAACGAGTCGCTTGAAATCATCGTCAGCCGGTTGTTAGAGAGGAGGAGATCGTGCAGCATGTCCAGACCGTTGAACGGTTCCTCTGGCAACGATGAAATCTGATTGATGGCCAAGTCCCTGTGCACAGAAGCGGTTGTTCGTTATATCATGTTCCAACGAAGTTTTAGCAATTGTATTTCGGAGCACGAGCAAATTCGTATTGAGTAGTGAGTAGATATATTAGCGAGTAGTAATCGTGGACAGAATTAATAACAAGTAGGTAACAATTCGAAAGAGTAAAGAGTTGAGTGATTAGCCTCCAGGTGGAATCACGAATAGAATTGACGGACAATTGAATGAATAATCTATAGATCAAGGAACGAGTAGATTTAATAGTGAGTAATAAATGAATTGAGGGACCAATCAACTTTCCATTCAGTAGACTGAATATCAAGTGAATTATAATTTGAAAGAATGATGAGTAGAGTGAGTAGTGTATAGATTGAGTAGAGAATAGAATTGATTGATAGTAGAATGTGGATAATCTATATATAAAGGAAAGAACTGCTACAGAAGAGCGAATAGAATAACCAGCAAGTAGACTTCCAATTTACTTATTGAACAGTGAGTCTATTTTGTAATTTAGTACTCTGTGTATTTGGAAACATATGTTGTATTTTATAACTTACAAAACACGTAGCTCGCTGCAGTTCCGTAAATTCGGCATCGCCGTCAAGTAATTGGACTTCAGATCCCTGAAACAGAACAAGAAGGGGCTCGATATCCCGATTCGTGCACACCGGCGACGAGTGGAAAACACGTTGGATATACGTTTCGATCACTCACAGACTTTTCAATTTCGGGCATTGCTCGCACAAATTCACGGGGACGTCCGTTACTTGCGCCCGATCCAATCTCAGCACTTCTAACGACCGTGTCCCGTTCAGATTCGGAAATATCCGTAATTCCTTCAGGTTCGAGAGGATCCTGCAACGTTCCAAACGGACAGACCGGAGAATCGCGTAAAAATCTTTTTGCGCTTAATCGTTATGCAGAAAATTGATTTTAACAAATGCTCAAAGTGATACGTGTCCCGTCGAATTCGATAAATTTTTGCACTAATTCCCCTCTCCGTCGTTAGTTATTTTATTATTTAAATCTACTCTGGTACATTTGTGTATCCCGTGAATTTATTTCAATTTCACAGCAAATGCATTTACTCTGCTTTAGCTGAGTATATTCGTCGTAGCTTAAAAATAATTAAGCACACAAGTGCACGTTCCCAAATAAAACAATACACTTAAAGGGTTAAAGTGGTTACGTTAAGTGGGACACCCTGTATATTATTTTTAATGTAAATATTCTATTATACAATTGTCCGATCGTCCATTCAAGTTACATAACGAGAATGTCATGTAACGTTTCAGGACTCTACTGTTATCGGGACATAGTAAATAGCCGTTGGAAAAACAGAGAAAACAGGGTCTGTACTCACAGCTTACGGAGCTTCCGTAGATTCTGAAAAGTGTCCCCGTGGATCTGCCTGATGGGATTCCCGCGTAGATCGAGCGACAACAGATTAGTGACCCGCTGGAAAACACGCCCGTCCAGCGTCTCGATTCTGTTGTTCGAGAGGGACCTACCGGAATCGGACGGAACATAAACGAATACGACTTTCTTGGCTTCCTCTTCGACGAAGTAGGAAAGAAAAAAAAACACAGAAAGAGAGAAGAACAAAGGAAAGGGTTATTCACCGCGACGATATTTCTCGCTTTCGACTGAATTTAAATGTTTATTAACCCTTTGCACTCGGAATTTCCTAATTCCTCATACACTTTGTCCCTTCAGAGGAGACAATCGAGTGTAAAGGGTTAAAAACTAGGGGGTGGTCCATCGACACTTTGCGTTCCATTGAGGATATCAGCGAGTCGTTTCACTTCTGAAAGTCGTCGAAAGTTGAGAGTCGATGTTTCATTTAGTATTAATATTCCTCCAATTGATATTTTATATAAACATTTTTTTCTCTTTTATTCTAATAGGAATTAACGCGTTAATAAATAAATAAATAAACATCTGAAGAAGAATAGGAGTCTATCTAGACCCAGACACCGTCATTTATTCGTTTGTCAAAAATGGTTATATACCTTCTATGGGTTAAGGTCTGTCTAAAAATTTGTATTGTCACGTTTGTTCAACAAATCAACAATGTTCTCACCAGAAAAGTTTCTGACAGACCTCGTCATATGATGAGGAAGTCATTTTTTGTCATCTTATAATTCATATAAATCTTGCACTCAACTGCAGAGACAATGACTACCACTTGGATTTTATTCAAGTTGTCCAATTTTTCAATCATTTGATCGACCAATTCGACATTGAGAATGACAGTCAGAGAACGAGTGAACGTCTTCGGTACAAATTTTCATGTAGGAGCTATTACGAACGCAAAGTGGAGCGGACATTTTCAACAACTAACAAGCAAATAATGAAAGCTGATTGTATTCGATTTTCGGCAAGAAGTTTCTTTAGGTAATTTTAAAACAATTGAAATGAAAGTATATTTATACACAACACGATTCGATTATTTTTTTCTATAGGCGAGAACACGATATATTGTAGGGAAGAGTGATTGCGTAGAAATGTAAAAAAAAGTTGTCAAATTACATTTTACTTAATCGATGCACACTTACAGGTCTTCAAGGCCAGAGAGCTTTACGATCGCGGTCGGAATTTTTGTTAAATAATTGTCATCGAGCTCCCTACAAAGCAGAACAAGAATTTCAATTTTTTAACAATCGCGGACACCCGTCGAGTATCCCTTGTTTTTTTTTTGTTCAAACGGGTCTGGCATTTCCGTTACGAATCAAGGAACGATCTAACATTGTGTAAGAACCGTGCAATTTTGTTTGTTTCTTTTGTTTTGCATTTTTTTTTTTTTTTTGGTCGGGACACTCACAATACTCGAAGGCTCGTTAAGTTTGTGAATGCATCGTCGGCGATCATGTGCAAACGATTTCGTCGGAGTAATCTGAAATAGAGAAATGGTGACAAAGGAGCGACAACTTAATTTCAAACAGATGGCAGTACACAGATAGAATATAGTCAGTATAACAAATAATATTCCAGAGAGTGTCAAAGGAGTAGAAAATAGAAATATTCGAAGGGTGACTAGAATAAATAGTAAGTAGATGTTATGGAAAGTAGACTGAATAGCGAAGAAATGTCACGATAAGTCCATTGAGTAAAGAATGTGGTAAGTAAATTGAGTATATATTACTGTGAGTAGACTGAGTAGCGAATAGATGCTAAAAGGAGCACGCCGGTCAAGGGAGACAAAGTAACGTGAATAAAATAAGGTAAGTGTAGTGTGGTTAGATAGGCCAGGTAATAAACAGAAATTAACGTGAGTAGACTGTATAAGAAATCGATCATCATTAATGTTAGGAGAAAGAGTAAAGTGCGTAAACTGATTGGAGAGTATACAGAGTAGATTGAACAAATGAATTCAGAGTAGAATGTACTAGAAACTACTGATATCGATACAAGTACTTACAACACTTCAAGACTGGAAATTCGATGGAAGGCACGGACTGGAATGTCTGTTATATTGTTGTTCGTTAGGTCTCTGCAACAATCCAATGAGAAAGAATATCGTACTAGCTACCACGTAATATATCAGTAACTATTAGTTGTAGTAAATCATACAGTATATAGTAATTATTATAGTAGATCGTTGCATAACTTCTGTCTCTTAATTTTCCAAAAGATAAGAAGATAGAATCAAGCATGCATTGAGATACTGATCATACGAATACTATTTGAAACATATAAAATATAGTCTAATACACAGCAGAATGTGTTTTTTTTAGAAGATTAAATTATTATCGAATGTATCGTCGGAAGGGTCAAAACTTTTGCAAGAATCAAATATATTATATATGTTAAGTAGATTAAACTATGTTGTCACAAAATAAAACAACAACAGACCATCAAATTATCGTACAGAAAGAAGTGGATAGAATTGTTCCTAAGAGTATGAATTTTAAACGTTCTCTCTCAACCAGAACTCTACCGTTCCCAACCGCGCGTCAACGAGGCGGCGCGACGTCGGGGTGGTCTGAAATGAAGAAAAAAAACCTGGGTTGGTGGGGGAAAAAGGAAAATTGTGAAAATTCGTAAACCGAGAAATTTATTAGCTACTGTCGCTACCGCCCTATATTCTCAAGTGTGAAGCGTCATTAAGCGTTTCCTGACGAACCCTTCCCTTCCCCTCACGGCGAGGGTCTCGATTTCACAGGAGCATTCGCCCCGCGGAGGGGACGAAGTAAGTAGATACCGACGGTTTACGACAGACTAATTCTACTTCGGTGCTACTGACGCCTCACCAGGATGAACTGACGAAGAATTATAGGCACTCTAAACGTTAACGTATTGCTCGTCAATTGTAATACTACACGTTCGTGTGTAGGGTTGCTCTCCAGCGACGACCAGAATTGGGCAAAATTGTGATCCGATTAATGATCGTGGAGAGTGGTTCTCATGGATTTGTAGATGTTTGATAGACTATCATTATTGTGCAGTCGAATCACTGATAGAGTAGATTAGATTACGATTCTATAGACAGATAGATGACGGTTCAATAGACAGATAGATTAAGATTCTACAGCTAGGTATGCATACATATAGATTATGGTTACGATAGGTAGATAGGTAACGATATATAGATTACAATTGTTGAATAATCAGAAATTATCATTAATAAATAACAGAAAGTATCGACGCTGATATAATCACATTTCTGGACCAAACTAATCACGAATTACTAAATCAGACGATTTATAATGCATCCCTGCTCTTCTTCACGCGTTATACTTCAATTGTTCGAAATTTCCTCCGACTACGACGATATAGGTCAAATACACAATTTCAACGTCGTTGAATTCTTAACCAGTGGGAGGAAGTAGAATAAATTTTCGGGGCTGGCAAAAGTGTTCAGGTGTTCATAATTCATCGAAGAATATTCCGTGCAATCGTTGCCAGTGACGTATTTCGCGCGTCCGAACGAACGAACACTTTCGAACGGTCTTTCTATATCCGTCGGGTTCAAGTGGTTTCGTACTCGATATCGGCGAATTTATGTGGCCGTTAAGGGGTAACCAGCGTGTAATTGATACTACAGCCACCATAATACCGTCATCTGGAGAATCACTTTATGGGGCTGGGCAGGGTGGATAAAGTGGATTAATACAGTCACATCGAATGACGGAGAAAATTTTACAGATTCCGCCTCGAGATCCGCGGAATTTATGACAACGAGCGTCCGAACGAGGATAAAAACGATAGGAACATTATAGAGTGCATTGGCAAATATCTTGTACAAAAAGGAAAGAGCCGACAAGCCGATCGTATACGTGGTATTATATTTTTCTGCGCAACCTGACGTCACAAAAAAAATGGCCCTTCATTAAGCACTTTGTTTCAATTAAAATCACGACAATTATGTTAAATAAATATAAATAAGAATGTTATGTCACTCCGTTTTAATAATATTATACGAAAAAGGAACACTCTTTTTGTTTTAAATAAAGTTTAAAAATTGTAATTTTGGCCAACTTTTTAAATCAAACGTCCCACAGTGTTGAGCGCGAAAATTCTTGTCCTGCTTAAGAGCTTAAGGGATTAACGTGAATCGAGTCAGACGGAAGTTACGGTGCCTTCACGGAAGAAGTTTCCCAATCGCGTGAAGTCAAAACAAGATCTAGGGAGAAATAAACTTCGGAAGACACCTAAAGTGGTTTCCATCGGGAAATCTCATTTCCTCGAACTATTGGGTCGGAGCAACAGTTTTTGTAATAGTTTTAAAAAATGAAATTTCAAGTAATTTCGTTATAAAGTGTACCCCATTTGTAGTTATTTAAATCATCTCTGAAATTCTGCGGTATGAAAAGCCACGATTTAAAAAGTAAAATTACACGTGTTAGTAATTAGAAGCTAATACCCATATGTTTAGGATTAAAAATGAGACAATTAAGGGTTCCAATGATAAAACCACCCCTGAAATGGCACCTAACCACTCAATCCTTCCTCGAAGCATCTCCTACAGACCAAAAATAAAATAAAAATTGTGTTTTCTTAAATGAACCGCCCTGTACTTCCTTCATTCCTGACATTTGCGGGAACCTTCTGAATTATTCAGATAGAGTAGCCCCCAATTCCGTCCAGTACTTCATGTTACTGTGTATTCATGATTTAAAGTGGTGACTTATTCAATTTGCCTGTCGAGGATCCGTCGATCGATGAATTTCGACGATTGCCACGACGGAGAGGATAGAGTCCCGATGACGCAGGATCATCGGGAAAGAAAAAAATTCCACTGTTCCATGTGGTTTCCGTATTCCTCGCACATTTCTACACATTGATCGAGGCGAGCTTACGCACGCGCATCCCCCGGTTCTTGGGGAAGTTATGGAAGAAAACGCCGGTTTTTAGTGCCGCCCGCCGCCGACTTCTTCTTCCGCTGTTACCGGTTTTCTCCTTTTAATCCGGATTATTACGTTAGAATTGAATTTCATCTGGTTTTATGCTGACTGGCCGAGGCAGGTTCCTTTCCGCGGCGAAAATATATTTCAGACAGGTCGAGAGTTAGGATGCTGTCAGAATAGATAGACAGATGTAAATCATCTGCCAGATAGATTTTTTTTTTTTTTTAATAGCTTCAACATAGATGAATGTATTTGATTGAAAAATGCAGAATTTGAACTCAATATGGTTTTGAGGACTGATGAAATTTAATCAGATAGATTCACACTCTTGCACGCGTTCAATGTAACTGAATAGATTAGATTGAAAAATGTCGTATATTTTAGAGTTCATAGACATAGACATAGATGAAATGTAGACCAAAATATGAACGGAGAGCGAAGGAGAAACTGCTAGATTTTTTCAAGTAGACTATTTCATTTAAATAGAGTCGATAAAATCAGAAAAATTTGAACTGAATGAAATCATAGGATTGATAAAAACCTATCAAATAGAATACAAAAGGACAGATTAAAGAAGCCAACAAATAGATACAGAATTAGCACAAGAAACTATCGATTTCTATCCTGTATCCAAGGAATCCACTAATTTTTTATTCAACGATTCCATTACTCAATCGCAAGAGTTAACATGAAAGAAGACAGATTAAAAAAATATAAAATCTCGATCGAACTCCAGGCAGAAAGTCTTAAAATTCTATCATTATTTATTTCTCTAAGAAACGATTAACGTGTTAAATCGTAGTAAAACGTATCAACATAAAACTCTAAAGTAAATCGAGAGTGGTCATTAAACGCCGTCAAGGAACCATTCTTTTTTCAGATACATTATCGTTAACATAGATGAAACGACACGAAACGAGTCGGTGTAGGGTGGCACTAAATCCTATCGAACGTCGTCGACACTGTCGGGGAATTTTCGCGGCTTTTTGCGTGATTTATGGGGGACAGACCGCGAAAAGCTCGGGTAGAGGGAGATAAATCGTTCCAGCGATTTCCAAATACCGTGACCGCCCCTGCACGCAAACCGGTCAGTATATCTAAAATTAAGCTCGACTTTAATATATTCACCGTGTGCCCCCCCCCCTTTCCGACTGCCAACCACAACAACATTGGCAATCAAGCGTGTTACGAGCACCACTATCAGATTTACTGCTGAAAATTGATTGGGCTATATCGTGTCGGCCATAAAACGTCCACAGCCTATTTATAATTATTCTAAACCCGTTAACCGTAACGATTCTACGGCCGGGTCATCGACGACCCGTTTATAAGTCACGCAACTGTATATTGTGGGACGAAACGAACGTCGTTTTGTACGTTTCACGTGTCCTCTGCGGGATTTTGGTATGGGTCACTATTGACCCGGCCATATCAAGGTATGCGTCAAAGCAAAAGACAGCCATTTCGAATATTTTTGAATATATTGTCTTCGTACCCACATATTACAGTTATGTATCATTACTTTTTAAATTTATCCGAATTTATTGAAAATATGCAATAACTAGATTGCGGAAATGTATGCATCTATAGCGTTCCCTGACTTGCAAAATATAGCAATATAAAGATTCCCATGAAATGTAATATTATCGATGCAGTATTATTATATTAAAACCCATAGTATAGAAAATAAATTTCTGTGCAATTGTGTGTTTTCTATATCAACGTGAAAAATTGTAAAATAAACATCCACAGTCTAGTAATAACCAAAATCAAATAGGCATTTATTTTTTGTCACCCTCTATGGTAAGTAAAGTGTCTCCATACCGCTAAAAAATAACGGAGACAGTTCTGGACGAACAGTGTTATTGAGCTATTCTGTATCAAAACGGTTCAGTGAAATTCTAATAGAGACCCAATCGAACTAGCGCAAACGCCAGTCCATCGATAATAAATCCTCTATAATCACAGGATTGGTGGCCATTTCCGGGACCACGCATCGTTCACCTCGATCCTCGTATCTGGGTCGTAAACGACAAAGAATTATTATGCGATACCAGGATTTTATTGGATCTTTATGTTAATCGTGTCGCCGCGGTCGGATAATTTAGTTTCCAATTTTTGGTAACGCCACTTTGTTCTTCCC